AGTTTATTGTTTATAATTTGGAAAAACTTATTAAATTTTTGCAAGATTAGGACAGGTTTACTATTGTATTGTTGAAATTTGTTTGAACGATGTTTATTTATTATTGTCCAGTAATAGAGGATAGTTTTTTATTGCTTTCGACAAACTGGACAACACAACTTTAAACAAAACTGAATTGCCCAGTATATGGTTATGGAAAATTTCTTTAAATTCTTCAACCAATTAAGACACGTTTCTTTAATATATTTAATATAATATTTAACATATTTATTTAATATATGACATACCAAAATTGAATTTTGATTTTATGAAATTCTTTTCCATAAAGATTTGTTCAGGTTTGTTAAAAATATCGATGTCTAAAAAAATACATTTTTGGATTTTGAGCAATACAATTTTTAAAAAAAGGCATTTATCTTAAATTCTTCAGAAGCTCGGTAAGTAATTATTTCTTAATAATATGAACTCCATATACTGAAAAATTTAAAATATCTTCTTTTTTTAATATTTATATTATTCCAGACCTCGTCGAATCCTTGTGGACCACAAAAAAATAAATAAATAAACGAAGTAAAATCTCAAGAAATTCATTCTTTAAATTATATAGTTTTACGGTTGATATTTAATTTTAAAGAGTTACAATTTTGACAGAATCTGGATTTATACTTTGAACATAATATTCAACAAAAGTACAAATGTGAAATGTAGAAAAAAAAGCATCTAGTTATAAAACCTTCAATATTTCATAATCCAAATTGTCTGAAACATTATGCTTAAAAATTAATGCATTAAGTTACGTTTTGCTTTTTCTTAAAAAAAAAAAAAAGCATAGATTTTCTTTGAACAGTTTTATTTCAGTTTTATTTTTCATTCTTGTAATGCACTAAATTTAAACAAGAACGCTATTAAATTTAAAATTCAAAACAATCCTCTTTTCTTTTTTGTGCCAGTGGGTGGATGGTTCGTTAAAATAGAAATAAATTTTACATGTAAATCGTGGAGACCACAGTCCCAAAGTTTTCATTACCATACAGCGGGGCTGTTTTTCATTACGCCATGACGCTTCCCCATTGTCTAAAATGGCACTGGTGTTTTAAAATAAAACGGCTTTATTATCGGCGACTTGGCAGAAATAACTTTGCCAATTTAAAATATAAAAGAACTATTATAATATCTTTGGTTTAATTTTAATAGGTGATTATTGTTTTAAAACTTATTGGTACTATTATAAAAATTGTCAAGTTTACGGCAATTATTTTTAACCTATCAGAAAACTTTTAGTATGCATAACACCAGGAGTAGGGGATTTAACTGTTTACAATATTTTTGAACATAATCAGGTTTATAGATAATGCATTACAAGAAAAAATGATGGTATGGTATAGTATGGTGGAAAGGGTACTAGGAAGCGGGGTTTGTATTCCCCAGGCACTGCAGCCTTCCGGCTTATTGTACCTTCCTAGTTCCTTAGTTCAGTCAATAGACTCAATCCTTCTTCTTAGAAGTATCAGGTCATTGACTATTGTTGCTGCAATTTGATTCCCTAAGTCTTTTCCGTACGTTAAACCTCCATTGAGCTGTTGCTTCGCCTTCGAAGATGACATGAGTGGCTGTTTCCTCCTCCTCATTACATAATCTGCAGATGGGATCATTGCTGTATATACCCATGTTGTGTAGATGTTTTCTCAGATACCAGTGACCGGGTAGTAGTCCCACCACTCCTCTGAGTTTTGCCCTCTCCAATTTCAGCAGTGTTTTTGCCAATCTTGGTGAGGGTTGTTTCATCATAAGTTTACTATGTCTAGCACCGCTAGAGTTTATCCACTTCTCTTTTTGTTTTGCTTGGATCCATTCTGCGATGGAGGAATCTATGTTTGTTTTTCTTATTCCAAGGATAGGTACGGGGCCTATGTATGGTCTTGCAGATCCTCCTCTGGCCAGTTTGTCTGCTTCCTCGTTACCCAAAATTCCCCTGTGCCCTGGCACCCAAGATATCATCAGGTTGTTGTGTTTTCCCAGGTTTTGGAGATTTTGGATGCATTCACTATATGTAAAAATGATAATATAAATTCTTTTTTTATCTTCTATGCGAATATATGACTTAAATATATAATTGAGTTTCGTGGATTAGTGTTGTAGTCATAAAACAAAAAAATGCTTTTGTATCAACGCCAAGCCGACACTGAAGAAGACGAAATACATCGTCGAAAGCTTTGCGCTGATTCAAAAGCATTGTTTGTTTTATGATCACAACCCAATTCATTTATTGTTCATTTATGTTTGGAAAAGTGGGTCAGTTTGGACGGGTAATTTGTTTTATATCATCACATCTCTTCGAAACACAAAACGTTCCTAATTACGTCTGATGATTACAACTCATAAATCATAGACTAATGACTTTGTTTGTACAGTTCTTACGTTATACAATAAATTAAATTTGAAATAAACGGCTAATTATGGATAACGATGAAATCTCCGTTCTAATTTTCATGTTTGTTGTTATAATTACTCTTTTCCATTTATTTAACTAAAAATAGATTTTAACAATTTTTTATAAACAACTTGAAATTCAATAAATTTCACCCGTTTCATCATTCCTTATGAGAATTATGCCCTCTTTGACAATTTACGCTTTCTCCGCATAATGTACTTACTATGCATAAGTTGGATCCTGACACTTAGCGGTTTTGTGAGAAGTTGCAAGGACGCAGACCCTTAACATTTGGCCAAATGATAAATGAATGGAAATGTTCATACAACTAGGCCGGACTGATAAAACAATAATCCTCTTTATCAAATATGACTAACTTTTTATATCACGTCTGCATGATGTTCACAAGTTTAACAATGGTAAGTAATAAACTAACTTTAACGATATTTATCAAAAATATATCTCATTCGAAATGGTTCTTTCGATTATATAGATTAGAAACCATATTTGCCTTTAGATTATTGATATTTCTCTAGATTTCTGTTAATCCTTATGTAATTTAAAAAAGTCAATTGTATATTTATTTATTTTATTTTGGCCCTTTGCCTTCTTAAATTTTCTCACCTTCTCTTTCTAAGAGTGAAGTAAATAGATATTATTATGAAATTTTTTTTGTCGGTAACCCAGAACCCAACCTAGCTAAATAGAGTAAACCCCTTTAGGGAAATGCTTCCCCGAAATTATGGCAAAACCCAACATCACACACGATCAAAAAATAATACACAATTCTACACAGGGAAAGCAATGTAGAAACTAATGAATCAATTTAACAAAGTAGGTTTTAAAAGCGCTAAAGTTTGGAAAACCTCAAAGAAAAAACATTGCTAAAACCAAGCCACTTGGAAGAAATCGCAAATACGCCATAACCAGTGAATGCAAAGACATACAGACATCGAACAGACAGGAAGAAATTAAAACAGAGATACAAAGAACATATAACGCCTTTTAGGAAACCCAACAGCAATTAAAAAGAACAATAATAAGCCAGACTTAATCCACGAAAGACACCGACAAAGATAACATTCGACAAAGGCACTCCACCCTTCACGACCTTATAAAAACGTCTTGACTTTACAAAAATCACACAGACCTAACACTGAAGAAGGCGAAAAGCCGAAACACGTCTGACTGACCAACACAGCGAGGTTAGACTGACCAAAATGATGGGTAACGAAAAAATTATATATATTATTTCTTATTTTTCGTGCTTGCTTAATCGGTGTTTGTACTTTTTTTAATTACAAATAGCTTATTAAGACCATTTCCAGTTTTTATTTAATCATATATTTATCGGCAGGCGTTTCGGACTTTTTTCCTTTCTCAACGCGAAACATGAACGCCTACAAAAGTTGCAGGTTACATTTTTTAAAATTAAATTTAACCACATTCAATATTTTGCGTAATAATATTAATAAAATATTGAATATAGTCAAACATAATGTAACCGAAAACAACACCCATTATAAATTGTTAATCTAACCTATTTTGGCTGTCAAAGAAAATGAACTGTATATGTATAAATCATAGAACAATGAGTAACTTGTATATATTTTTTAATATACTAGAATTTAATAGTTATAAAGTGTTTTTGATAAGATTTCAATTATTAGCAAGAATCAATTTTTTCTTATTTTGTACAACTTTTTTGATATTTTATAAAGAAATTATCTCCAACCTTCGACATTATAGTTATATAATAAAAATCACGATAAGCATAAGGAAAATGTGAAAGAAAACAATCGCTTCTTTCCTTGAGTTTTCGACTTTACTTTTTTCTTTCTAAATTATTAATAATAGCTTCCAAGTTCCGATAAAAAGGTATATTTCTCGAAAGCTTTAAGAAGAAGCAGTGCTTTCTTTCAATTTGGCCTTATCCTTTTATTATTTTTTTTATATAAAAATTATAAATATATTTAAACTAAGAACTTCAACATTTATACACATTTTTATATAATAATTTTATGAGATACTGGATAAAATAAGTGATTAGTTTTTAGAAAATTCGTTGAATTAATCTACTTTAGATAGGATGAACTTAATAAGAATTCATTTATTGATAAGAATAGTATTTTTCATTTATTTTCTAACTTCTTTTGTGTTATTTGTAAATATTTTTTACTACGTTATTTTTTACTACTTATACTATTTTTTACTCTAATACTTAGAAAGAAGATCGTTTAAATTAGAAATCTTTTCGTTTTAAGTTTTTGCTATTGCAAGTGAATTTGCTGATAAATAAATTTTCATGCTAGGAGTGTTCTACATGTGTTTCTTTAAATTAAAAATTTCGTTTTGTACGGTTGTGAATGTCATTATCATTATTATAAACTATATTAAATCAATTCTGCAGGATAATTGATAGGTTTATAATATTAATGGTTATTGTTTATGAAAAACGAAGGCTTAGTCTTTTAATAAAACAAAATATTTTTAAGGATAATAAGAATTGTTTGAATTGAATTGAAAACACTTGCAGGATTGTTTTCCAGTGAAAATAAACTCGACGTACCTTTAGTTATCGTCTGAGGTTGGCGGTGGTGGACTGAAGGCTTCAACCCCTTGTCTGGGGGTAGGTTTGAAGCGCCTGCTCTCTTCCGCCCCGTCACCAAGGGTAACCAGCATCCACAACAGAATTGCGGCGCACGCTCGATAACGAGCTGCTCGTGGAAATCGGCGAAAAGCTCGTATTTGAATGGGAAAAGCGCATTTTTACAAATTCCCTCCCACTTCCCTGGGATAATAATGCCGGCTGGGACGTTACCATTTGACTCCCCTTTGGAGAAGGGAACGATGACGGTGCGGCGTCTCCTGCCAAATTCGTACAATTCTAAATTCAGGCAACTGGCCAATTGTCTTGACAAAATTGGCAATAAATGCTAAAATGTAATGTTCTCTTAAATAAAACAAAAGCCAAGTAAATTGACTCCGCAAAAATTGGTTTCTGTATTTCTTTATACAGCAAGAAGACAATTTATTAAATAAAGTCGCGTGACGTATTCAGGGATGATACAGACTTGAGGGGATTGAATGTTGATTTGCGTAAAAGAAGGGGCTTATCCCCAATTATCTCGAGGAATATGGAGGACTCTTATAGTGTGAACGTAATTTATTAGCGCGAATGGAGGGAGTTATCCCCAATCACCCCAAGGAATGTCGAATACTCTGGGGTAAAAAGAATGCTGACCAAATGATCATGTTTTGTATTGTTTCTTGATTTCTGGTTGTTTGTGTTTGTTATTTGTATTATTTTATACACAACTAATGCGGCGCTGAGGTACAGGAAGGCTAGCGATAGCATAAGGACAAGAGAGAGTCGATGACCCCCACTTGACTGGAAAAATAGTAATAGAAATAGTAGGTTTAAATCGCGAGAAAAGCGCGAAAAGAATAGCGAAGGAAGAGAGGTTGGCGATAACCAATGTAGTTTCGGACCCTAAAAAAATACTTTTAAAAAATAAATACTTAAAGACAAATACTTAAAGAAAAAATATGATTAAAAAGTGCAAACTACAAAACAAAATCAAAGCCAAAGTTACTGTTTCTTGACAAAAGAAGAAGTTATGAGAATAAACAAACTGAACATAATTAACGAGAATTTTTCATTGGGAAAACAAATCAAACTTGGAAGAAGAAGAATCACAAAATTAAGAATAGATATACACTTAATTTAAATTCTTATTAGGTGGATTACAAAGCCTGTTGCACTGCGTCCATCAAAATGAAACTATTGTGCTCATCAGTATAGCCTATATTCTTGATAGTGCTCCTCAGTTATATTTACTAGATTCAGCTTTTTTTTCAGCAAGAATAGAAATCATTTCCTTGTCAGGCACATACAGTGCATAGCAATCGTAGCAATCTCAAAAAGCATTGATGTTTTTTCTTTTTCTTGATATAACTTAAACATTCTACCACTCCCATACTTTTAGAACTTTTTGAGTCAGTTATCAGACCTGTAGTTTTGTTCGACTTGATCCAGCAGGACTGTAGTAAGTTAATGTGAGACTTTGTCTTTTACCTGACCCTCTCCTGGGATGTTGTCCCACAAAGTAATAAATTTTAACTCGATCCATTCCACAATTGCTTCTTTTTATGACTGTTCGAAATTGTCCATAAGGGTTTTCTACTGATGCTTCTGAGGACTCACTGGCTCGTCTATCAGCCTTTTCGTTACCCATCTGCTTGGTGTGCCCTGAACCCAGAGAAGATGAAACGTACTCTACTTCTACTTTTTTCATATCACTCACGCTGTATGTGATGTTGCAATCGTTTTGCCTTCTATTCCCAAATTTTTATCTCTTTTGAGCAGAGCTCAATTATCATAGTTTCCCGCTGAAAAATTGTACCCAATTTTTTCGAGAGAAATTGTCATTTATCTCCTAATTTCCCGCAATAGATAATTTTTGGTTTTTGAGCTGTCACAAAATTAAATTAGCAATGACTGAAGGACCCCTCTCCATGCTGCTCTTTTTGATATTATAATTTGGTACTTCTTCTCGACTTGTGAGTACAGCACAAATCATGGTCAAATTAAACACAAATTTTTATCAATAATATATCAAATCACAAATAATATCAATAATCAGACTTGATAAAGCTTCTTTGATAAATACGCAGGCCGTCACATTTCATTTATGCTAAAGATGATAGATCCCATCCACAGATTAGATTAATAAAACAATAAGTACGTACATTGATAAACAGGCTGATAGATTATACGTTCATAGATAAAAAGGAAGACAATGACGGTTAATTTCTATCCGGGAACGTATTTATGACAATCGAAAATGCACGGCGCAGGTTGCAACATTTCGGCGTGACCAAAAAGATTTATGGTTTAACCTAGAACGCTTTTTTTTAAAGAATGTTATTTCTACATCTATTAACACGATAGATAGAGATAGAAATAGAGAAAGAAAAAGAGAGAGAGAAAGAAAGAGGAAGAGAGGCTGCCTTAATAGCCCGGCGCAATGTGCTACACTTCTGCAATGCACCTGAAATTTGAGGGTTTGACCTATTGACTTCTCTTCTCCAATAATGTTTTACCGCATTATTTAAGATTATTTTTAAGATAATAAATAAAAAATAATACTAAAAAATAACTATTACCATCCTTTTCAAACTGTCAATTGCAAATAAATTAAAATTAATTAATTAGTTAAAATTCATATTCGTACTAACTGTAAACAACGACGACTAAACATAAATCCCTTCTGCGGATAATTTTACAAATTGACATGAACTGAAGATGAAGTGTAAGAGAGAGGGGAGGGGAAGAGAGTGTGTGAGATAGATTGCTTAATAGTACGGCGCAACGTGCTACACTTCTGCAATACACTTGAAATTTGCTCGTTTAGCCTAATGACTTTTCTTTAAAAAAAAAAAAAAAAAGGTTTTACCAGACTATTAAATCTTATTTTTAAGATAATTAAAATATTCTGTTTACGTTTACAGGATTACTCATTTGTATGAATGTCAACACTTATTAATCCTCTTCCAAATGATATTGTTTGTTTACCTATGTAGCATTNTATTTTGATTAAAGAACATTGCTTTAAAGTAACTAGTTTCTTTTTTTTTGTTTAATACCAAAATCCTGCATTATTTTCCGGACAACCCAATAGTAAAATAAAAGATGTATTATAATAATAAGAAATAATAACTATCTAGAAGAATAGAGAGAGATTGCCTTAATATCACGGCACAAGGTGCAAGCAATTATAATAATACTGCTATGATGCTACTTTATATAATAATATATAAGTAAATATAATATGTAATAAAGGATTATAATAATAAAAATAATAACTATTAGCATCCTTTTTTTAATTGTCAATTGCAAATAAATTAAAGGCATTTAATTAATTAGTTAAATTCGTATCAATACTAATTGGAAACAATAACGACTAAAAGAATAAATTCTCTCTGTGGATAATTTTACAAATTGAGATGAACTGAAGAATGGAGAGAAAGAAAGAAAGAGAGCGTGAGAGAGAGCTATGAAAATGATGAAATGTCTGTTGTGTAAAGCTTGTAATTGAATTAGAAGCAAATCTTGTTAAGGGGCTATTATATATCAAGCATGTACTGCGTGTGTCCATTCCTGATTTAGATTTCATCATACACAAGGTATGGATTTACTCCAGGCAATTTCCGACTGGTTGATGCAATGGTTCGGCCGACAGTTAAGACCAAGTCCGGAAAACTGTGAAAAACGATTTTTAGTCAGTTTTATCTGCCATGTTTATATAATTGAAAATTTCATTTTCATTTGTTTTATTTTAGAGCAGAGATGATGGTTCACGAGAGACGGTCATTAAAGACGAGATCGATGCAATAAACAAAATAAATTTCGAAAAAATAAGAGAAAAATACGAAAATGGTGAAGATCTCATGCCGAACTGTGATGTTGGCGTTTGGCTCAGGGATTGCAAGAAGGAAATTATAAAACCGATACTGGGTGAAATACAAGGTACAAATAAAACAATTAACCAATTTTACCACAGCCAGTCTTTTCATAATTATGAAATATTCCATTAAATTTTGTTGAAATCAACACACAACAGATTAATACTGCAAGTTAATAAATTTCAAGCGAGAACATAAGATTTCATCATATAACCCCTCCCCCCGACACACATTGACAACAATCAAAATCTCTTGTTTCTCAAAGAACTCAAGGATACGCTTCCAGAATATACATTTTCAAAAGGCATCTGCAATATGTCAAGCATCAGTCAGTGTATTATTTTTTGGCATTTTGCTTTATTTTTAATCAATAGCTATCAAACATATTGAAATTTTTCGTTCAAATTAAATAGAATATATTCATTATCTGATTAACAAAAGGTTAAACAAATGAAAATATGTTTATTTCTAGATGCCATAGATGAATGTGAACTGAATGATCCAACAACTAAATACTTAACTTAAAAAATATGATTTACAATGATCATCCATTATGATAATAATCACAACATATACAAATGATAATTTAACTTTAACTAACAGAAATGAAAGTAGATTTGGCAGCTAATCCGACTGCTTGATTAATTGTAATCTCCGACGTTTTACATTCTGATATTTCATTTATTTACATAAAATTCAACTCGCTATGGTCTTTTTTTAGCATTGTAGGAACATGTAATTTGGTCGTTATTTATTATTGTTATTTTGGTCTGCCTATCCTTGCTCAGTTGATCTGTCAGACGTGATATATTTCGGCATATTGCCATCTTGGTCGCACCACTAAACCTCCAAATATTCAAAGAAAAATTAACCCAAACCCAACTCAGAAGATAGCGAAATGCAAAAACTCAGACCAACAGGACCAATGTGTAAAATAATTTGCATCACAACAGGCTCAATCCATTAATTTGTGATACTTTTTAATAAAACATAAGTGTAGTTATGATCAAAATAAATTTAAATTAATTATTATTTAATGAACATTCAGTTTCAAAATGTTCCACTTTGATTTTTGTTATTTTAATTTGATTTAACATTGAATTAACTTTTTACTGACATTTCAATAAGAAATCCATTCAAAAAATTGTCACATTCTACTAATCAACTATATTATTTAGTTAATGCAAAAATAAGTTTTTTTATGTAATTTATATGTGTTTATTTTATTTATTTATATTTTTTATAGGCGAAATTCCTGAATGGTTGAATGGAAATTTGTTCAGAAATGGTCCAGGTGGTCTTTCAGTCGGAGAAACAAAATTCAAACACCTTTTCGATTCAACTGCCATTATACACAAGTATTTAGTAATGCTTTATCAAGATTTTGATTTAAATTTATTTTTAGTCATAAATGTTAATTTTGCCTATGTCTTCCTTAACTAGCACAGTATAGTAGTCTGCATTTTTCTTTTCTCTTTTAACTTTTTTTTTTAATCTTAGGTAAATGTTTGATAGTAGATTTCACATTCATTGCAGGATGACAATGTAGATTTCTTAAAAGTAGAACATATGAAAAAACCATGCTGCTCAAAAAATAGTTGTGCCAGAATTTGGCCCAGCACCTGTATGGAATCCTTGCATTCTTACATAATGAGTGTTTGATTGTAGATTTCACATTCAAAATGGCAGGGTGACATATCAATGTAGATATCTTAAAAGTAGGACGTATGAAAAGAACCACACTGCTCAAAGAATAGTTGTGTCAGAATTTGGCACAGCACCAGTACGGGATCCTTGCATGACAATTTTTCAAAAGTAAGTTATACATTCTCTTTTAAGAACTTACAAATTGCTTGGAAAGTGAGAGTAAAGAGAAGAAGTGAAAGTAAAGTAAGATGAATGGTAGAGGAAAGTGCGATGAAGTGAAAGGAAGTGAGAAAGAAAGAGGAAAGTGCGATGAAAGTGAAAGGAAGTAAAAAAAGTGGGAGGAAAGTGGGAGGAAAGTGAGAAGTAAAACAGAAATGAGATGAAGTGAGAGGAAATACGATGGGATTGAGTGGAAGCGAGTTAAAAATGAGATGAAGTGAGAGGAAGTGATAAATGATAATTATAAAAGCTAATGACTCTCATACTCTGTTCGGATGATTTAGGTTTTCATCAATTTTTGAGCAAGATGTATCTGACAACTGTATGATTTCCATATATCCATACAGGGATCAGCTGTACACTCATGGTGAAACGCCTACAATGTACAGAATCGATTCAAAAACTTTAGATACTGTTTGTTCTGTACGTTATAATATTCATTTTTAGAAGTATAATAAATGTTTGATCAAATGATTAATGTTTCTTCAAGGTACAAGTAGATAAATACATAAACATAGCACATCACACTGCACATCCGCATGTCCTTGAATGCGGCACTATATACAACCTTGGTACAACTGTCGAACCGACTGGTCCCAAATATTGCATCTTTAATTTTCCACATACTAAATTAGGTAATATCATTTTTCCAGTTATAAAATATTATATATAATTTTATAACAAATAATAATATATATAATAAAAAATATTCTAGATGAACCAAAGGCCAAGGATATTTTTTCTGAAGCGAAAATAGTGGCAAAGGTCAAAACCAGATGGCCTGCTCATCCAGGGTACATGCACAGTTTTGGTATGACGGACAACTATTTCATTATAGTCGAACAGCCGATGAGCATTGCTCTTCCTGAAATGTTTTTTGTGAACAAAATAAAAAACAGGCCTTCATCCGCAGCACTCAAATTCTACAAAGATCACCCTGTAAGTGTAATGTTATTATTGGTGTGGTTTTTAATCAAGTATTAATGGCCAATTTTTGTTTCAGACATTGATCCACCTCATCTCAAGAAAAACAGGAAAGCCAGTTTTCAAATTCAATGCTGAGCCGTTTTTCTATCTTCATATAATTAACCAGTATGAAATAGAAGACTATGTTATTCTGGACATATGTGTTTACAAAGACCCATCAATGATAGACTGCATGTTCATCGAAGCCCTCAAAGTACATTTGAATTGAAATATGTTTTTCTGCATTTTTCTAGTATATACATAATATTTTATTAAACTATTTTTATACTGAATCTAACTTGAATTGTATCATTTAAAAGGTTTTTATAATTAAAATGTGTATAAAAGACATAATTACTTTTTTTTTAATAATTTTAAAAAGTACAAAATTAAACTCAATTTTTTAAAAATGTAGCAATGTTAAACTATTTGTAATTTAAATCTTATCATACACCCATTTGCAATCACCCTGGACTGCATATCCATGTTGGCTTGGTCTGTTAAACAGGTTTTGGCATTTTAGCACCTTCAGTAGTAAAAAGATCAAACGAACGAGGATAGAAAGATCACCAGGGCAGATGTAGCAGATTATATCTACCAACAGAATTATTTTTTATTTTTTTAAGGAAGCAAAGCACAATCCGAATTATGCAAAAATGTTCCGAAGTCGTCCAGTTCGGTTCGTTCTACCTTTAAGGCAGCCAAAAATGCAAAAGAATCTTGTCACGCTCAAAGAAACAAACGCCAGGGCTTACTGGTCCAAAGGGAAAATATATGCTGTACCGGAAATCCTGTGCAAAATTGGATGCGAGACCCCAAGGATAAATTATCCTTTATATATGGGGAAAAAATATAGATACTTTTATGCAATTTCTTCTGATGTCGACTTAGAAAATCCAGGAACTGTAAGTGTAATAACAACCAAGAAATAAAAAAATATAACAATTTTTATGTTTTTAGTTGATAAAAGTTGATACATACACAAAGAAATATAGGACTTGGTCAGAACAAGGAGTATTTCCCAGCGAACCAATATTCATTCCTAATTTGCAATCAAAAGTAAGTATATGTGTAATAAAAATTTAATAAAATACATACATAAAATAATTATTTATATTGTAGGATGAGAATGATGGATTAATTTTATCATCCCTTCTTTGGACATCAGATGAAAAAAAAGTGGCACTTTTGATACTGGATGCCAAAACATTTGAAGAAATTGGTAGAGCGGTGTTCAGAACACCAGAGCCAATACCAAAATGCTTGCATGGATGGTTTATTAATTTAAAATATTTGGAATAATTATTAATTATTAGTTTATGTTAATAAACTAAAGGGCATAAAATCAATTTATTCATCAGCTTTGTATAAATATTTTGGGATAAAACAAGACACTCACTAAGTGAAAAACAACAACAAAATTTTTAAAAATTATATATTTTTAAGTTTTGCTTGTTTTGTTTAACATCCAATACATAATTTAATATACATATTAAATTCTTTTCATTTTTTAATTACAGTTTAACAAATATTAAAATGATTTTGAAGAGTATAACATTTAAAGTATTTAAACAGCAACAAAAAATTTCACAACTTAACAACTGCTATTCAGGATGGAATCGTGTTGAAAACATTGAAAAGTTTGATCAGATTCGATTCAGCGTTAAACAGTACAATTAAATTTGAATATTGTAAAACAAACAAAAAATAAATAAATAAATAATGGACAATTTAAATATTGTGTTAAAATATTAAAGATATACAAATTGATGATAGTTGTTTTGTTTAATGTTGTTAAAAATTTTAATAAATAATTAAAACTTACTGATGCATAATAATTATCCATTTGAAATCAATGTTGAAAAAACACTTAAAAGTATTTAAACAACAAAAATTTCATAACAAGTATTAGGATGGAATTGTATGTTTAAAACATTGAAAAATACATTTTTATTAGATTCAATTCAGCATTTAGTCAAATTAGTCTAATATTTTACTCAGCTTTAAATTAAAAAATTGTAATTAAAATAGGATGTTTCTATTGTTAAATAATTAACACTTTAAAAACAAATGTTAAAAAACTTAAATTTTAGTAAAACAAAGAAAAATAACATTTTTTTATACATCAATTAGCTACATTGAACACCTAGTTTTCTAATTTTCTAATTTGATAGTTTTATATTTTAAAAAGTGCATTTCACAAACAACAACCATATAAAAGCATTTTGATCGTGTTTTTTATTTGTTCATTTTAAAAAATGCTTAAATATTTAGTTATAAAGCTTTTGTTGACTTTCACAGAAAAATAGTTTGTTTTTTTTTGTAATAGTTATTCTAGTTTGTTTTCCTTTTGAGCACAGTATCAATTCATTTCTTTATTATTTCCGGTTAATGTAATGAATAAAATGGAAGAAATAATTTGGTAATAAAAATAAAAGACTAGATTAGAGTTTCTTTGATTCATAGTGCTCAGAAATTACAAAATCATTATGATATAATTTTTATTTTCAGGACCCCTGCAATTGTACTCACAAACAGAACAGCCAATGCAGAAAGCTTTAACAATATACAGACATATTATCCATAAATTGTATAATTTATTTTTTATACGAGAAAGCGTTTTTTTTAGAGCTCATAAAATTAAAATTTTACATTCAACTGCCATCAAAAAATATTACAATAATTTATTTTTACTTCTGTTTACATATTTGAAGCTCTTAAACTTTACATTTAATTAAATACTATGAGAACTTTGTGAAATTTATTTATGAAGTTATAATTTAACAATTTGATTAGCTCTGTACATTGGAACTTTATGTAACTAATTTAACAAGTATAATTTAACAATTTGATTAGCTTTGTACATTGGAACTTTGATTTTTTTTAATATAAAAAAGTAAAAAACAAAACAAATTTAAAAATTATTTGGTAGGATAATCACAACAAATCCCTATACTATACTTAAAATTTAAAAAATCAAAACACAAAATACACGGTTCATTTACAAAAGTAAGAAATATGTAAATAGAGAATATTGAGATTTACATATAGACTTGTTTTATTACTATTTTAATAACTTTGAAAAGTTATAATTTGCGTGATTTTTGCATTTTTCAGATAACCTAATCGAGAAATAATCTTTGCATATTTTTAAAAGTGTAATTAAAATACTGTAGATGATTTTAATTGGTTCCCTACAGCAACTAGTTAATAGAAATTATCAAATATTTTACCAGAAAAAATCGTACTATAATTGAAAAAATTAATTATTTTTGCAAGCATTATGTTAGAATTGATTAAGAGAAAAAAAATTGATTTAACAACACCTATTATATAATAATAATAATAACAACACCTATTACAAACAATAAAAAGCACAAAATAATGGATTAATAAATTGGCCCACATTTTGAATTGATTGATTTTCAAAAAACAACCTATTATTAATACTTATTTTTAGCACAGCATCAGATAAGATAAGCATACATAAATATAGAACAGAAAATTAATAAAATCTATGTTTCATGAAAAAGACAGCGGGTAACTCACTGACTTTCTCGCATTTTCTTTTACAATAAAAGCAATTGAGAATTTCATTGTCATAAATAACAATAAAAATAATTTGTTCGATTAAATTATAATGACTAGTATTGTAAATTTGTATTGTAAAAAATTGTAATGGCATTCAATCTAATATATTTCTGCTTTGGCAGGTTAAATATATATATATCATTTATAAACATTTTTTTGCTTCAATATTAATATTGCATTCAATGCTTAATATTGCTTAATATTCTTTGCTATAAAAAGCAAATCAAAAACTACAACAATAGCATCTAAAACAATAGCACATGATCATGTAATTACTCCCTTAATGCATTAAAACTGCAAATAATTTTTTATTTGAACAATACTCCTTTTTGTTTTTCAACATTACCAAAAAAAAGTTGTGGTGCAGCAAGGTATGCAGTACAATTTTCAGTTATATGATTAACATCTTCAAGATTCACAACCCACAAAGATCACGTTTTAATTTCCACAATACTTTGTGCACTACACAATAGTCCACCGCTAAATCTCACTAATCTCATTTGCCAACTCTGTTTAATAAACTGATTGTAGCAAAGGCACATGCATATTTTAAAAATCATTAGTTCAGCGTATTTCTAAAACTAAGGAGAGAGCACCATTATTTTTGAGTATGTGCATATTGTAGAGGGGGTGATTTAATGGTCTTTATCCCTTGTTTTCAAGATCGCCCTAATGATTTAACTTGACTGTAAATTAATGTACAGTCAATTAAAAATAAAGATCTCTCCAGAGAGTCAAGATAAAAAGAATTTACTTTGTTACAGTAAAAGCTTATTTTAAAAACTAACATACTTTCTCAATTTTAGACTCTTTTTGGACAACAGAAAGAAAAATTGTATGGTTGCAATAGCTGTACATTATCTGCAAAGCTCATTATTTTGTTTTTCTACAATGTACATATTCTATACAATACTTAATAATTATTTTAATAAGTTGGATAACTTTTTAATAGCTTAATATTTGAAACAACTGATTTAAGGTATGTTTTAAACATGGTTTCCTGGAATGCTTGTTTGTTAGTTTTATTTTTTACACTGTCAACAGAAAGATTATTTTCAAGAGAGATCTTTTGGTTCGAGCGAATCTAACTCAAGAGTCTACAATTTACACATACCTTTACAGGAGTTGGGTTCTTGCGGCAAGTGAACGGAGATATAACTTCCGTGGAAAGGAAGCCTTATTGGTGGGCCTCCTTGTGTGAGAAAAGGCTATGTAAATGACTTGAGATTCATTGTGGCCATCAGCCTGTGGCCAGTCACCATGATCATGTCCTTGAGGTGGCATGCATGAGCTGTCTGCTGGCATTTCAAAATATATCCCTCGAACTCTTTCCCAGGTGGAAGTATCTTTGTGAATTCCTCACAGCTCAAAGTCCTTGCCAGGTTGTTCAGGACTTCTGTTGACAAAATTCATTTTTGAACAAAGTTTTTCATCAATGAAAAGATAGATTACCTTCTAAAACATTTGTGTAGAGTCTTGACTCGGGATCTTCCTCTTTATAGCTTTCTTGTTCTTCGTCAATTTTTGTTTGTATTGTCGCGATCAGGTGCTTCAATTCTGGTTCTGATAAAAGCATATCTTTGGCAAATTGGGGCAATAGATTTGGATATTTATCGACCATCATTTCTACTCCTTTTGATGGATTGGCGAGTACGAGGAGGCTGAACCCGATATCTTCTGGCATATACTCGCCGACAAACTGGGTTAATTCGGATAAACTACTTTCTTCAAGCCAACCGCTACATAAAAGGCACTGAAATAAACAGATTTAATATAACAAACCAATTTATAAAATTGTCTGATTTATAAAATTGTTTACCTGGAGTTTGAGCAAGCTGACATGGTGCGATCTGTTACAGTCCATTTGGGAAAATGGAGGCAGAAGATCAAGAACATGCGGTCTCTTAGCACCAAAAAGATTTTCTGGACACATGACTTCACTTGATTTTTCTGGTTTGACAATATTACTTAAATAAGATCTCATTAAGATCTGAAAATAAGAGAAAATTATCAGTGAAAAACTGTATCAATTAGTAGATAAATTTTAAATCATTAATTACTGATTATTATTATTTATGACTATTATCATTGGATATTATTATTATTATTATTGAAAAATGGCAAAAAGGAGGGAAAATTCGAAAGGTGGGGTTGAGATGGGAAGTTAGTGTCCGAGTGGATCGAAGTCACGATAGCTCAAGTGGTAGAGTAGTGGCGTAGCCGAAGGTCGTGGGTTTGAATCCCGCTCGTGACATTGACTTTTTTATATCAACTTAAAACCTTAATTAATTGTAATATATTAATTGGTCAAGCGGACCATGACATTAGTGAATTTACTGAATTAAAATGAAGTATACTTCACTAAAGCTCTCCGTGGCCATTTCATTTGTCTCCGAGAATCCAATCCGATTACACGACATTTGAAAATGGCAAAAAGGAGGGAAAATTCAAAAGGTGGGGTTGAGATAGGAAGTTGATGTCCGAGTGGATCGAGGTCACGATAGCTCAAGTGGTAGAGCAGCGGCGTATCTAGCCGAAGATCATGGGTTCGAATCCCGCTCGTGCCATTGACTTTTTTATCTCAACTAAAAACCTTAATTAATTGTGATATATTAATTGGTCAAGCGGACCACGAAATTAGTGAACCTACATAAAGATTAATTAATTGAAAGATATTATTTGGTCAATTAGACCACGAAAACTAGTGACTTTAATAAGTTAAATGAAGTATATCTTCACTAAAGATCTCCCTGGTCATTTCATTTGTCGCCGAGAATCAAATAGATTACACAACATTTGCAAAATGGCAAAAAGGAGGTGAGATTGAGATGGGAAGTTAGTGTCCGAGCGGATCGAAATCACGATAGTTCAAGTGGTAGAATGGTGGTAGAATGTGGGTTCGAATCCCGCTCATGACACTGACTTTTCTATCTCACCAATACCTTTCATAAAGATTAATTAATTGAAAGATATTATTTGGTCAATTGGATCACGAAAACTAGTGAATTATTATTTATAATCATCTTAAACGCCATTGAGGACTTATTTTACTATAGCATAAGTAACAAAATCTCTCATAAACCAACATTAGTTAATGACAAAAAAGGATCCTGAAATGTTTTGTTTTTTGTTTTTTAACAAAGAAAATTTTACAGCATTTTTTTATATTCTACATTAGTTTGAATGTAGACTAGAACTCCAAACACTATCATCGGAACTCTACATTTTACAGATAAGACTGTTAAAAAATAAAATTATACCTTGAGTCCTTCTACGTCTTGTCCTTCGTTCTGATCGGGCTTCCAATCGGAATTGATCGTGTACCATCCATGGAAAACGCTTTCTAGGAAATCTTGCAAAACTTTACCCAATAATGTGCCTCCTGTGCCCATACGAGCTGGCAAATAAGTTAAAAACACCTAAAATGCAAGAAAAATTGTAGAAAATGTTTATTTTAATCATTTAATTATTTGTTACCTGAAGAACGTCTTGCAGGTTCAATACACAGCTTTTTAATACTAAGGAACTCAATACTTCAGCCAATTCTCTAGGTTTTTTATCGATTAAAAGAACTGAGAGTTCAGACAAAGTGACGCCTTCCCAGTCATCAGATGAAACTTTTATTTTCTTGGGGAAAAAATAGAAAAAACATTAATGCCATATAATTTTATTATCATATTACTCATTTCGTTCTAATTTACCTGTCTGGTGTTTTCAAAAAGAAGGGTCCAATTTTTCTGCAGGAGCTCAATCAATACGTCATTTTCATTAGAGAGACCCAAAGCAGCTCCAGCTTTGTCTGCCCTTCCCTTAGTGATGTAAAGAACAGCTAATGCCAAACAATCAAAAGAGTCTGTAACTTTGCTATAACCAGTATAAATTGTTGTTATTAATTATTTATTAGACATGAACAACTAGGCTATTACCTATCCTGGATTCTTTGCGATATCATACGGATTGTCCTTTCCGTTGAAAACTGTCGCAGCACGGATGATTCTAGGATGAGTATCGATAATAAAAAAGGTTTTGAATTGTCTCGTTTTGATTCAATAAGGTCTAAAAGGGTGTTGAGAGCACCTACTGGAATTTTATCTTCTTCGTCACTCGCAGTAAGGCACAATTTTAAATAATGGATCAATCCACATGTAAGATTCAGTTCTATTCCAACCTAACAAAAATAAAATACAATTATGAGCAAAATTTATATTAAAAATCAGGGTTAAGGCCAATTTGAAAGAAAATGCTTAGTTCTTCATCAAGCTTGCGAGACATTTTAGCCATATATCGTATTTTAGCCACAAGATTGACTATTATTTCTATATATCAGGTCTACCGGAAAGTTCTAGCCATTTTTAGAATAAACAAAATAATAAATTTTTCATTCCTTAATAAACTTTATTGAATAATATAATTTTCATCATTAATTATGACTTTTTGCCAGCATGATGGCAATTTGTATCTCCCATTTTTAAACAATGGCTTATCCCTAGAGGCAAAAAATTGAACCAGTGCTTGTCTGATATCTTCATTTTTGAATGTTTTGCCTTACAAAAATTTTGTAAGAAGAGAAACAAGTGATAATCGGAGGGTGCTAGTTTCGGGGAGTAAGGTTTATGTGACAGAATTTCCCAGCCAAGGTCTGCGAGTTTCTGACGAGTCCCTAAAGCAGTATGTGGCCTGGCATTACCATGAAGCAGCAAGATGACTTTCCTATTGAACATCACCGGCCTCTTTTCTGTGAGTGCTGTTTTTAAATTATCCAATGGCTGACAGTACCTTTCCGAATTTAGCTTTTCGTTTAGTATCAACAGCTCAAAATGTATTAGTCCTCGAATGTCCTATTTGCCTTCCCCTAACAGATGACCACATGCTGACCATAACCCTTCACCGGCTATGATCCAAAGTCGCTGGCCTACATCATCAGACTTAAACTCTTCATTAAGTGCCATTTCATGTTATGCGATTTTTTCAATTAATTTCATTTCGTTAATTTCAATTCAATTAATGAGTGTGTAAGCATAACAGAAGTTGAATAAATCAGGCAGAAGGGTATATACACACAACAATCTCTTACTCAGGCTCAACTTCGGTTTAGAGGTGAAGGAGGCAGGTTTTCTGAATTCACATTATTATTTTTAATCCATCCCTAACCATCCCTAAATGTTAAATAAATGATCTTTGCAGTACTATTGGGGCGCTCCTGATATTCTTTAGCAGTCGTTGTACACCAAGATGTACATCCAAGCTGGATCATCACTGGGTACGGCCACAGATTTTACAAGTTGAGTCCATGACAGTTTGTGGATATGATGATATTTTAAGAGTCTTGACCTTTCCATATTTTACAGATGTGTACAATGGACACAATAAACAAAACAAAACACAGACCAACCATGGTGGCGAAATGTCAAAAATGTATATGACTGAAAATACCAGCAAGAATAAATAGACCAGAATGATCAAGACTAATCCAATTATAGGTTCATCACTTCAAGTATCTTAATTTTCACAATTAGTGTTATTATTGTAATAAAATTTTAAAAAAAGAACATTACATGTGTATAAGTTATACAAATTATTATTGTTTCACAAAAATAACATACTCTTTTAGCTTCAATGTCCAATTTCTTCAGTCTGTCCATAAACTGTGTCGGATTCAACTGTGCTTCGAGGCTAAATTTGTAACCCATCGTCCAATCATCCTCGTTGTCACAGCTGGAAAATAAAAAAAGTAAATGAATTTCGCAAATAAACCAAATACGATAATTCAAATGACACTACCTAAGGTAATACTCGGCGACTAAAGCGCAAGATTCCCTAAATAGCTCGACCTCCATCTGAAGAGGGGAATAGTCAGGATCAGAATGGACATGAGTTAACGATCGAAGTAAACTGTGCGCTTCGGTCAACATTTCACAGTATGTCACCGGGTTTGTAAACTTATGAGTCGAACCGATGGCTAAAAAATCTGTATAAAGTGTTCCAGGAGAAGGCAATCGTAGGCAATAGAGTGTTAGTTCATTTACGTCTCCCCTAAAAAGAAATTGAAAATATTTTTTAAATGAATCTTAGTAAAATACATTGATAAGTGTTGTTTTAAATAAAACAGACAGTCATTACAAATAATTAACAGAAATAACAAACAATTATTTCACATTTTTTTTAAACTTTTTGGTGAACAAACCTCACTGCTGATTCAGTAGATGATGTTAAAATAATAATGTAAGAGTCTGACAATAATAAATTGACAACTCCCATAAAAGGTTTAATGCCGATGAGTGAAATAGGCTCTTCAACAGGCGGACAAGTCTCCTATAAAAATGAATTTAGTTTAGGTTCTTAGTTAAAATCATCTAAGATCATTTGAGACAGCATCGGACCTCATTGCTGTCTTCCTCGATTGCATGTACAGTCCTCAGAGTGTAAGTTTCCAATCCTGTGGTCGTGATGGCATGTAGAAGATAAGGTTCAAGAATAATATGTTTTACCGGGGCTGTGAAACTGTACTCTGATATACACTTTCCCAAGCTCATCTGGAATTGGAATTCCCATAAGATTTGTGATCGATGTCATAAAATAAATATATAGCTTACTACTTCGCCTTCATATACTGGGAAATGGTACATAAATCCTTCCTGCTGTGTACAGATAAGGCAGTTGAAAGCGACTAAGTTGCAATAAGCAGGGGATCTCATTCTTGGACAACTTGATTCTACATGAAATACAATGGGTTAAAACAAAAATAAACAATTGTTTATAAATAAATAGTATACCTGATTTTGAAGGATAATGTGTATTTATTTTGTACTGAGGTCTTAAAAGAAGACATGTGAATTTCTCTTTATTTAACTGTTCATCCCAATTTCCAAGTTCAAGTTGTAATAAACTTTCTACCATTGTAGTCATTTGTTCTGCCCAGGGCTAAGAACACAATTTATAAATGAATTTTAGAAATAAAACGTAAAAAATTTACTCATATAATTACCTCATTTATAGGTATTTCTTTTATAGCCACTCCCATTGTTACAGAGCCTGGGGGTTTAAAAGGCGAAGCTCTGAGATTTCTTGCAGGGTTATTTGCCATGCTGCATTTTACTGATGGTAAAAGTGCTAATACAGGGAGTGACCCATTGGCTAATTTCTTACTTTCATGATTATTCCGACCATCTGAGACTTCTCGTAAGAGTTCATTGAGCCTCACTGGGCTTACAGATCTCTCCTTTTTGTCATCTGATGTTTTGATTTCTCTTTTTGTTTTGTTTTTTGCCATGTTTCGTGGTGAAGAGTTTGCCGTAGAACTACTCCAGTCTGTAGGCCTAGCAAAGCCTTTGTTAATCCTGAACACATGGAGACAGGAATCATTAACAGCAGCTACTACATCTTCCGACACAGCTAAATCGAGTGGAGCAAAACTCAGTTCCAGAGTTACAGGCCATAGCTCAAAATCAAGAAATTTAAGCCTAGATATATCATGCGTTCGGTTGACGAGTTGAAAGAGGCAAAGGACTCGTTCACAACTAACAAGAACATTACCTGTTTCCTAAAATTTCAATCATTATTTAATGTAAGAAACACAACCCGATACCGCGATGCCTTACCTGACAGCAAGTGAAATTAGTTGTATTCGAGAACTTAACAGGCAGTTCTATCATTTCTAAAACTTCTCCACCTGTCTGTGAACTGCTGGGAGTTACTCTCCCGGCAATCCTCGCTCTCATGGACTGGGGTTCTTCATCAGAAGACACCCTTTTGTCCCAATTGGTGTAAACTCGAGTGTATGCAACTTCCTTCCCTTGCCGTGTTTGCTTCTTTTCCAATGTCGCAACATAATTTCCTGCAAAATATAATGATGGTACAAAAAGGCCCAATAAGTAAATTATCTACTTGTTTTGTTACTATTTCAAACTATTATATTAAACAGTTCATTTTTTAAAATAAGTAAAAGAATCATTTTCTCTAATAAGTAATTTTGTTTTTTGCAATTATCTAAAGTTCATTAGCACCAATGCAGTAAATCTCTTAGCAGTAAAATTTACAGATTGCATACGTTTTCAATATCATCATTTATAAGCATCCTATTAAAAATTCATCATGGATTTACATCTAAAAACATATTGAATCATACAGATCAACTTGTTTTTGAGAGACTAGACGAACCAAAACTGTAAAGGTTTATTTACAAACTAAATGATTTATTTACAAGGTGGATTTACAAGTAAAGCTTCATTCATGTCGAGATGTTTGTTTCTTCTGACTGATGATGATATTTATAACTTCCAAAAAGGTAATTGCCATACTCACCCCACCTCAAACCATTTATAGCAAAATTCACTTTAATAAGTTAACTTTATTTCCTGTATCCAAGAAATTAATTTAATAATATTTTAATATATAATTTCAATGATTATTCAGAGATCATGAGATGCGGTCACTAATCACCACACTTATAATTTCAATGTAATGTTTGTATATTTGGTTTTGTCACTCGATTAATAAACATAAATTAACGGTCACTAATCACCACACATATAATTTCAATGTAATGTTTGTATATTTGGTTTTGTCACTCGATTAATAAACATAAATTTTGAAAGCCCTCTTTAAAAGAAAATTCTCTATGGCATTTTTTGGCCAACAGCTTTTTTCTCCCTGAAGATAAAAAACTAATTAATCCGTTTTAAGAAAAGCTAATTAAATTTTATATAAATAACGTTTTTAAACTTTAAAAAAAAATTTGTTATATGTATTACATTTGGAACTGAAATGGACGAAATTGTTCAAAAACGCATATGTAATAAATGTGTAGAGATTAGTGACCGTTAATCGATATCTGAATAAATATGTAATAAAGTGCAGACGTTTGCTTAATTTCCATTCTGGGTGTATATGCATAAACATGTTTTTGCTCATTTAAAAACAATATATAATGTTATTACCCAAATAAGTACATGCCAATATTGTAGAATACTTAGAATTTCAATTATATAATTCTATGCATTGTATTTTTCCTTTTAAAAAAAAAATAATAATAAATCAATCTTTTCAATTATATTATTCACAACTTATCAACATTTGTACTAAGCATGCTGTTAACGGAAAATTGTTAATCACAAGTGTGTAAAGGTTTGTGTAAAAACAAATATTTATCTATGAGATTTTTTAAATTATTGTATGATTTATGCCTAATATTGATTGTAAAATATATTTTACTGATTTGTATTTTCAATTAATGTGATACTAGATTATTTATTAATTAAATTAGATTGTTAGTACTGTAATTAGAAAGTTATGTTAGCTGTTCACCTATTTATTTTTATTTTCGTGTTTAATACTACTGTCTGTTAATCAAGGAATACTACGAAAAAGATGAAAACGGGGTATTATAATTGTATTATATTATTGTATATCCATTAATCATATTTCAAGTTTACCATTGACACTAAAACAAACAAACAAAAATATAAGGGCAGGTAAAAATAAAATAAATTAAATTTGAATTTATATAAACAAAATTATTGTATTTGCATATTTAATTTACAAATCAAATTTACAATCGATAAAATAAAGATGTTAACAAGAGAGAAAAAATAAACAAAAAATGTTCTAGTTACACATCATTATCATTTTCATTTTCAATTTCATCATCCTTTTCTTCTGTGTCATCTAATTTTTCATCTTGTTCATAAAGATGGGAATTTGCTTCTAATTTGACTACCAATTGATCGATTGCTTCAATAAAAGGAGAAGAAGAAAAACCTGGAAGCTCTGAAAACACTAAGAAAACTTGAAGGAGTTCTTCCGGAGTCAATTCTCCAAACTCTGTAAATATGTCAATGCCGAGGGATATGAAATTGGGCCCACAATTTGGAACCCATCGTTCTAAACTTGGTATCACCCTAGAACTTTTTTTGACCATGTGATGTTTGATAAAGAACCAGAACGGTTTCACCAAATGTTTAGGAATTCTGTCATACAGATCTCTTTTGGGAACAGCTTTGATTAGATAAAATTGGTCAGGACTGACATTATACAATTGTCCTACGTCTTTAATATTTTTCCTTACAATGCACCAGGGAATAAACGCTTTGGAAGGAACAGCTGTAAGGCACTCAAAATCGAATAACAATTTGAACAAAATAGGAAAAGTTTTATAAGGATACTGAACAATTTCTTTGCCATATGTAAGTTGTAATAAAGTTTTTGCAGACACTAACACAAAAAGATCAAATCTTCCGTATGTTGCAAGCCCTTTTTGAAAAATAATGCCATACAATACTCTTCTTAGAAATAATTGTGAAGGGAAAGCTCCGATAATTGTAAAGAAGGAAGGATCATTCCAAGATCTACCATCGACACCATCCAAAAACCCTTGGAGTTTGGGTGAATTTTCAAGACTATAATTAAATGACGCATTCCATAAATCTAAACCATTCATACTAAAAATTTTTAACCTATCTGGATTCTTTTTTTCCAATTTTTTTTGTAAGGTTTCTTTAAAAAAAGAGTCCTTTTCAATAGCATGAATTTTTGAACAGTCTAATTTTAATAATTCCTTAGTTAGCAATCCAAGCCCAGGGCATATTTCAATAATAAGTCCTTCTTTCCCTGATACATATGTTCCAATGTGTTTCACTAAAACTTTTGCAATATTTTTGTCTAAACAGTACACAGTATCTGGAAATAAAGCCCGCCTCTGTAATAACTTTATATTCATAAATTCTTTGTTTTGATTGAAAATTTTTGAATCTTTGAAATGTTTCATTAAATCTTTTAATATTGTCCTTTTCTGGTTTGACACACAATCCTCAGAGTTGTTATTGACCTTGTAACTCCTGGCCACTTTTGTACACAGCGATCTCAAAATGAGACGAGAACCAGCGTTTAAACTCCTCATTTCTTATTCAATATCCCATAAATCATACAAATATATTTGAGCAATCTTCTTAATCCGTACCTGTAGAGCAGTACAAGAGCTTAACAACTTTGTCAACAGTTGGAAAACAAAACTGTTTTCCTCCTTTCAAATTAATATCCCTCACTTCAATCACGTGATGCGGAAGGGCAATCAATAACCTGTAACAAATTTCACACATAATTACTCACGCTGTATCTTTATTGAGGTGTGGTCATACATAAAAAGCTACTTTAGTTAATTAAAACTGACTAATAAAAACAACAAATGGAATATTTTTTCTTTCAAATATCGTCAATTCTTAATAATCAATTTTAATCAAAAATTAAAACTTAAAAAAAATCAAACTAGTTATTAAAAAACAGCCAATTTTCCAACATCAAGTGTTATAAAAGCATTAATCCCATCCTTTTTAGTAAATACATTAACAACCTCTCCGACTTCATCCAGAACTGTAATTATCACCTTTATGCAGACAACTCCCAAATTTACCTATCCTTCCATCCCTCAGAACTCCAATTGGCCATCCTACAGAACCAGAACGACCTTAATTCCATTCATGAATGGGCCCATAAAAATTCCCTCAACTTCAATACGTCTAAGTCCTCGGCTATAATCATCTCCAGACTTCTCCTCAAAACCCTCCCCATTATCCCTTTTCTCTCATTACAAATAACCAGCACATCCCCTTTCGAACCTCCGTCAAAACCGGAGGGATTATCCTCGACCAAAACCTCACATTTCCCAAATTTCCTGCCACTGTATAGTCTCCCTCAACCAATTCCGTCAGTCCTGGCTTCTCTTACCCCCGTAAACTCCTAGTACCTTCTCTTATATTTCTTCGATTACAGTTGTGTGGCATACGGGGGACTCTTGAAGGGGCAGAGCAGGCGCCTGAAGCACATTATGAACTGCTGTATCATTTTCGTGTTCCCGTATGTCTCGTCTGTGTTCGGATCTTTCCTGGCTCTCCCCTTCCTTCAGATCTCAGTGCTTCCTAGGATCCTTCCTTTTTCATTTTTTTTATACCTGTCGTCCTCATCATCCTACACGCCGAATTCAAATCCTCTCACCACTCCTTCAGAACCCGATCGCCCCCCAGTGACCTTATTCTCCCCCAACACAAAACCCACTCCCTTCAAAAGATCCTTCCCCACCCACACCCCCAAACTCTGGAATTCCCACTTTCATTCAATTCATCAAGCCACCTCTCTTAATTCCTTCAAATCCCTCCTATATTATCACCTCCTCTCCCTTCACAGTCTTTTCTTAAATTTTTTATAAAAATTGTAATATTTTCATTTTAATTTTAATTGTTTTAGACTGTCAATTTATTTGATTTTTATGCATTTATTTTCATTCCATTTTTCCCGCCAAGAAGTTATTTGTTTTTATGCTGTTTTCACTCTGTTCTATTTTGCACTTTGTGATTAGTGGAACTTCCATCCAGTTAAACCATTCTATTATTATAAAGAGACACTGTTCCAGAATAAATATATATTTCTTCTTGTATAAAACCCTTAATATACACATAAATCTTTTAAAATTATATATTAATAATATCAAATTTAGTGCTTTTTTAAACTATATCTTAATTAAAATCTGTTATTGTTACATCCAACACATATTGAGTAATTTAATATTAACAAACTAAAAATCAATTTTTCTTATCGCAGTTTTTAGGCCTTAGTCATAGCACTTAATTACTGGTAATTGTAGGAGTTCATCCATCAGGTCAAAACACCTATAAATCCAATAATTAAAAATTTATCAGGCAAAGTAACTTTATCATCAAGTCTACTTTCTCTGGCAAACTGCTAAAATGTGTCAGACTTTCAAAACCAACAGGAAAATGAGATAATTATGCTACTATATCTTGGCATGTTAAACTCACCGAATATTAAAGAAAAGAGTTTTTAAAAAATCATGTTTTTGTTGTAAATCTTTACTTATCTTAATTTTGGTCATATTGGTCAGTTTTTCGTACTAATTCCTATTGCATTTGGTCGTAGAGACATTATATTGAATAGGCAGTGTTATATCTTATATGTTAAAAGAACAGAAGTTGAATCCAATAAATAAATATTTGGATTAATTGTCCAACTGTTTCAACACACCTTCTGTTCAAACATGGCTAGAAGGTTGCGACATTTAGCGTAAATCTATAGTGCCAGGTTTTTGAGAGTTACATCACAAAATTAATTGACAAAAGTGACACCAAAATTACTATAAATTGTAATTCAATATGCCAAAATGTGGTCATGACAGATTAGTGTGAGGAGAAATCAGATAAATTTTGATCAAACCGCTAACAAAAACTTATTATTTAAACAAATGTAATCATTTTTTAAAATTGTAATAGTATGATGTGTTTTATTTGAATTTTAATAAATATTTCAGAGGAATTATCTATCCTGGGAAGTTTCTACGTAGAGACCTATTTATCCAAAAAGGTCGTCGGCAGTGAACTTGGCAATGGTAAATATTTAACTTATTTTACGTTTTGTAGATTCACACTGCACTAACCAGGCCAAACATAAACTACATCTTCTTAAAATGCGGAGTTTCATACCAAAATGCACAATCTAGAAGTTATCTGGTAAATTTCCATAATGCTGGCCTAGCTAAATAGCAAAGAAATCTAAACCTATAATTTGTAAACATAAGAAGGCAAACTATATCCTAATAAATCAACCATGTTTCCATATTCCAAAGTTGAGATTCCAACATACTCATCACCTTTTTTCAATAACTTTCAATTAATTAAGGTTTTTAGTTGGGTTAAAAAAAGTCAGTGTCATGAGCGGGATTCGAACCCACGATCTTCGGCCAGATATGCCGCTGTTCTACCACTTGAGCTATCATGGCCTTGATCCACTCGGACATTAACTTCCCATCTCAACCCCACTTTTTTTAATTTTCCCTCCTTTTTGCCATTTTTCAAATATCGGGTAATCTATTTGATTCTCGGCGACAAATGAAATGGCCACGGAGAGCTTTAGTGAAGGTGTACTTCATTTTAGTTATTAAATTCACTAGTTTTCATGGTACGCTTGAAGAATTAATATCTTTCAATTAATTAAGGTTTTTAGTTGAGATAAAAAAAGTCAGTGTCATGAGCGAGATTCGAACCCACGATCTTCAGCTAGATATGCCACTGCTCTACCACTTGAGCTATCGTGACCTCGATCCACTCGGGCACCAACTTCCCAAGTGGAAGTCACGATAGCTCAAGTGGTAGAGCAGCGGCGTATCTAGCCGAAGATCGTGGGTTCGAATCCAGCTCGTGACACTGACTTTTTTATCTCAACTAAAGACCTTAATTAATTGAAAGATATTAATTGGTCAAGAGGACCACCAAAACTAGTGAAGTTTTTAATAACATTGAACAAAAATACCAACCTGAAGAAAAAGCCCTGAGGATGACTTCAAATAAAGTCGAAAGCTTGGCAGAACTGTCTGGATTTTTAAAACCAACCAAATCAATCACCGCAATCTCCAACATTACTTCATTATAATTACAACTGCTATTCAATAAGTTACCCTGCTACCATGTGCTCAAGAAGTACTCAGATACTTGATAGGATGCACAGATAAGCAGCACTCGCAACTTAGTGAACAAAAGCTACAAGCTTGGCCAGTTAAAATATTTAGTTAATTATTGAAATGTCTTTAAGTCATTGTCTAGTTTTAAGCCCGTACAAACCCTTTAGCGAGTGACTCCCTGGTTAGATGAAGACTTCTCTTGCATAAAAAAAGTGATAAATAAATCTTGTAAATTTTATATTTATTAAAAAATCAAAATTAAAATGTAGGGGGACCGTGGTAGCCAAGAGGTCAGTGTGACAAGAATCGTGGCTTGTAAAACCCACAGCTCTTCAATTCCCAGTGTCTCCCTTTGTCTTTTATCCCAACCTTTCCCTGATTCTTCTCACTCTGGCTAAGATAAATGAAACCATTAAAAAAAATAATAATAATGATAATAAAATAAAGTAAAAATTACCTGTAATCAGAAATAGAAGCAGGATAAATATCGCAGGATTACATACATATGTTAGTATGTTTAACTTAATTATTAATAACTTGAACATAACAAAAATAATCACTGTGATATCCAAAACTACTCATAAATAGTAATAAATCCGCTTAAGTCAATACTGGCTGAGTAGAAAATGAGACTTAATTTATATTGGAAGCTCTGTACCTCTGTAAGCTTTGTCACTTGTTATTTGTTGGATAAAATATTTATGATACCACGTCCTATTAAATAGTATTGTTTTTTTTGTTTTTTTAATTAATCTTGTTTTGGGTTTGCATGATTGTTTGGGTTTTATAGTTTTTGTTATTGATTGGGTTGAAATGCGACCTTTCCTATGGTAAACATCATTGTTTACTATTTATAAAGATGGTATTAAACTCTAATCCAGTCCTAGTTAAGCATTCGTTCAGTTAATATATGTATGGTTTAGTGCTGAAGCCCAAATTCACCTTATTTTGCTTTATACTGCAAACCTGGTTTGGAAGTGACTGAGGTTGCTCACGAAATATGTACAGCGTTTAATGATGATGCTTCTCTGTTTAAGAGATTTTTTTTTTTTGTTAATTGTATGATAGTAGTGAAACGCTCAAGGATTAGACCAAAGATTTAATTTATTTTGAACTCCACAAAATTTGAACAGAGATAGCTTCCAACTCAAAATCTTTTTATCAACTATTTCTATCAAATGGTAAAAGTAAAACAACTAAATAACTGGATTTTACAGTTAAATTTATTAATTATAAAATTGTTACTTTATCTGTACTCTTTCTTTCCTGCTTAAAAACAGAAAAACATTTTTTGGTAAAATCATCACGTGCGAAGAATTTTTTTGGCAGTCGTTTAATGCATGAGGAACTCAACTTTCAAGCTTTTTTACCTTTCAATCAGCTTAAGACAAGTTGCTTATTGAAAGATTTTCTGAAGAAATCAGAAGCTAAAGGAGTTAAGCTTCGGCCGGAGCTCGCTGAACATCATCATCTAGGGAAGAAATCCTTCCACAACCTTCTTTGTATTCAAGGCTAAAGTCTCCCTCTCGAACATACTCTTTCTCACACTGCCATCGCCCCAGACTTCATTAGTATCTGGGCACCATTCCGACTGAATTTAAACTCGGAAAACGAATTAAACAAAAATCACACGTTATCTTAGTAAAGACGGAATTATTCAAAAGTAATGGAATGATGCTGAGGTAAACAAATATTTTTGTTTGGAAGAAGATTACAGTGTTGACATTAATCCATCCGATGTAAAGTTTATTATATGTGGGAGTTAATTAAAAGAAAACATGAACACCTGCAATATTTTCTGCACAACCCAATAATATAACAATCCCTAATAAGTAAGATCTTTATGAAGAATATTTTTTGCTTAGTTTTGTAATTAATCATGTGTTATTGAGGATGTACTAATTTATCCTGAATTTCGTGCCGAATAGGTTTTTTATCAGGGATTGCAAGACATCAAAATTCTTAAATTGTCTTTAATTACCTGTCATTTGTTGTCGTACAGACATCCAAAGGCTCCTCACATGTCTGAATCACTTGACTGTCAAAATGATGAACAGATATAACACGAACCATCCTGAATTGAAATGATAAAAAATTTATTTTTTTACTAATAGCAAACTTTCAATTTTATACTGGAAAGGTTGAAAATAAACAGTTGCGCTTGCCTTACGATTACTGTATGGCATAAAACCTGTTGAAATCCGACGATTTTTCATACGAAGACCGATGAAAGCATGGCATAATTTCCACTTTGAATTGATGAAACGGTTCGCCCTTCTTTTCCAAAGGCACTGAAGTCTGTAAAATAATGGAAAAACGAACAATCTGTGAAATCGGAGAATCTATTATCCGCCTTATCAACTAGATTCCGATGTGTTTGCTGTTAGGGGCATTGTCTGAAATGAAATAAACTAATAAAGCCCTGGGCAGAGGTCGCCTCTTCATAGAGATTGATTAAGCAAAAGGACCAGACATCGAGTCTGAAATGGGCACAATCGATGCCACTCTTTTTCAATCTATAATTAACTAAGGTAAAATTATTTAAACATTTATAAAATTAACGAATAAAACAACCAATGAAATGTTTAACTGACTACATTTATGATCTAAACAGTACAAACCTCTGAAAAAACTTTTCACTTTGTGGGCAATATCTGCATGGAATATGTAATTATGAAATTAATAATTAATAAAAAATAAATTAATTAGGATGACACGTCAAGTACAATATTAAAGAAAAGCAAAATATAATCTTATAAATTAAACAAAAATTGTTTGCTGAATTTTTCTCATTTTCAGCACATAGTAAAACAATTTGTTGCACACACATACAGTACTGTAAATAATTAAAAAATTAAAAGTTAAACAAAGAACAATTGTAATTTTATCAAATTTATTGGAATTTATAATGAGATTTAGGCCTTTTTCCAAATTGTTATACCATTGAATGTTTGCCTGCTAATGTTTGAATGAAAGTTGTGCGTACAAGATTTCTTTCTTTTTTCAGGAATTTTTGAAGCTGTCGGAGCGGAAAAATGAAATGGAAGAAAATACAAATTACAGGGTAATAAACTGCAATGCCCAAAATCGCAAAAAATTTAAATAAGGAAGATAGCTCCCTCAAAAAAAAATATTATTATGTTTTGTTTCTTATTATTGTTATGTACAATTAGTTTATTTATCATATTTGAATGGAAGAATAAAAGGATAACGATGAGCCTATACTCATGCTGAGACTGATGCTAGTCTGACTCCATTATTATTATTATTGCTAGCCATACAAGCCTATGGGGATTGTTTAAATTACAGAACAAAAATTCAAAATTCTAATTTAAAAAAAAAATATATAAAAAACAGAAATAAATTGTATATGTAATTTAAAATGGGTTTTTTGCTTACATTTGGCCTTCCAAAATAAGAGTTTTAAAAGGATAAATTAAAGATTTGGATGGCAATAAGATAAATTAGTTTACGAGTGAATGTTTGGAGTCAGAGTTTTATAGCACTAGGAAGGGATATAGCTAAATTAAGATAGAAGGTTTGGAATGTTAGGGCGTGAAATGACCTTAGCCATTAAAACGCCCTTAAAAATTAATAATAATAATAATTGTAATTTTAGAAATCTTGGTTTTTCAAGGAATTTAATAGTGCTTACCGTTCCGTCCTGTGCTATGCATCCCATATCTGGGGGTTTCAGAAGTATGAGGTGGTAGAAAAGCTCAGAAATTTTTTACCAAAAAACTTCCCTCTCCTTCCAACACTACACGTATGCTGTTGTTAGAGGGTTGACCTACTATTTATTTTTACTTTAAAGCTCTTCTCATTTGTTTTCAAACACATGAACTTGGCAGAAATAATTGAGTTGAGGTATGTCCATACACTTTTTGTAAACGATGGTTCTATTCAGGGAATTAGCAACTATTCAGATTTCGAGTTTGCTAACAACAATTCTGTGAGTTGAACCATCATTTACAAACATGAACGTAGCAGCCTCTCCTCTATCCAAAATTACAGCTACAACGGTTTGTATGTACATTGTAAAAAGTAAAAGTAAGCTAGGGCCATTATACTTCCTAGTAGGAAGAATTATTAATTTAGCCTCAATAAATAAATTAAAAAGTGGTAAAAATTACAATTTCTAATCTAAATACAAATTTACTTTAATAAATATATAAGCACATAAGTATATTTATACATATAGGGTGTCCCAGTTCCTTCTGACGAAACTCAGGGAATCGATTCTATTCTTTGTTTGGAGCAAAAAATGCTCAGGAGAAAATTTTCAGAAAGTTCTCTATTTCGAAGATATAGGTCAATTTAGGTTTTTTAAACTTTTCACTATCTTACCACAAAAAAACGCTTACAACTTCCAAAATGTTGTGACTACAACAAATCCAATTACACCATTTGAAAGAACGCTAAATTTGCTGTAAGATACTTCTATTTGCAATAATCTGAATGACATAAAATGTTAGCCAATATCAGTTGGAACATGTCAAAATTACAAAATTTAAAATTTTGGTCATGATTGCACGTTCTACTGAGGTTACAAAAAAATGCCTACAACTTGTCAAATTTCACAAAAACTTTACATTGATTTTTCAACTCTGCTAGAACGTTATTTAAAAACCTGGATATATCAACATAAAGCATATTAGAGGTTTGCTCCAAACAAAGAGTAGAATTGATTCCCTGAGTTTCGTCAGAAGGAACTGGGACACCCTGTATGTTTAATTAATAAATAAATATTAAAATATAAGTATAAAGATACATGTTTTAAGTTCATTCAAATTCTTTACACTCATCTATGTTAGTAACTTGCTGTCTTTATTCATATTTAAATCATCAGCAAACATTACACATGAACTATTTTTTATTACATTAAATATTTGGTTGGCATATATGGAGGGAAAAAAGAAAGATAATAATTTTGATCCTTGTGTAACTCCTCTATACACAATTATCCACTCTGAAAAAACTCCATTTACAATTTTTACGCGCTACATAAAAAAGAAGAGGGAAAGAGAAAGATAATATAGTGAGATTATTTTTTTTAAATATATAATATTACAGGTTGATATAAATTATACCAAATGTTAGTTAGAGTTAAAGAAAGAAAAGAAAGTGTGTGTGTGTGTGTGTGAGAGAGAGAGAGAGAGAGAGAGAGAGAGAGAGAGAGAGAGAGAGAGAGAGAGAGTGTGTGTGTGTGAGAGAGAGGTGGTGTGTTTTATTTAAGGGAAATATAGAAATAGAAAGAATGTTAGGATTATATAAATATAATAAAAATATTATAAATATAATATAAATATTATTACAGCGTTGAGATAAATGATTATTTTTTAATTATGTCCTTTAATAGTCACTAATGGAAATTATAACTTTTAGGTCAAAATATTATATTAAATTCAATATTTGTCCATTAAGGCATAACTGACAAACAAATAGTTTTGTATAACTTATGATTTAAGAGCTTAATGTAAATATTGAACAATGTAATAATTTCGTTTTTCAAATTCAAAACAAACAATAGACTAAACCCCAAAGATATTAGTTGAAGAAAGATTATGTTATTGGAAAAACTAAGACAATCGACCAAAGGCAAATATATATATTTTTTCATATATATAAATTAAATTCACCAAAAGGAGTTTAAGCTAGCGTTAAACCTTATCACAAAGACGGGATTCAGGGAGTATACTCTATCCAGGATTTGTGGCTATCAATACGAATATTTATGCCGTCATTTCACTTGTGATTGTTAATCAAACTGTACAATTTATTATCAATGATTTACAAAAATGTTAACAGTATGATCCCTTGGATTAATTAAATATTCGTTTCTTGTCATAAGAAAGGGAAAAAATGGATGATTTGTATTCTTCAAAAGTGAGGGTCTTTGTTAAATTAAAAAATATATTGTTTGCTGTTTTTTATGTTTATATAATTTTGTTTTAATTTTTAGACCGCCTTATTTTACATATTTAATTTGATCGTCGGCGCTGGTTCTTTGACATTGCCTAGGGCTTTTTACGACGCAGGATGGGTCCTCAGCTCTGTCCTTATCGTTGTGTTGGCTCTATTCAGGTATTTTTATTTCTGTTGTTTGGATTTCATGATCAAATACTGAATTTCTGTCTTGACTTGCAGCTACATAACAGTGACATTCGTCATAGAATCAATAGCACTATGCTCTTCCATAATCCAGTGGAGAATGGTAGAGAGGATGAAGAAAGTCACAAGAGAAATCCGTTCGGTAACTACAAAACCTGTATAAAATCAAATTGAGTATGTGTAATAAGCCTGTACATAATATAAAAAAAAATCATCAAACAAGAACCATTTTGATTTGTAAATAATTTCAGGTACAATCAACTCTTGATAATTCAAAACCCAAGGGACCTCTAAAATAACTTGAATTATTAAGAGGGAAAAAATGTTGTTGAATGCATTTTTTCAAATTGTACATATATAAAACATAGTAAAAATCAACTGTAAAACATTGTTACACATTATTAAAAAAATCATGAAACAGTTTTGTTTCAATGCAGCCTGGTTTCCTTTGTTTAAATGATTTTCCGAAGTTTGCTGAGTACATATTGTCAAAACACTGACCACAAAATATAACAACATGTCTAAATTTAGAGGAATATATCAAAGAAAAAATATAAATTATTCAGAAATCGTGAGATGCGGTCTGGTATGATGTAGGTTTCAGAAAAACATTTTATTTATCGTGCCAACGTTTCGATCTTTATTGAGATCATTTTGAGCCCTGAAGATGATCTCAATAAAGAGGAATATATCAAAGAAAAAATACTTGAAATACTTTGATTGGATTTCAAAAATATTTTTTTCCTTTGTAAAAATTCACTTTTTTCCACATCCTACATGTATTTGTAAAATTTAAACAATGTTTGTAAATCCCATGCCCTGAAGATGATCTTAATAAAGATCGAAACGTTGGCACAATAAAGAAAATGTTTTTCTGAAACCTACATCACACCAGACCGCATCTCACGATTTCTGAATAATTATCGATTAACGGTCACTAATCACCACACGTAAATTATAAAGACGGGAAGTGGCTCCATTTCGATTAATAGCATGCTTTTTCTCCCTATTACGAAAAATATTTCGTATTACTAAGTGTATCAAAATGCACAGAATTTTTTTGATTTACTGAAGTGACCTGTTGAGGAGTTCGTATTATCAAGAAATTCAAATTATTTAGAGTCGACTGTATATAAGTGCTTTTTAAATCAGAATGGTTAAAAACAATCTGTTGGTCCTTGCACTGGGTCACTTATTGGTGACTCGCAGTTTTGTTGAACTGCTCAAATGCGTTTCAGCACTACGCTATCTTCAATGAGTAATAACTCTAATAACTTAAAATGACAAAATGCGTTTGAGCAGTTAAAAAACAAAAACACGAATAAAGTCGGACCCAATAAGCGACCCAAAGTCGGTTCAACATAAGATTACCAATGTGCACACCAGTACCCGGCATCAACTCTAATTTTGGTTTTAGTTTGTAAAGCTATAAATTACGTTTAGAATAAATATAGGTCGGAATTGTCAGTTAGACAAGTAGAACTGACGGTGATCTTTTTAAAGTAGGAAGTCTTTCCTTGACAGGATTTCTTGATTATTTTCTAACTTTATCCCTGTTGCCTTCTAAGAAATAATTTCACCCTGGTTTAAAAAGTTTGTCATCGTATGTTTGTATTTCTCTAAATGTATTTTTATGTTTAAATATAGGTAGTAGATGAACTGTTCAAAAATGTTACTTGGAATGTTTCAGAACAGTCCTGATACCAAGTTCCCAGTATCTTGGATGTTTCTATACAGTAACAAAACACGTTGGCTGTATAATGTTGAGCAACATTAGGCAGCTTTGGAAACAGTTCTGAACATATAGTCGTCTTAATAAGTGTCAATAATTAATAAAAGGATTACACTCGGCTGTTTGTGTGTTGTTGAAAACATGGGGTATACAGAAATAAAACATGTCACATTGTGGACCATTTGATTTGTCAAAAAAAATTTGAGTTATCTATCGCAGGAATTAAAATTTTTTTAAAAATTTAGAAGAGGACACACAAAATTAACTGATGCAAAATGAAGCCATTCATTTCCAAGAAATTTTCAGATTTGTTGGGTGCAACAGAAAATTTTCTTGTTCAATAAAATAAATGTACATGGAAGTCGCAACTGCTGCTTGTGAAACCATGGTGCACTGGTTGAATCTGCTTCTAGTCTAACAAAAAATAATGTGCACTAACGAAATTCCTCAGTGTATGTAGGCTTTATGAATTGATTCTGTCTTCAGGCTGCAGAAGGCGAAATGGCCTCGGAAGACGAAATGGAAATTAATGAAGATGCGCTGATGCTGCCACAAGGTTTGCTATGGAAATTTTAAAATTGAAAATATTTCACTTGAACAATTTTTTTAAATTTCAGAATACATCGATTTTTTCCCCAGTGAACCCCAGCGACTGTTCTCCCTCGACAACAAAGTCGAACTTGTAAGTATTTTAATGTTGATTTACTTTATGATTTAATGTATGATTTTGCTTGACCTAGGGTGAAATGGCTCTGTTATTATTCAACAAATTGGGTTTGACGTTATTCTACATATTTTTATGCCTGTATCTATATGGTGACTTAACTATCTATTCCGCTGTTATCTCTAAAACTATCGTCACCACCGTCTGGTAATTTTTTAAACGATGAGCTATAAATTTACTTCTTATAATTTTCAAATTTTAAATTTATTTTCAGCACTTCGGACAATCTCAATTCAACGCTGTCTGATTACTGCTGGACAAGTTATGATTTTAAAAGGGGTGCAGTTTATAAAATGGCACTTGTAAGCATTTATTTTTAAAACTAAAATACACAATTTCTTTTATTGTTTTAATTACACAAAGGTTAATCAGTAGTATTTTTTTTTAATGGTTATTGGTTTGAATCATTACCAAGATAAGTAAACTATGGAATAAATAAGAGAGATTGATAACATCATCAATTAGTAGTTTTAACTTCTTTTTCTTAATAAATAAATTTAAAAAAAACAATATTTTCTTGTTTTAGAGTGGTGTTTTATTCATATTAGGACCATTTGTATTCTTCAACATCCAGAAAACTAAATATTTGCAATTTTTGACTATATTCTCTAGATTGTTGGGTGAGTGATAATTGTTATACATTTTAATATACATTTAAATTGTTTTAATTTTTATAGCTTTTGTTTTGATGATTGGGCTGTGCATAAAGAGGCTTGCTAACCCAAATGTCGAACACGGACAGCCTCCTCAGTACAACTTTGAAGGTTTTCCAGCACTCCTCGGCTCGTGCGTGTACTCATTTATGTGTCACCATTCTCTTCCTGGACTGATTGTGCCAATAATGAACAAGTCAAAGCTTAAACGCTGGATCGCTTTGGACTACATTGCAATTCTCATTTTATATTTGACGCTCGCCCTTGTGGCTGTATTTGCGTTCAATAAGATCGAGGATCTTTTTACTCTCAACTTCCCTCCAGACACGCTGAAACCAAATCTGACGAAAGACTTAATTTCTTACTTTTTGATGCTATTTCCCGTCTTCACCTTTTCGACTACCTTCCCGATAGTTTCAGTCACTTTGAGGAGTAACCTTCAGGTAAAGAAAGCCAAATGATATTTTTGTTTTTAAAATGTTTTCTTATGTTCTTTTTGTTTTGTTTCCAGGCGATGTTCATTTTCTGGCAGTACAAATACATTCATACATTGATCATACCAGTAATTACTGTTGTTCCACCAGTTTTGTTAGCGATGACCACTGACAAAATAGAAAACCACGTATGTGTTAAAATAAACTATAAAATTTTTAAAAAAATATGTAGGCAAACAAACAACTTTTTTTAAGCTTAATTTATAATTACTTTTTCAAAAATATGATATTGTAAAATTAATATTAACTCTTTAAATAACTTTTAGGTTGGTATCACTGGTTCATTTGCTGGCATCGTAGTCCAGTACATTATACCGGCAGGACTGGTGATCTTGGCTCGGCAGCAGATCCCACCGTTGCTGAAAAACGTGTCGAATCCTCATTCTTCCCCATTTAAAACGATTTTTTGGCCAATATTGGTCCTGACTTGGGCTGTCATATGTATAGCATTTGCAATAATAAACATTACTTTGCATAAGCATATTGAATAATTTTCTATGTATAGATCTAATCAATTGACAATACTGAGTGAAAATAAGACTGATTTTTTTTTCTAACTCATTCGTCCAAGAGCAATTGAGAAATTATATTGTTAATCTGATTGTATTAGTATACATTGTATGTATTAATTTTAAAAAATATGTAGGCAAACTAACAACTTTTTTAAAGCTTAATTTATAATTACTTTTTCAAAAATATGATATTGTAAAATTCCATTTTCCTACTTATGTAAAATTATTATGAATAAATTGCAGTTTATAATATTAAATGTAATTATATCTATAATGTTTATTGTTATTAAATTATTATTTTCTTATAAAACCATGGCTCTTACTTTTTATTTACAATTTGTTTCAGCTTTAATTAAATGGAAAAATATTATTTATTTTTATGAGGGTATTTCAACTAAGACATAAAATGAACCCTCAGGGTTGAAAAAAGTCCATTTGTGAGAATGTCAAACTTAGAACCTTACCTAGAATGTCTACGTACACCTTAGATGTGGCCTCTGCACCCCCCCCCCAAAAAAAAAGACATTGAAAAATGTAAATATTTCCTATAAAACATGAAGGAAATATTAAAAAGAACCCTTTTTCAAGGACAGTTTTTATTTTAACATTTGAAAATAATAATAGAAAATTAATTTAAAAGTGGTCGAACGACATTTTAATTGTAAGTCATGTATCTCGGTGTGGACGAGAATTTTGCATAAGACTTTATAACTTTGTTAACTGCTTCGAGGAAGTCCTTTTCGGTTGCGACTTTCCTCCTAGCCCTAATCGCAAACATCCCGGCCTCGGTGCAAACAGATCGGATTTCAGCCCCTGAAAATAAATTAACAACCTAGTGATACAAAGTCAAAGATGGATTTTTTTAAATCATTTAGCTTGGAAAAAATGTATGTGCTGAGATGACAATTATCATTTGTGATCCTTGCCAGTGCCATCGAAACACATTTTGCAACATTGAGGAATAATTTTCTGAGTAGATCTAAATATTCCACATGAATTCAAGATTTTTGAAATTTTAATTACCAGTGCTGTTAGGGCATAGCCTGGCCAAAAGCTCGAATCTTATATCACGCTCAACACTCATTGACCTGGCGTGGATTTTGAATATATGCGATCTCCCTTCTAGGTCCGGAAGGCCGAATTCTACTTTTCTGTCTAAACGGCCAGGCCTCATCAAAGCCGGATCTAAAGTATCAGGCCTGTTGGTCGCCATTAGAACCTTAACAATTAAATTAACGTTAAATTTTACTTAAATTGGACTTCCTGAGCATTGAATAATAACCTTTATGTTTCCTCTTGGATCAAAGCCATCTAGCTGATTGATGAGTTCAAGCATAGTCCTTTGGACTTCATTATCTCCTCCTGCACCATCATCAAACCTTGCGCCTCCAATTGCATCAATTTCATCAAAAAATATCAAACACGCTTTTTTACTGCGGGCCATTTCAAACAGTTCTCTTACCATCCTTGCACCCTACATTAAAAATACAACAATGAAATATAGTTTTTAATGGAAATATTTATGCATTATATATTATGTTTTATTTACCTCTCCAACGTATTTTTGAACTAATTCTGAACCAATAACCCTAATGAAACATGCGTCAGTTCGATTTGCCACAGCTCTTGCGCAAAGCGTTTTTCCAGTTCCTGGTGGGCCAAAGAGCAACACGCCTTTTGGGGGTTCAATTCCCAAATTGACAAATTTTTCAGGCTATTAAAAAAATACATATTATTTTAAAGATACACAAAAAAATTTAAAGAATGAATTACATGAAGAAGAGGTGTTTCAACAACTTCTCTCAGCTTTTCTATTTGTTCTTTACAACCTCCGACATCACTGTACGTCACGTCAGGTTTTTCTTCTACTTGCATCATTGTCACAGTTGGATCGATTTTAGGAGGGAGGGGAATATGAATCTGATACTTATTACGATCAACACTGTAAAAAAAATCAATTTAATTTTCAGTCAACCCATCTTGGGAAGAGAGTTTTGTGCCAAAACACGTCTATTTGTTGAAAATATATATAAATATAATTTTCTGCATAAGATAAAAATAAATAAAATGCTCCTACTTTGCAATATTAGTGTTAACACTAATTTTTTTCATTCAGTTCCATTTATTATTTAAAATAAAATTACAGATTAATTAAGGTTAAAAGAGTGAAATAAGGCCTATGTGAAAATCAATGTTGGGTAGGGATATGAAAAATCTGCAAGATTGCATTAATATTTACCCAACTCTCATTCCTTCCTCGATATCAGTGGGTGCAACCGAATCGGCCAGATCGACTACAAATTTAGCAAACTGTTTCACATTAATGATATATTTTGGGTCTTCGGTATCGGCATTTATAATTTTGGTGCATCTGGCGACCTAGAAATTGTGTATAATGTAATCAACTTTGTACTTTATTGTAACGTATGACTGTTTACCTGTAAGGGCTGTTCATTCTGAAGTGTTTGCTTGTCGGCTGCCAAATCCCAGAGCGCTGGAGGAGCAAGGCCGGTATCAGATTCTTTTATTCCTGTCAACTCGTTAACACGCTTTATAACGGTCTGAATATCATCTTCAACCAATTTAATGCCTTTTGTATACTGTCCTTGACCCTGAAGAGAAAGACATATATAAAACATTAGTGGTTTGCAGGGAAATAAATCTGCAGTCTGATCGTAAAGAATCAACCTACACATTTATGTACGTGATTTTTTAAAAACCATACTAATTACATTTTGTAAGTTAATATACTTACATAGGTTTTAAGAAGGGCAATGTCAGCCTCATCGAGCGCTAAAACAGATAAAAATTGTCTAATTGTAGCACAATCGTTTATTTTATTGTATTACAAACTTATGATAATGGCTTATTTTTAATAAACTGAAATAATTTCAGTTCAGTACCAGGGTATACGTTTTTCCAGACTTTTATTATACATAAATTTCAATCAGAACAACTCAAATATTTAAATGTATGACATGATTTACTTTTATTTGGATCTCATCTTTGGATCAGTTAGCCAAAGTACACTTCCACTCTTTGGTATGCTCTGAACTTAGCTCAACACCATCAACATTTACAAAATCATTACTTGGCTTGTATGCTGTAAGTTCTGAATATTTAAATTTATGGACAATAAGCTACTCTGTAAGTTGCATTTATTGTTTATTTGAAATAAGTCCATCTTACAGTTTAGAATTTTAAAGACACAGGGTTAATTTGTAAAAGAACTTCCAAAGGTGGTAGACGTCTGGTCTCGTACGTAACCCTAATATCGGTGTCCAAAAACCCAACAAATGTATTAAAATCATTTAAATAAAGGGAGCCTGTCTAAACATCTAACTTCTAACAAACTTCTAACATAAAAACATCACATTTACTGCAGCAATTGAATATAACAGTACAGATCTGACAAAAACTCCAATTTGACATGCACAGAAAATCAACAGAAACAGTTGAGGATAGTTAGGCCAAAATATCAGAAACAACCAAACTACAAAATATTAACATCCAATAAAATCAACCTTTAGTCCAAAAATTTGAATGGAGAAGTTGGTGAGGAAAATCTTCCAAAAGGAACAAGATTCTAGGATGTGGACTTCAGCAAGTCATTAACAAGGATAATCACACAAAAAGTGTTTGTCTAACGTCAAACAAATTTGGTTTGTCACAAAAAAGTGTGAAACCACTTACACAAGTTAAGGAAAATCAAAACATATTGACCCTCAATAGGGTCTCATAAAGCCCAATAATTTAGCTTGCTCGTTTTTGATTATTTCTGATTGCTTATCCTTGCTGTTTTGGTCTGTCAGAAATTTTCATTCAGAAAGGTTCATTGCCCTGAAGATACCAACAGTAAATTTCACAATTTATTACAGAAGAGAGTACTTTCTGTAGTTTGTGTATAAATTAGGGCACAACTTCTCAGAAGATCTGGTTAAGTCGCATTGGCCAAAGAGCCATCTCTCCAAGAAAAATCAGCACTATTACATACAGCCTGCCTATTCTTACTATTTAGTCTCTCAGGTGAATTTCAGCTTGTCGCCATTTTCTCTGTTCTAGGTTATTTTGTTAGTCTTATCTCTTTTAAACTTAAAAAACGTAAAAATTGAGGAAAAGACACATTAGTGAAGATGGTGAAATGCTGAAAAGGATCTGACAGACCAAAATAACCTATTATATTGAATATGCAAAGTAACTTGATGCACAGGAATTACTCCAAAAAGGTACATCTGACTCATCAGGCAAGAATTGGGGTAAATTTTATGGTACTCTGAAAAATTACAAAACACCTTCATGACTGAAGCCTTGGAGTGATAGTAAGGATATTGACGCCTAAAATTAGCATAGTGGCAAGGAAGTGTTGTGTAAACAATAAACCTCCGGAATACAGAAAATTTATGCGCTCATCAAACCCATTAAGCTGCACCTTAGAATATCAGTCTCGGTTCGAACAGTTTTTCACTGAACATGGCGCAATGCGAATAACTCAAACAAAAAAAAACCGCAAGTGAAGACAGACCCAGTAGTGCCCGTGTGCCGGTTCAACTATGGTAGTTGATTAACAACCTGAAAAAACAGGGGAGCACAATAAATCTATTCAGGTCGAGGTGCAAAAGGCCTTGTGGCCACCTCTTTTCCCCTAGATTATATTATACACACGTTATATAGCCGAAGGTCATGGATTTGAATCCCGCTCGTGACACTAGTTTTTTCATCTCAACTTAGACCTTAGATCAAAAGTATAATTACTTAAAATAATTAATATCGTCAATTATGACTACTAAACATACATGGATTATACACACAACTTCAGAATTTTTGCTACAAGCAGCAAGCTGCAAGCAAGATCGTACACTAAGGAGCCGCTGGCAAGGCTATAGGGGTTGATAGGCTGGTATAACACCAGACTAGCCAGTTAGTTGTTAAAAAAAAATGAGTACAACATATCTACTCAGGTTGAGGTGCAGAAGCCTCGCAGCTGTCTATTTAATCCCTATCCCTAGGTTAAACATTAACAAACAGAAATCTTGAGGAATGTCTGTTCGAATCTTCCATGCACCAATCGCACATTTTTGCTGGTGTTTTGCTTGTCTGTTGTATGATGAAGTAATGCATCAGGACGTTACCTAATTGAGATGACACGTTTTCATTTGGTGGCAAGCAGCACTGATGCCTTATCCGGATTGGTGATCACCTGCCTCCCGTGTTGGGCAAAGAAGGAGGGAAGAAAACGCAGTTGGTAAGGGAAGCATGTTTTGTCGACAGTTTAATTTGGGCGTTTTGATTATTTCAGTCTGCCTACACTCGCTGTAGTCTGTTGGAAATAGAACAGTCCAATGAGTAAATTCACTAATTTACTATAGAAGAGTGCACATTCTGTAGTTCGGACAAATTTGGATACAACTAAATAATAGATATGGTTGTCAAAGTGGCCAGGGAGCTTTTTATGTCTCCAAGTAAAATGCTTTAAAAAAAGGTAATAAAAATGTACAACAAAAGCAAAATTAATCAGACCATCGATTACGCGTTAGCTTTATGAAGTAAGAACAAAGCTTCTTATAGTTTGATTTTTTTCTCTGTCTGCTTATAAGCCCAAGTATATGAAAACACGCGTTCTGTACATAATTCATTGTTTTTACCTTTTATTTCCTTTTCTTCCTCCTTCTCATCTTTCGTCTTTCTCATATCATCTCCGAGATAGTCTGGCATTTTTTTTCAATGAGCAGAAAGTTTTGAAAATAAAACTAAAGATCAACTCTTGAAATGACTCGACGTAAGTCAGTTTATCAAAGCCCGGAGGTTCTTGTAACAGTGTTAATCAATTTGTACAGACCTAAAACGTTTTTCTTTTGGAATAAAGCTAATAATTTAATTTTTACATTTTCCACTCTGTTTTTAAAATAAAAAATAAATTAATATTGATTTTCTTCAATATTTTTTTTTTGATAAATGAGAAGAAATTAAAAAAATAAAAAAAGGTTAAGATATTCTTACTTGGAGGTTATGTTCGTGTTATAAAACGTTTCAGAGCTTGGTCTATTGGGGGACAAACCGTGTCTTGTTTTGGTTTAGATAATATTCTTAATTAATTCATAATTAATTTATTTAAATAAAAATGGGAGACGTCAACATAATCGACAAGTCTATGAGATCTGTGTTTGGTAAGATAATTCATATTTAACTAATTTATATTTGTTTAATAATAATATTTAATCGTTTATTTTCAAGTTGGAAACATTCCATACGAAGCGACAGAGGAAAAGTTGAAAGATATATTCAATGAAGTTGGCCCCGTTTTATCATTCAAGTAAGCCATTTTTACCCAATTGAAACAGAACAAAATGTATTTTAACAAAAACTATATTTTCAGACTTGTATATGACAGGGAGACAGGGAAGCCGAAAGGTTACGGCTTCTGCGAATACAAGGACCAAGAGACGGCGCTGAGCGCCATGAGGAATCTCAACGGTTATGAGATCGGTGGAAGGGCTCTTAGGGTTGATAATGCCTGTACTGAAAAATCCAGGCTAGAAATGCAAAGTAACCAGGACGATTGTATTCTCTAATTGGGCTTTATTGACAAAACAGTACTTCCGTTTCAGGCTTGTTGGCTGGACCACCTGTAGACAACACATACGGCGAAGCTGTCGAATCGGACAAAGCCCCAGAGGTGATAAGCAAAGCCGTCGCTTCATTACCTCCTGAGCAAATGTTCGAATTGATGAAACAGATGAAGCTTTGCATACAGGTGAAACAATTATATATGTTTCAATTTGAAAAATAAAATTAATTAATTCAATTTACAGAATAACCCTGCTGAGGGTAAGGCAATGCTTCTCCAGAACCCTCAACTTGCATATGCCCTTCTCCAGGCTCAAGTCGTTATGAGAATAGTCGATCCACAAATTGCTATTGTAAGTCTCATTTATTTCATAATTTAACAGTAGAATGTAAATTGTTAATAACGAAATTTTTTTGAGGTCTGAGAAGTGATGAACCTGATCTTTGCCATCTCTCATCATCCTAGTTTGTAATCAATGATTTTTTAATGATTTGGTGCTGATATTATGGGGTTGAATAAGGACTTTAAAAATCCTTTTCTCCACTGCAATATATGTAGATCTATTACTAAATATAAATTATAGCCACACTTGGAAAGTGCACTTTTTTCCTATATGACTAAGCACTTTCCGCAGTGCCTGTTCAGTACCTCTTTTCTTGTGAGAATTGCCTTACCGAAGTGGCTGTACATAACCAGGCTAATGCTTCATATTCATATTCTGCTTTGTCCATCTTCTTTTTAACCATCTTGTTTTTAATCCTCCATGGTTTTTTGAGATGCTCCTTTGCTGGTTACTGAGTTGATGAGCTGTCAAATTCACATCTTAGCATTTTTTTAAGAAAGTACAAAATCCCTTATATAAAATTGCCTTAGATTAACAATTACTTTAACCTATATTAAGTCAGACCGACTTGTGAAAAGAAGTTTGTTTGATAGTCTCTGTTTATTTTGTTGTTTTTGACAATTTCAATAGTGACACACAAACCCTCTTTACAGAATTTATTATAACTTAGCATTTAATACAGTGATTATTATTGTATGAATAAACAAGAAAAATAAATCCTTGAATTTTTGCACTTTTAATGTTATGCTAACGACAATTTATATTTAGTTTATTTGTATGACAACAGAGCCTTTTCTTGAGATCTTTTACTGTTGTTGTTACCGGGATGGAGATCTTTAATTATTTATCAATTTATAATAATCAATATCATTTAATTGGTCAAGGGGACCACAAAAAATAGTGAATTTAATTATTTAATAGCATCTTGTATCTTAAATTATTTTTTAGACGATGCTCCATAAATCAAACCCTCAAGTTGCTCCACTGGTAGCACCGACGGAATCTAGGCCAATGCCTGTCCAGCCGCCAGTAACTACTGTTGCTTCAGTACCAAGTGCCGTCCTACCTCCACAAAGGCAAATAGATGTCAATCCTGTTGCAAATGATTGGGGCGCCCCGGCAACAAGGGCGAACACTAACCACACGATGGGCCACCCGCCTCCTGTCATTAACACGCATGTCCAACAGCCAGCTCCGTTTATGGGTATTTATCGTTAAAAATATATCCAAATTCATTTTGTACGTTTTTTATTTAAATATCTACAGGTGATATGGATATGAGGTCATTAGATCCCAGAGCTGCAGTAGCGGCTCAAAGAAATGCTGCTCCTCAAGACCAGGATTTGAGAATACCACCTATGGTTCCAGCACCCCAACCACAAATACCTCCCTTCCAACCAGATCAGTAAGTTTTTTGTAATTTTATTTTATAATATTTTTATTCCTAATAATTAAAAGTCTGTATGGTGTAATTGCTGCATTAGGATTACAGAGAAAACGTTTGACAGGTAATTTTTATTTAGAAATATAGTAAAAATATAATTATTTAAAAATAAATAGCTTTATATTAGAGGGGCTGCAACGGTTAAGACATTGACACTGCTCATTACTGTTAGGGAAAGGTCTCGGGTTCAAATGCAGGGGCACTGGATTTAAACCCAACATACATATGGGTTTTTTTTATTCCTAGGCCTTTTTTCCCCTCCTTATTTTTTCTTCCACGGTCCTCTAAATGTACGGTCCCAAATAAGCAGTTGAAGATTAAATTAATTATAAACCCTAATTCAGTTTTTTCTTCGTTGAATTTTTATTTAGGCTTCTTGTTATTGGTCAAATTCTTTGTCATTGCTAAGTTTAAAAATCAAAATGCAATAATTGTATTATATACATCATTTTTATTTCAGTGGCACCAGAGACCCAAGATATATAAGAGATCCTCGAACAGGTAAGGCTTTTTTTATTTTTTATTTTATTTTTTTTAATTAATTTTTTTTTAATGCTCATTTGTTTGTTTTACTTCAGCAGCTCCTCCAAATATTCCAAGAGGTGTTTCACAGCCGGTCCCTCCTCCGAGGCCTGTAGCACCTCCAGTTTCAGTACCTGTCAACACGCCCAGCTTGACTGGGGCAATTCCTACAGGAGCTTCCGACCAAGAGAAGGTTAAATTTTTTTTTAAGAATTATAGAAATGTTGACGTTATGTATTAAATGTATTTTATTTTTATTACAGGCTGCACTTATCATGCAAGTTTTACAACTTTCTGACGAGCAGATTGCTATGCTTCCTCCTGAACAGAGGCAGAGCATTATCGTCCTGAAGGAACAAATCGCAAAGAGCACCCAACGTTGAAGCGGCCCCAATCGTTTCTATTTCACCCACGTTTATATATTGGAACTTATTTTATCAACTTTCTCTATGTAAACATTTTCACGTAGTTTTTAAATTAAAAATTAATGGAATAAATGTTCAGTTTTTATAATAAAATATGTTCAATTTTTTCGAAAACCCATTTATCTGTAGTTTCTTTTTAAACAGATCATGAACAATACTAAAATATATCAGTAAAATGCTTATAAAACTGGACTGTTGCACTTGTTAAGTTAAAAAGTAAAAATGTGTGGTGTTTAGTGACTGTTACATGATTATTTGGAGGTCGTGAGATGTGGTCTGGTGTGAAGTAGGTTTTTGAAAAACATTTTCTTTGTCGTTCCAACGTATAAATTCATTTTTTTTCAAATCCTACATGTATTTGTAAAATTTAAACAATGTTTATAAATTCCAGCCCCTGAAGATGATCTCAATAAAGATCAAAACAGTACGATAAAGAAAATGTTTTTCTAAAACCTACGTCACACCAGACCGCATCTCATGACCTCCAAATAATAATTAAAAAGTAAATCTTTTTTTATTGTATGATAGTTACCATTCTTCTTGGTCTCCCTATCCTCGCTGATTTTTGTTTGTCAGATATGTTTTAGCATTGTGCAATCTTCACAAAAATCAGCTAGGACAGAAAGACCAAGATGTAACATCAAACAATAGGCTTTCACCCTGCAGATCAAAGGAGGAAATATTTTTTACTCCAAGAGATAATAAAACCATTCTGATCACAGCTAAAATCAAATCCATTTTGTCATAAATAAAATGTCACGCTTTTTGTATTTTATTTTATTTTTTTTTTTTTGGGGGGGGGGGAATTGACTGACAAATAAACTATTTTTTAAGCAAGGTATATAGTTATAGTTAATCATCTTTTCCTACACATTTTTGCTTAGGGGAAATTTTGGTTTTGTCAATTGATCTTTTCTTCCATCATCTTGATCTCTTGGAAATTATTAAATTTAATTATAAAAATACTATTTTTTTTTTTTTTGCCAATTGTGTTATTGAAAAGTAATAGGACTGTACAAGTAGTTGCTGTTGTTGAGGTCAGTCACCAGTGGTGGAAAAATTGCTACTTTATTCTTTATACTATTGTCATTCTGTTTTACCCATTCTCAGTCATTTGGCTGATTGAAATTTAATTGTATATATGTACAAGGTAGAATAACCAGAAGAATATAATTTAACAGTTTTATTAAAGTTGAATATCATTAAAAAATGTACAAATGCATTTTAATGCAAAGCTTATATACATAAGGTTATAAGAAAGCACACTCGTATAAAATTGTAAACTTGTTACGTATAAATATTTGTAGATTAACTCAGTGAGTCTTATCGTAGAATAAATAAGAATTTAAAAAAAGGCATATTATTGTCGTTAATATCATTCAAATACTTTTTTGGGGTATCAAAGAGAAAGGAGAGGTTCAATTTTCATTTCCAGCCTCATGAGTTGATTTTTTAAATCTTATAAAATGCCAATCTCTGGCTCACTTTAGTATAGATTAATAAATTATTATTTTGTTTAACATATATTTTTAATATTATATAACAATGTACAACTGTCATTTCCAAGGAGGTTTTTTCATTTGTTGTGCATCCTGAGCTCCGTTTTGGAAATTTCCCTGCAACAGATTCTGCAAATAAAAAATTGAAGAATTAAAAGTTGAATAAAGCAGGAATGTAAAACTCACAGAAATGATCTGATGCCATGGTATTTTTTCAGGAAGGCTTGGGTCGAATATTTCACTTTGTGAAGTGTCCTGCCACAGACTGGAAGAACTGTCTACAGGCTTTCCAGGCTGCTTCTCCAACAGCTAAAAATACAATATCAAACAATAGACATTTTTCAATACGTTTTTGTTTTCTTTAACATCATTTTACTGTATTGTTTTTGAATCTTCTGAAAAAGTCGTCTTGGAAATCTAATGAACAAGTTGATTGTATAATTATTGTTTTTAAAATTATTGTTATGGAACATATGATGATGGAATAGTACGTACCATTTGGATGTACTTGAGGAGCTCTTGGTTGGTTGATTGACCTACTGTCAGCGGCTGTGAACCTACTTCAGATTCTCTTCCATGATTATCATCACTTTCTGTGACATCTGGGATAATCTTGAATTGTTTTGCTTCCCGGCTGCTCACAGGTTGAGCATCACCCTGTCCTCTCTGAGTATCCAGATCAGTCTAAAACAAAGGTTCAAGTTTATTTTTAACATTTGATTGGGACCCTGGTAGTCGAGTGGTTAGTGTGACAGGCTTGGCTCGTAGAACCCATGGTCATTGGGTACAATTCCCACCTTAACCCCTGAAATTTTCTGAACACTACCCTTACCCACAAATAAATATGTTCAATAAATACCATTACAATATCCCCTCTGGCTAATATGCAAGACATAAGACCACTAATAAATAAAAAAAAGCATTACCAAAAAAACTAAAATTGTCTTAAAATTTGTATTAAAAAGATGCTTTATGCTTCTTTGTTAAAATATATTGGGGGACCAAAAAGTAATGACTTTTTTTACATTAAATTTTAACAAGTTTTTTATTTTTAACCAATGATGTAATCACCCTTGCTATGAACAACCTTCTTCCTTTCGCCATCTAGTTTAGAAATTTTCAATGCCGTATTGATTTTTATTGATTGAGCTGGCATTTCACACATCATCCAAAATTTCAAAATTTTTGCCCCTTAGAAAATGTAGCAATCAGAATAAATGGAAATCAGATGGCGCAATATCGGGCGAGTATGGTGGGTGAGGCAACACCTCCTACCCCAATATATTAATTTTTCCAAGGGTTCATCTTGTGTAGTGTGGTCTTGTAGAATAATGCCTTTTCTGTTGGCAATCGCTGGGCACTTTTCAATTAACGATTGATTTACTCGATCTAATCATCCACAATAAAGGTCTGCATTCAGTTTTTCTGTTTCAGAACTTTTTTCAACAAAATGAACGGCCCTGCGAATACTCCACTAGACACAAAAAAGCACCTTTTTGGGGTGTAAACCTGGCGTTTCATTTGTAGAGAGCCACTGCATTTTGCATTTTGGATTATCACAAAGGGCCTATTTTTCATCCCCAGGAAAAAGCAATCAAAAATCACTTCTGTATTGTGCCGGTGAAGCAAACTAATGTTGGTTAAGAGTGTTTGACAGTTTCTCAATTGTGGATTTGCATCCTCTTTCACCCTTAACAAGTCCAAAATTGTAGGTCTTTCTAATCGATATGAGTTGAAAAGATAAAAATTACTGTATTTGAACTTAAAAAACCATCTTTCGTATGAATGAATGTCTAATGCACTTGGAAAACATTGCAAATGTTGTGTTACTACCTTGCAAAACTCAAAAAAATGTACAATGCCAGACATGTACTTCTGTTATTTGGCTGGCCATTTCACTATGAATTGGGGGAAAAAAATTAAGATTTAATTATGTATGAGTAAACTAACCTTAAAGTCTTTGGCACAACTATGAAGTACACAATGAGCTGATAAATGACAAACAAGTATTGACATGGGCAGAAACGACATTACTTTCCGGTCCCCCAATATTTTGTAAATTCACATTAAATATTGCAATTAAGTTTTTTTTCATTCTGAATTGTATCGACCGCAAGGTGGTTTTTTTTGGAACAAGCATGCTTGTTCTCGTTGATTTTACCAAAAATACATACAACAGACAAAATTAACAAACCATCCAGGATGATATAGCAAAAAAAAATTTTTTTTCAATTAAAATTGCACTATAATAGAGTAAAAGTGATCACAACTAAGGTAATTAAAAAATAATAATACCTGTCGCATGCTTAACTCGCTTGTGATAATGCTGAGGGCTTGTTGCCATTGAGTTTCCATAACACCATGAAGCTTCTGTGCAATATCTTTTTTTCCGTTTTCCAATCGCAATCTTTTTTTCTCACTCTCTGCCAGTTTTAAGCTTAGTTCTCTCATTTCCTCTTTGTGTAAAGATTCCAGCCTTCGAATTTCAGCAAGATGGCTGTAAAGTAAGAAAAAAATAAATTACAGATTATGAATTTTAACTGTGTACATTACCTGTTGATTAAGGTAGACTTTTGCTGTTCGGCCTTTTGATGGGCAATCTTTTTATTGTTGTCGATTTCGGCTTGCATAGAAGCCTGCGCAGCATCCAATTGCCCTTGGAATTCTGCCAGCTTGTCCCGAACGACAGACTCCAGCTGGTTCTGGTACAGCGTCCTCAATTCGGTTTTCGCTTTGTCCAGTTGTTCCCTGGCAACTTTGGCCTCCTCTTCAGCGAGCGCTTGCTTCGCTTTCGATTCGGTTAAAGCTTCTTGCAGGTGATTTTTCTGTTGTTCTAGAGTCTGATTTCTCCCTTTTTCTTCTTTGAGTCGGGTCGAAAGTAATTCCTTTTGCTCTTTGACAATCGCCAGTTCAGCTTCGACATCAGACAGATTCTTCTGCACGATTGTAACCTCATTCCTAGCCATTTCAACCAATTTCTTCTCCTGCAGTATAAATAAAATTGACGTTTACACACACACAAAAAAAAAGTTGTAACATGTTTTAAGGGAGGAGGGAAGATTACTAATATTCCTTTAAACCAGAAAACTCACCAATTTTGTTACATTATCAAGAAAATTTTCTAGTTTTTCATACAAACACATCTGCAAATTTAAAATATTGGAATGAGCTTTCGGTACTCAAAAAATTGCTCCTGATATTACAAAAATTATATTTTTCTTTTAATACTACCTCATATACATACAAATTATGTTGTTCATGTTATTGGTACAGTTTGGCATACTGTTCAAAAAATTATATTTAGGGGGAAAACCTGGCATTTTTAAATTTAAATTTATTAACACCATTTAATTTTATATAAAATTTTGTCAAATATCATTTTTTTTATTATATCAATTATTTTTGGGCATACAAAACAATTCATTAAAAATAATTAAAAATTAAATGTCCTTACGGTTTCGTTGTTTTCTTCTGAATCACGCAGTTTTTCCATTAGTTTTGCCCTTTCATCCATGAGATTTTTCAACGTAGTCTCCTTCGATTCGAGATTATCCTCCAATTCTCGTATTCTCGCATCTGCTGTTTCTTTGGCGACTGTCAATTCAGCTTCGAGATACTCGCACTTGCCTTTGAAACCTGCTGCAAGGTCCAAGGCTTGGGAAACTTCCTTTTCCCACCTGTCTATTTTCTATATGTACAAAAAGGAGATGTGTTAAAAATGAAAAAAAAACTCTTTTTTTTTAATTAATAGGAGACCTTGTTAATATCCTCTTGGGCTCTTTTGATAGAGGTCCTTTCACTAATGAGCTTCTGAGACATGGAATGCCTCTCGGCTTCAATTTCCTTCCAGTGTTCAACCATTTGCTTCCAAGCTTCTGTTATTTTCCCAATCGCCTTATCTTTGCCCTCATCTACCCTCATAGCAACAGCTAGCTTTTCCTGCTCTTCCAGTACTTTTCTGTTAAGCGTCTGGATGGTGTTTTCTAAATGCTAATAACAAAGAAAAACAAAACTTATAAATTGATATATAATATTATCTCTGATCATCCTTGTCAGTCTATTCTCTGTCTGGCAGAAGTATTTTGGCATTTCACCAAATGGTTGATTTATAGATAAAGGTAATATGTGAGTGATGGATAAAACCAATGAAAATAGACAGACAAGAATGATGAAACATTGAAACTATCAGTTTAAAATCTCTATAGAGATTTAAAATAATAATATTAAGTATTTATCATTATGGTACAACTTCAATTAATCCTCAAGTTTAGGGCTGGAACTTACCCTCCAATCCACCATCAAGCAGACGGATGAGAGAAAAACCCCATATTGTATATGAGCAAATAATAATAATAATAATAATATTTTTTTTTAAATGAACATTTAAAAACTGGAAATACACTGTTCATAGATGTATTTTATAGAAACTTTTACTCAGTTTGTGAGCAGAACCATAGATTTTCGTCCAATTTCAAACAGTATGCAAATTACATGAAGTGCAATACCAATGTACAATTATTGCACTCTCCTGAAGGTAGAAAGAAGTGAAGATTGTATTTTTTTCAGTTCTTCTACTTGACTTTTTTGTGTGAAAATAAAATCTATTAATGTTTATGCCATTTGGACTTTAGAATGAGAAGCTGGTGATGTATATCGATTTGCCAACATCCGACGAGTTGAGAGATAGCATCTCATCAAGTTGGCTTTTTTTAGTTAATTGGCTTCCTTGGTTTATCAGACTAGATTTCCATGTTACCAGATGTGACTCCCTTATTATTATTATTATTATTATTATTATAAAATGCTCAAAAATAAATAGGGATATTTGTAGTTTATCCTTATTTTATTAATCTTACTTAAATTAACCAACATGTTCTTGTCAGTTGGATAAAACAAAATAGAAAATGCAAGTCAAAAACAAAAGAATTTGTTAATCCTCACTTTTAATAATGGATTGATTGAAGAATAGCAAATTTGAATATTACTCATTTTGTAAACAAACAGCTTTTCTCATCTTTTCTCCATTTTAATCCAGTTGTATTTTCCTTAACCACAGAAAAACATCATCTTGAACCAGAAATTCGTAATATTATTGTGAGAATGAGTCATCGAGGTCACTGGCAAATGGATATCGCAGAGGCAGTTGGCGTTTCTGAGAGCATGGTCTGGGCTTTAGCCCGATTCCTAGAGACTGAAAGAGCCAATAGGGTAGTGGATCTCAGCGCACTACGACGCTAAAGGAGGACAGAAATTTTCTCATTGCTGTAAGATGGAACCCTTTACATAGTGGCTGCCAGATCCTAAATGAAGTAAAAGATGTTTCGGCAAGACCTTTATCAACCAAACGATTTGTAATCGTCTGTGGTAAGTTGGCCTCACATTGTACGCCCTTTGAAACGACTTGCAGCAACAGCCCACCACCAGCAACTCAGGAGAATATGGTGCAGTGAGCGCCTAGAAGAGAACAACCATTGGAATACTATTGTGTTAACTGATGAGTCACGTTTCGGTCTGCATAGCGATAGCAGAAGATTCTACCAAATACAGAGGATGCGTTCAATGCCCCAGTACATGCTCCCTTCAGTGGTTTGGATGAGGCAGTGTAATGGTCTGGGCTCTGATTTACACTGGAGGAAGAACTGGATTACATATTTTGAAGGCAACCTCACCGCAGTCCATTATGTCCAAGAAATTATCGATGAATACATCCCTTAAATTAGCGATCTCATTGGCAGAGATTTTTGATTTCTGGATGGTAATGCCAGACCTCAGAGAGGCAGAGTTGTTCACCAATGTCTAATCAATCTAACCTGGGAATTTCCCATCTGCCCCTTTCTATATTTTCTCCAGACTTCAATCCCATTCAGCACATGTGGGATACGTTGCAGAGAAGGCTTTCGATCACCATCCATAGCTAATTGACCTGCAACAACTGAGTGCAGCATTGCAACATCTATGGAGTGAAATTCCTTAGGAAATTAGCGACAACCTTATTAACAGTATGTCTAACAGGTGCACAGAGGTTTTAGCTAACAGAGGACATTTAGACAGTATTGTTAAAAAAAAATTAATTAAATTATCCTTCAGTAAAAAACCTAATAATTTCTAATAAATTTTAATGCAATTTCTAATAAAAATAAAATAAAAATACTAGGAAAAGTAAATACACAAAATTGGCAATATCCCTATTCTTTTTTGAGCAGTTATTTTAACATGGTATAACTTTGAAAAACAAATGTTGTTTGGACATTTCCAATAATTTTAGTCTAATAGAGGTGTACACTCAGCACAGAAGAAGAAATAGACCAATATAGTGAGAAAAGGTAGAATAAAATGATCAGAAACAACCAAATTAATACAGAACCAAGTCATCTAATCACTATGCAGACCCCAAAGGGAAATTTAAAACAAAAATGATTTCTTATATCAACAAAGAAGGGACTATTACCAATCGTCTATATTTTTCTTCTTCAAGCTTTTGCCTCAATTTGGAAGGGTTTTCAGAAGTTGACGTTCCATCACTTTTCCAAAGGTCTGCAAGGCTAAGAAGATTGCTCCTTAAAAAAGTCAAACATTAACAATATTTTCAAAACAAATTAAACCATATGTTTTATCATCTCACCTCATTGCCTGTTCTGGAATTGAGTTTGGTTTGTACGTGTTTATCAGACCTTCGGGCTTAAACCTCTGTTCGCTGTTTTCCACGGAAGTCATAACTTTCTCCTCAGGCTCAATGAAAGACGTTTTGCACTCGAGTGGTTTAGTGTTGCACACATAATCACTTGTCATTTGAAGACGTCTCCTAGGCGACATATATCCCGCTTTGTAACGCCTCTCAGGCATCTTTGTATCTGTGTCTTTCTTCGGCGTCCTTGAATATACGCTGGAAATGGAACTCCTTCTTTCACTGTTGCTGCTCCCAACTAGATACTCATCTCTTTTAGTAAACTGATCTACAATAGGCGGCTTAGGCGGCTCTTTGGCTTTTAAAGGACTTGTATTAGGAGAATTAAACATTTCTCGCACGCCGAAATTTAAGTCTGGCACCGAGCCGATATTTTCACCGTTTAGATAAACTTTGCGAGGCGAGATTTGTTTCTCCTTGTCCATACCGTACTCGATCTCTCTTGCTTTGAGCTTATTCTCGATTTCATTTTGCGTGATTTCCATTTCTTTAAGAAGCTTGTCTACTTCGGGCAAGGCGAGCCGTTTCGAAGGGCTGCCGTTTTGAAAAAGTGTGTCGATCGCTCTATCTTCCATTCCGAGGAAATGCTTGGCCTCTTTGAGAGAATTCTCTTTGCTTTGTCGGACCGTCTTGACTGACTCTAGGTACACATCTATCTCTTTGAGGAAGCTCTCTTTGTCTCTCGACCTGACCGATTTCAATTCCAGGTCGCTTTTATCGCCTTCCTCGCCGAAACTCGAACCACACCTCGACGACGTAAAACTCTCGATAACGTTGACACGGTTCTCCAGGCTGTTCACTTGGGATACCAGACTGCTCACGACTTCCTTCTTCTCTTTCTCTTCCAGCTCGAACTCCTGGTCCGAAGGGACGGTGAAGAACTTCGGGGGGATCAGAAGAAGTATATCCGTGTCATCGGAATCGCTCATCACTCGGAAAATACAGGCATATTTAATAAAACGAACAAAAACAAGCAGTAGATTTTTTCTTTATAAATTTTAAAACTATGAGTGGAGTTTGAAAGCTTGGGAGAGACCAGAAAACTGTCCCTTCTTCATTTTCTTCATTAAATACAGCGACAAACCGTCAAGAAAGAACGTACATAACATTAATAAAAATGGATAAGCATAAAAGATAAGAAAACCAAGCGGTAACAGTTGTAACAATGACAGAAACCTAATTAAACAAACTGCAGAGCCACCTATACAAACTATAAAAAACTATGAAATAAAAACAACGGTACTTAACAGAAACATAAACAAGTGAACATTGTAAACTGTCACATTTATAATAATTATTATTACTATAATGATTGTTTAGGTTTATGTTCAAATTAAAACAATAAATAAATTCTCTTTGAAAATTTGTTGCATATGGTAATAATTCTTTGCCAATTGCTTGGCCTATTTTTAATTAATAAACTGATTATGAAAATTATTCAATTTGAATCCTTTTTCACAATTTTTATTTAAAATTGAAATCCACACAGATTCACATAAAACCAGTACTTTTCTGCAGGTAATAGTATCACCAGTGGGGGGGATGCTAACAGCGCTGCATTCGCCCAGAGCCTGCCCAGGAGCTGTCAACGTCGAAAATAATCCTCTAACAGATCCAAAATATTTATGACGTTCACATAAAAAATGCGACTCGACAATCTAATCTGCTAAATTGCCATTTTGGTTTCGTCTCAACGTCTTTGTCAAATTAAAACGTTTCGAATGAGAGGATTTCAACTGTTGTAAGTATATTTTTATGTATATTAAATCTTGTATGGAAACCATAGCTTATACATATGTACATATTTGTTTTTGCTGTGTGCCCTATTGTTTAAATAATCGATGTTTAGATTCGTCCTTAAGCAAATATAAACCAGGACTTCCTCATAGTGATAAAATACGTGTTGTGATTATAAAGTTCATAGACCTTGTTGTCCATTGATAATTGCTGATATATTCAGAACAGTTCAGTTTTCAGCACTCTGCTGTTCCTTATGGTAAATAGTTAACTTAAGCTTTGATTGATTTGCAATTTTCTAGTCTTAATTGAATATTTTTCTTTGGTCAGCAATCATCGAATCAATTCAACACTCATCACTTTATAAAAAATTATATATCATCTTGAAATTTAAAAATAATTGCTCAAACATTCACATTAGCATTGTATTAATCAATTTGCTCATTTCCCTGGTAAGGATTTAGCGTGTCAAGACTGTTATGTTTAGTCTTTTAGTTTCGATTGATTTGCCATTCCAGCCGTAATGAAATATTCCTTCTTTGTCAGTAATTATTAAGTCAATCAGACACTCATAACAAATCATATATAATTTTGAGTATTATAAATTATGACTGATATATTCTCAATAAACTTTGTTTCCAGCATTCTGCTATTTTCTATGGTGAGGATTTAAGTTATCTATCATTCAGTTTTGATCGATTTGCAATTCTAGCCTTAATGGAATATTCCTTCTTTGTCAGCAATTATTAAATCAATCAGACACTCATAACCTCTTAAAAAATCATATATCATTTTGAGTATTATAAATGATGACTGATATATTCACAATAAACTATGTTTCTAGCATTCTGATATTTCCTATGGTGAGGATTTAAATTTTCTATCATTCAGTTTTGATTGATTTGCAATTCTAGCCTTAATGGAATATTCTTTCTTTGTCATCAATTATTGAAAAAAAATCATATTTCATCTTGACTATTTCATAACGTCATGTCATGATGAATTTGATTTTACTCTTAATGGAATATTCCTTCTTTGTCAGTAATTATCAAATCAATCAGACATTCATAACTTCATAAAAAATTATCTTGAGTATTATAAATAATTGCTTATACATTCACAATAGTTTTGTTTTCATCATCCAGCTGGCAAGAATTTAAAATTAAACTGTCAAGAATGTTGTTTAATCTTTCAGTTTTGATTGATTTGCATTTATGTCCTTTGTGGAATATTCCTTCTTTTTCATCAATTATTGAATCAATCAGACACTCATAACTTCATAAAAAATCATGTATCATCTTGAATATTTTTCCCCTTACATATTGAGTCATAAGGATTTGTTTTTTCAAACTTATACTTTCCTCTATTGTGTTGCTCTGCTGATCGTTTCTTTTATGAAATAAGACATTCTTTTCAGGGGTGTGGAATCAAGATTTGCATGGATCACAGGTTTCCCAAATGTTATATCCTTTTCCTAACTATTGGAGTGCATTTGCATTGGATATGTTCTGCCGTTTCTGCTTCTTCTTGACATAATCAATATTGGTCATCTGTTGATAGTACCATTTTTTTAAGGTGTTATTAACTGGAACGTGAACTTATAAATATGTCAGTTAGAGTTTTTATTCCCTTCTGTTAAGTAGGATTTCCTCTTAATTCCTTTTGTGTGTGTGTGCCCTGCCCATGCCTGGACTTGTATTTGTTTTGTTTGTTAGTTCTCCAAGATTCCAGTCCTCTTTCGATTATTATTCCAGAATATGGATTTGGGCTCATGAATTGTTCTGTGGCTTTCTTTTTAGCAAATATATCTACTGCCTCGTTACCTGTAATTCTCTCATTACCAGGGACCGTGTTAGGGAAGATCACAATTTTTTTAGGTTATTAAGGCAATTCCATAGATGTTTTGAGGTAATCTTGGTAAGCCTGGAGTTGGAGCTTAAAGTTGCCTTACTGTCTGAAAGAATAATTATAGTTTCACCTTTGAAATGGTTTTTGTTCATGTGGACAAGTTTTTGTGACAATTCAGCCTGAAAGCTAGTTGTGCACCATGCGGTGCTCAAAATTGGCCCTTTGCTCCTCTTCCTCCTGGTAAGGATGTACTAGTTTTTTCCTTTCAAATCATTTTGGACTCATTATTTTCACTGTTTTGGTTTGTCGAATGTGTTTCGGCTTCTCATCATCAGAGTATTATATAAATAAAAGTCAGTCAAAATATTGTAACTAGTTCTACAGGGTGAACTGTCTCCACTTTTTAAGTATGAATGAATGGACGTATATTCAATTATTATATCTTGCAATTTATATGCTACTGTACTTTTCGTTAATCATCAGCCTAGTTCATTGAGGAATTTCATAAATTTGACAATGTAATCTAATAATAAGAGTTCCTTTGCCTTGTTGACGCTGATCTTTCTCAGAAGTCTATTTTGTCTGTAGTCCCATGTCAAAAAATCTGTTAAGATTTGGAGCTTCTTCCTGCATAGTTTAGATGTATTTTGTAGTTTCTTTCTTTTCAAATCTCATAAGTTCTTAACTTGAGTTCAGTAAGTGATTACCATTATCTCCTCACGTTCACATTATCTTCTTTTTTAAGGTATTGTTTTTGCCGTGGCAAAAACATTCAGGTCCTATCAATGATTAATAGCCCCATTTCTTACAAAGATTATTTGTTTCCCTCTACTCCTGCGTGTTCTAGAAGCCAGTAGAGAATGATTTGTTTTCATACCTAACTTATTTAGTTTGGTTTTGCAATTCACGACTGTATGATATTTGAGTGGCTGAAGCTGTCTGGCATGATAGTCATGTCTTTGTTTTTGTATTTTATGTTCAAATTAAATTGAGTCACTGATACTACCCTGTGCACTGTGCACTTAATTTCAGGACCAAATACTACCTTTGCACCTTATTGCATTAGGTCCAACAGTATACCAACAGATACCTTTGCTAATATGTGGGTTTTACTAATTCCCACTCTTTTTTGGTTTAAGTTGGTCTGGAAATTTTGTCTTCAAAATTATTGTCCATCTTCTTGTGGAGCAATGAGTATTAATTATCAGGTCTTATCCTTCCATTTATGTTTTGATCCCTAGAGTTTATGCTTTGCCCTTGGGTTTCTTTGTGTCTTCATTATCATTCTATAGAGAAAGATTATTCATAATATTTTCTCTGTACAAGCTATGGGGCATGTTCTCATAACTCCTATAATGCATAAAGTTTTGCGAGTTCTTTTTGTTTTGTTGTTTGTTTGACTTTATTGGCCCAGGCAATCTCAACATATGTGTAAATATCTTGAGTGTAAAAGTGTGCATTGTTTCAAAATGACATTGCATTAAGGCCATACACCTTTCCATTTTGACACTTTATATTGAAAATAATAATTTCAAATTAAAATAATAGAGTGAAATGTAATGGGGTCCGAGAGGTGAATAATGATCAGTTAATGTATCCAGCTCATGAAGATGGCTTAAATACACACTTCATGGTATCATTTGAAGAATTTTGCTGTTAAAATACTTAAAATTAATAAATACTAATTTCAGCTTTCACAATTTAAGTTTTATCTTATTTTCCTAGCACTTCACTTTTGTACTTTGATTCTTTCTTTATTTGTTAAACAAGCCAATCTTTTCTTAGGATAATTTCTTTTGTGGAAGAGCTGTTACAAAGTAAATTACAAGCACTTTTCCCATTTCTTGGTTCTCTTGAATAAACATTTCCAGACAATATTCTTTAATATTAACTTTTCAGAATAATGTTGTTCTTTTGTATTTCATTCTAATATTCCTTTCTTGTTGGTCGGACTGAAGAAAGAAACTTTTCAATTGTCAGCACAATAACAATTATACAATTATAGTAGATGATGGGTTCTGTAATTTTTCACGAATTGTGACTTTTTAACAATATTTTTGTGGTATAGAGAGCCTACGCTAAAAAAGGAGTAACCTAAACTCAATGGAATGCAAATGGCATACTAGGGAAAAAACAAGAATTTCAAATATTGCTAAATATGCAGAAAATTGATATTTGCTTAGTAACTGAAACCCACCTAACAAAACAGTCATTTTTAAAATTAAATGGTTACAGAATATATCACACCATCCATCCTAAAACAACCCTAATGGTGGTAGCGCTAACATCATAAAGGACAACATACGATACTTGGAAGATCGTTCTCTTCAAACTGATGACATCCAACTCACTGTGGTCGTACTTAACTCTGTCAAACAGAAAATAGCTATTGGCACAGTATATTGCCTACCAAAGCACAATCTAAAGTGTTCAGATTACTTGAAACTCCTAGAGCACCTAGGCTATCATTCTACAGGGAAACTAACCTACTGGCCAACAGACTGCAACAAAATACCTGATCTCTTAGACTTTTTTATTACCAAAAAAGTTTCTCCTACCTTCATTAACATAACAGAAAACTTTGATCTAAATTCTGATCATTCAGCAGTTATACTGACGCTAAGTGAAAGGATAATAAAAAATAAAAAAATGCAAGCCAACATTAGTTAATTTAACTACTGACTGGAGTAGTTTTGCCTTAGACGTGGATGCAAAAACGGTACTTAATGTTCCTCTAAAAACGGAAGAACAATTAGATAATGAAGTAGAGGTGTTCAGCTCAATCATTCAGACTTCAGCATGGTGTAATACTAGTCAGACTGTGCATAAAACAATTGGCTTCAACTACCCCAAGGAAATTAAAGAACTAATAAATCAGAAAAGAAAGGCTAGGAGAAGGTGGCAACAATCAAGAGACCCTGCAGACAAAAACATTCTTAACAATATGGCTCAAAAACTCAACGGAAGGTATAAAAAAAAAAACTACATGACGACTCAATCAGAAATTATCTAGAAGATCCAGGCTAAGAAACTGACTACTCGCTATGAAAGGCCATAAAAAAATTAAAAGACCAATCGTCCAAATTCCTCCATTAAAAAAAGAGGATGGGACATGGGCGAAAGACAGCAGAAAAAAGCCGAATTATTTTGCTAGTTACCTTGCTGAAATCTTCAAACCAAATGAAAACATCAATGGCAGCTTACTTGAAGCAACAACCACTCCACAAGAAGAAAATATAAAGCTAATTACACCTAAAGAAGTAGCACAAGAAATTAAAAATTTACCTGCTAAAAAGACAGAAGGATATGACCTTATCACTGGACTAAAACAATTGCCAAAAAAGGTATGGTTAAACTAACATACCTATTTAATGCTGCAATCAGACTGAAATATGTTCCCAGCATCTGGAAATTCGCAGGTCATTGTGATGATGATAATAATAATAAAAATAATATGAAAAAAACGGCAAACGAGGTCAAATCATATAGACCAATATCGCTACTACCGACAGTGTCTAAACTCTTTGAAAAGTTATTATTAAAACGAATAAAACCTATTGTAGAAAAAAAAGAAAATCATCCCTGACCAACCAATTTGGATTCTGAATAGACCATCGAACATTCAACAATAGACCAAATTCACTGAGTAACGGACGTAATAGAAAAATCTCTTGAAGAAAAATAAATTTGTTCTGCTATCTTCCTTGATGTCTTACAAGCTTTTGACAAGGTCTGGCACGAAGGACTGATCAATAAACTAAAAGGGATGCCACCAAAGCAATATGTTGATATCAGTTCCTACCTATCTGGCAGACTGTTTAGAATCAAACAAGAAGATCAATACTCAAAATTAAAAACAGTAAATGCAGGAGTGCCACAAGGTAGCATATTAGGTCCACTTCTTTACTTGTTATATACCAGTGATTTTCTGAAAATAGATGGAGTAAAAATTGCAATGTTTGCAGATGACACAGTGGTGATATCACTAGAACCGACTATTACCCATTCAACCAAAATGCTTGTAATAAGATAAACGAATGAACAAAAAATGGAAAATCAAGCTAAATCAGTTCATCTCATCTTTACCATGACCATGTTCCATCACTCACAATTGATGGAACTACTATACCATACAGCAATACAGCTAAATATCTGGGAATGACCTTAGATGCCAAGCTGAGATGGAAGTAAGTGAAGAAAAAAAGGACAGAAATAGGTTTAAGGTATAGACAACTATACTGGTTGATAGGACGTGGGTCCAATCTTGCTATACAAAATAAAATATTATTATATAAACAAATCATAAAGCCTATGTGGACATATGATATTCAACTATGGGTTTGTACCAAACACAGCAATATCAAAATCATTCAAACACTCCAAAATGAAATCTTATGTAGCATGGTCAATGCACTTTGGTATGTAAGGAATATGGTTACATAGGGATCTTAAGATCCCTGAGGTCACGGAGGAAATACAAAGATTTGCTGCCAAACACCAGGCTCGCCTCAGCCAGCACGAGAATGTGGAAGCGACCAAACTCTTACATAACCGAAATACGAAGATTAAAAAGAACAAATCCATATGAACTTGTGTAGTTAAAAATGAACAGTGAATAGTGAAATGTAAATCTTATTGTACCAATGGGTTTATAAGAATGTAAAACATTTATTTATTCTATAATATTATTGTAAAATTAATGGCTGGTCTAATAAGACCAGTTTTAATAAATAAATTTAATTTTTTTTTTTAATTTTATAGAGAGCAGCGCAAACTTTTTGTTTAAAGTTAGTGGTGGTTGTCAGTGTTTATGTGGGTGGACTCATGGTACTTATGTATTTTCTTTCATCATATAGTATATGTATGTAGTTAGGGGGAAAAGGGTAGTGTGAAAAAAGGGCCAGGGGCAATGGTGGGAATTGAACGCACCACCGTGGGGCATGGGTCTACAAGCAGAAGTATCAACTTCCATTCAGCTGCCACTGTCACTGGAGATGTTGTATAGCCATAATAGAAAAATTTAAACCCGCAAGAATAGAAAGACCTAGTAGAGTAATCCAGAATCTGAAGAATCAAATAATCTGTGAAGTGATTAACTTAAATATTTTTTCCTGCTCGTACTAGTCTGCCTGTACTTGCCGACATGTTGGAAACAACCAAACTACAAATTAGCATTTGTTTAAATGTTTGAAAGAAAACTGCTGAACTTTCTCTTGTCAGCTTTGATAGAAAATTAATTTGTGGATAGCTTGATCATCCTGGTTTGCCTATTCCAGCAGGTTTCCTGTTTGACACATTCTATTCAAAATATGTATCTTCGATTTGTCTATTGTTTTGTCAATTTACAAATGACATGCAAAAATAATTATGCCCTCTTCTTTTTTATATACATTTGTTTCAATGCAAATTTTTATAAGTATATTTGTTGTGAAGTCAGTAATTAAAGAAATTTCTTACAGCTTAACATCCAACTATCGGTGGGTATCACAAGAGGTCAGAACCATTTTTCCAAATTAATTTTGAATAAAGTTCCTAACCACTGGGCCACCGCTGTCCCCGGTAATGATATTTTAAAGAAAATTTGTATTTGTAAAATTGATTTGATTACTTTTTGCAAAATCAGCATTAATGCTGCCATGCTTTTTTTTTTTTTTATTTTACACTTTTTTCTGAAACATTATTTTCAAGATTAATGCAAATGTGTTAAAACATTTCCTTGAGGTTCATAATTTATTCAATATTGTTCTATTGTTCTTTGGCTAAATTTGTGTTTGTTACTAATTACTGATTTATATAGCTCAATTCCTAATTACGGATTTGTATAAGCTCAATTGTACACACATTTACACACACACACACACACACACAATGTATTATAACTTCACAAGGCCTGCAGGCAACACCTGCTTTTATGAAATTTACAACAATTTAATTCCAACAACAATTTAATTGCCACCCTTGGTATTGGCAGTCTTATTTGTCTTGTCGCCGAAGTTAGGCTGCTGGGGCTGGCAACAGCTACATCATTTCAGCCCCAAACATGTTTTTAAATCTAAATCTAAATTCGCTATTGTAGTGGTCCGCTTGACCAATTAATACTTTACAATTAATTAAGATTTTTAGTTGAGATGAAAAAAAGTTACGATAGCTCAGGTGGTAGAGCAGCAGCGTATCTAGCCGGAGGTCGTGGGTTCGAATCCCTCTCGTGCCATTAACTTTTTTTCATCTCAACTAAAAACCTTAATTAATTGTAAAGTACTAAATCTAAATTCAATCTTAATTTCTTAATTTGAATTTACTTATCATTTCCTCAATTAGGGTGGTGGCATACTCGATATTTCTCCACTACCACATTTTCACTAATAAGTACTCTCAATATGCCCAGAAATTAACAAAGTGACGTATCTTTCAGTACTATACATAACTAAACAGCCCTGTTATTTCAGAAATAGTTACAGAGGACCCAAATACTTGCTGCCAGGCTCAAGTAAAATTCTCCTACACACTCTCTATATAGAGCCAAGGAATGGCATACTTGTCTTTCTTAACTTTTAGTTTGTATTCATACATTTAATAAAATGTATGAATTATGAAAAAAAAGAATTTAATGTATTATTATTAGGCTGAGTGGTAGGGTTCCAACTTGTATTTGCCATGCTAGCAGTCCTGGGTTCAAATCCTGGCACAGCCCATAGTTTTTAATTGAGAATAGTATGAAAGAAGTATTGTAAAGAGGTTTGACTCCTCATCCGTAACATCCAACAGGTACTTGGAAAATAAGCCCTTCTGTATGACATGAATTTCTTTACTTTAATAAATTTCAAAGCCGTATTAAATTATTGTAATTCTCCTTAAATTAAAAATGTACAATTTTTATTTTTATAAGATTTTTCTAATGATGGTCTGCAGAGTAGTGACATAGTTTGTCCATATTACACAATACCTATATTTGGGAAATGTCAGTAAATAATTATTTTAAGAAGTAGTCATGCTTTTTCTTTTTGTAAATTTTATTTCTGAAATTGAAGGTATGAAAAGTCAGGAATTTGTACAATCAAAATGGTTATGTAATATGTGACTGATTTTTTGGTCTCCTATTCTTTGCTGTTTTGGTCTGTCATGCAATTAATGTCTGCAGTTCAATGTTGAGTCTGTGTCCTGGTAAATCAAATCTCTTTAATAAGATCGTGAGAGGTGCGGTGCTTGTGGTTAATGCCTTTGGTGGATTAAGTCTTAAGTTGACCCCTCACGACAATGTAAAAGAGATTTGACTTCACATCAATCACACAGACACTCTAAAAATGGTGAAATGCATCAGACAGGCAAAAATGATCGGTAACCACCAAATTACAGGTTCATCGCCCTGCAGAACAGATGGAGAAATTCACAAAAATGGTTATGATGGAGAGAGTTCAGAAATTTGCCTGGATTTCCATTTAGAGCTTTGTTTTTAAGAATACCCATTAAATAATTATTTTAAGAAACATTCAACCTTTTAGTTTTAATATATAAATTGTATTTCTAAAATTTAAGGTGTGAAAATTCAGAAATTGCATTTGGGAGTTTGATTTGATGGGATGTTTATAAAAAGATTAGTACAGCAGGTAAAACAGCAAGGCCCTTGCAGCCCAAAATTTAAAGACTTTCGTTACACGGGTAGTTACATTTATAAGCCTGTTTCTTCTCAGTCAACTTCCTGGGTTTGTTATTCTTTTCTATTCCAAGAAAATTCAGTTGTTATGTGCAGCCGCACTAAAAATTTTGTTTTTATAGATCCAAAGAGTGGTATATCGCATTAGGAATTTCAGATCAGTCAAATACAGAAGATTCACAAGATTTTTTGATTTGGCTCTGATTTGGCTTCTGAACAAGCTAAATATCAAAGAGCAACTAGAGTTTAAAAATTTTAAACTTTTCGACATAATTGGTAAATAACATTTTAAAAAATTTTTATGACTATTGGGAAAATTTGATCTATTGGTTGAATTGATTCCTGCGATGTCCTGAATCCTCTGTGAATTCCTTAAAAAAGCCATAATCTTCCTCACGTACACAGCAGTATATTCCACAATACACACTCCCTTTACTTTAGAATACTCAAAAATTATCCTTTGTTCTAAACTGAGTAAACCTGCTCGTAATTCATCTACCTACCATCCAGTTAGACTGTTCCCTCTCTTTTCAAACATATTTGAGAAGATCCTCCTAAAATGTTTGACTCTTTTGCCTTTAATTCTTTCAACTTTCTCCTAGACCACCAATTTGGTTTTCGCTTTCAACACTAAATATCAGGAACTTCATGTTGTAGACCACATTTTCTCATCCTTTGAGCATAAAGAATACTGTATCGAGGCTTTGCTATGCATGTCACCAGGAGTCACAAGCATTCACCTATGGCAAAAGTATTTCCTACACAAACTAAAGCGCGACCTTCCAAACACCTCAGTCCTTCACTCCTATCTCACAGGATGAATCTTCTGGATTCGCCAAGAGTTAGACTACTCCGATTACTTTCCTGTGAGAATGGGAGGGCAGTGTGCTCAGAACATTCCTGTATGAAAATAGCACCCATGTTACATTTACCTTCCGAAGCAAAACCCCTCAACAAATTCCTAAAACCTACTACATGCATTACCTTGGGTTCTATTTTGACTCACACTATAACAATTCCCTTAATCTGGAACTGACACGTACAAATAAAAAGACAGGAACTGAATAGACACATTAGACTTCTTCGACTAATTGAACACAGATCAAACTTGTCAAGGGGAAAAAATTAATTATTTAAAAAAAAATGAAATGACACTAGAAAACACTACTCAAAACAGATTTGGACACCTGGACTATGGGGCACTGCTAAACCTACAAGTCCTTCCAAACCAAATTATTCAGAATCATAGACAATGCTACTATGTCTCCAAAACCTCTACAACAACCTTAAAATATCCTTTCTCAAGAAATTAATCCTCACCAAATTTTCTAAGTTCACAATAAACTCTCTACTCACCCCAACCCCCCTGATCCAGGCTAAATCCATCCCTATAATACCGTCAAACTAAAACTGAGATGCCCCGGGACCTCCTCACCAAGAACTGCAGTTGTGTACAGTTGGGAGAACAACAATTTTCAAAATGTTTTAATTGTTTATTTATTTGGTATTTTAGAAAATATTGTACTTTATGGAATGCAGTCTGGTTATGCCATTGATGGCACGGTTCCTGTATTTGCGTTTCCGCCGGAGGTGAACTTCTACTTAGGAGATGTAAAGACACACAAGCAAATAATTACATTTTATAATCCTTACAACACAACCATCAAGTTCAGGGGTATTTAATTTTTCATTTTATTTAGTTGTTTTATGAGTGAATCTCTTCTTGATATGTTGTGATTTTCAGTCTTATGCACGGCTCCGGACAAATATCAAGTCGGCCATGCCCAAGGCTACCTTAAATCATGCTGCCAGACAGACATAGTCATTCGTCACATCGCCCTCCAAGTCGGCAACTGCAATGTCACCGACAAAATTAGAATCCAGATTTACAACGAAAAGGCGGAAAAGGTCATTGGAAAAAAAGACATTAGAGTCACACTCCATAATGGGGTGCCCGAACCAACGAAAGATAATATTTTCCCGTTGAAGCCTGATGACCGGATGACAAATGACTGGGAGTCCAGTGCCAGCCAAATTGAAGCTCTCTCTAAAGATACTCATTGTAAGGACTAAAAAGTGATTAAATTATAAAGCAAATTTATTCTGCGATATGTTTTCAGATAGGAACAGCACATACAGCCCTATCGTCCTTTTTATTGGACTTATATCATTTATAGCTCTATTTTTACCAATAGAAGGAGATGAAAGTGTGGTACCTTTTAAGATCACATTTAACTTAAAATTGGTGTTCTCTTATATACTAGGTAAGACAATTTAAATTTACTTTTTAAAATTTTCTGCTTATTTTTAAATATATATTTTTGTAGGGTTAGTTACGATGGTAATATTTCGATCTTGAAGAATAAGGAAAGGAGTAAAATTGGTATTTTCATTTCCCTGCTAATTTAAAGAAAAAAGGAAAGTTGGCTTTTGAGTTTGCAAAATATGTATGCAATTTTATATTTTTTTCTAATTTATGAAAAGCTCAAACTTTCATTTGAAAGTTTTTATTGTTGTCTTCCCTTTTGGTATTATATATTTTACAAAAAATTGTTACTACGTGCCTTTGTAAATTTAAATTACTTCTTGAATAAATTGAGATCTCAAGAATTTAAATGAAATCAAACTAATTTTACATAACTTCGCTTTGGACTTTAACAAGACTTAGTAGTACTTTTTTGCTTATTAACGTTTATTTGTGTGTGCGCGAGTATGTAAATATAATATATGTATGTTATAATATATAAACGATATTGCTTGTCTCAACATGTGATAGATGAACCAGAGCCAAGGTTTGTAATTTTTGAGACTGATTCTCAAACTCAGTCAAACCCTTCTCCCCTATCCCAAGACATGATCTAAGTTTCTGTTTTTATTTTACTTTGAAATATATATATATGTAATTAATTGTACATTTTTGAGAAAGGGTATAAATTTCTGTGTTATTTATACAATAAAAATAAATAAATGATTTATTACGAAACATTTTTGTTTTGTATCATTCAACCTTTTTTTTACTTCTTAAAGCTTCTGTCACTGATGGAAGAGATCTCTAATCTATCACAGTTTGCCCACATGATCACCTTACAGTTATTGGTTCTTTAACCTTCTTGGGACTGATTTTCGGATGCTAAAATCTCTTTCTATAGCCTCGGATGCTACATCATACCCCCAATCTTATCTATTTTCTATTCAAATTTTGAGAGTACATTCCTCAGATATTCTATTTTACAACAAAAGTAAGTAAATATAGGGAGAAAAAAAGTTTAATTTAAATTCACTAATTTTGTGGTCCGCTTGACCAATTAATATATTACAATTAATTAAGGTTTTTAGTCGAGATAAAAGGAGGGAAAATTCAAAAGGTGCGGTTGAGATAGGAAGTTAATGTCCAAGCAGATCAAGGTCACGATAGCTCAAGTGGTAGAGCAGCGGCGTATCTAGCCGAAGATCGTGGGTTCGAATCCCGCTCGTGCCATTGAATTTTTTATCTCAACTAAAAACCTTAATTAATAGTTTAATTGAAAATTTATCTGACTCAAAATGTCTTCATTATATATTTTAAAAGACAATAACCAACAAAAAAATTAAATACTGATTTATTTGGCTCAATTCTTCACACGTATTCATGTACACAAGTACAGTTTAAAATAATAAATATGTATAAATAAGGACAACAAAAACATATTCTGAAAATTACTGTGAATTCAATTAACTAAAGTTTTTAGTTGAGATAAAAAAAGTCAGTGTCACGAGCGGGATTCGAACCCACGACCTTCAGCTTGATATTTGAAAAATGGCAAAAAGGAGGGAAAATTCAAAAGGTGGGGTTGAGATGAGAAGTTAGTGCCCGAGTGGATTGAAGTCAAGATAGCTCAAGTGGTAGAGTAGCGGCGTATCAAGCTGAAGATCGTGGGTTCGAATCCCGCTCACGTCACTAACTAAAAACCTTAGTTAAATGAATGATATTATTTGGTCAAGCGGACCACGAAAAATAGTGAATTACTGTGAATGTAAACAATATAAACCTAAAACTGAGTCCACTTGGCAAGAGGCAAAAAATTGCAAAGACCAAAATAGAGAAAGTAAAAAGTTGGCAAGGGCAAAAGGTAAACAAAAGTAGTACATTCTCAATGAAACTTAGATATTGTGACTGAATGGTTTTTCGGAAAAAGGAATGTGTCACAATTTCGCAAAAGTATGAGAAATGCCAGTTTGTGAACCGAAGAATGAGAAGTGATGTTATGGAGATGAGGGATAAGAAAAGAAAAGTGTGAGAGGTGTCCATTCACAAGGTGTCTATTACACATATACGACCTCAGTCTAATAGATGCCATGAGTGTCAAGCAATGAAACTCTTAAATGACAAAAGATCATGAGGAAAAGATAACTCGTCATTAGGCCTGAGGAGCTTGCATGCCCAAATTAGATATCTCATCTCTAGTCCCAAAAAAGTATGGACGATGCTCAGGCATACTAAAAAATCCAGTGGTGGGACAGTCTTTATGCATCCTAGATCCTTTATTTTCTTTTGGCAATTTTGGGGTAGCTTCGTGTGGAAATGTTCTACCCACCTCTATCTGACCTCATTTAGAACCAAGCTGTCCTATAGTGCGTTTTGCCAAACTTGTTTCAACTTTTTTTTTTCTAGAATTCTAGAACAAGTTTCTGCCCTAACCAACCTGTTTAGGTTTAATATCACAATTAGTAACACTAACTACTAATTAACACTATTCTACATCATATATTCTGAACCATGTCACCACATATGGCCGTGACTACCTCTGGCTCGCTTTCTGTCAGCCAGGCCTTTAATTTCAATAATACCTAGTTTTAAATAATATATTTCTCAAACTTTTGATAATCCAAATGAAAGATATTTTCCATTCAACTTTAGAAACCTGGAAGAAAGTATAATAATGTGCATTAAAGCTTCTTTCCAGTATGTTGTTACATTAATTTACATAATGATATAAAAATTATCATAACAAATTCATTAATAAAGTAATCAGATGCAGGTGGTTTTATATAAATTTTGTACATGTTTGTTTTTATGCCTTTTATTATTTTGGTAAAACGGATTTACACATTATTTGTAGTGACATTTGTATTGACAGTTGTATTATTTCCTTCTCTCGTTGAATTGTAATGGGCCGTTTCCGCTTTCCTTGTTGATCTGAAAATTACTTGAATGTATGAATAACTTATTCAAATAGAATTTTATTTAAATTAAAAAATAAATAAATGGCTAACTTTAAACTGTCGATGTGTGTTTTGTACTCCAGTATAGTGTTCGGGGGTAAGTTCAAGACTCTTCTCATCGCGTCACGAATTCTAGCAGTGGTATGCGTATCCGAGGCTGTCTTATTCCATACACAAATTATATCCTCCTGAAATAATTATGTAATTGTATAATGTATAATTTATGTTTAAAAAATTATTAAATCATTTGAATTTAAAATACCTGAAATCTTATAGACACGACCGCTCCGCAAATCTCTTGCCCAACCATGAACTGCTCACCAAGGATGGCGAGTACAAGATTTTCCCAACATCGCGAGGCAAACCCTTTCCGAAGTCTAACAATCCATTTCCCCCCTTTCTGATTTGCCTCATCCTAAACAAAGTAAATTTGATTATCCGTTCATATTTTTAACCTCCTGTAAAATAATAATAATAAGTAAAGCAAATACCTCCCACATAGGTTTTATGCCGACTTTGAAAAGGTGATAGTCTGAATGACTCGGGAGTTCACTCGGCCGTGCTAAATGACTATTTATTGCCCAAAACTGCTCGACTGAACCAAAACATCCTATGGACTTTAGGTGCTGGTCGTACGATTGTAAAGTCTGTTTGCCCGGTGACCGACGGCTGTACCACAGGCAATAGCAGTATTGAAGTTTGTGATCACCGGGCGGAATTTCTAAAGGCACCTGCATCGAAAAGAGAATGAGCATATTAATAATATTACATTTTTGTCTAATATATTATATAATGAACTGAATTTATAATTTAAAACGATTTTTAAGCATTGAGGTGAAATCTGCTAAGTAGACTTGTAACTTGATCATCAGCGATCATTCTGTTCTGCTCATCCTTGCTGGTTTATATCTGTCATAAGGAATTTGGCATTTCACCATCTTCGTGCAGTCGTTAGTCTGTGTTTGTTTCGCATGCCTATCATTTTTGAAGTGTTCTTTCTCACTCATTCTCTCTTTTTATGTTTTTTAATGGATTAATCACAGAAGGTGGTGAAATGCAAAATAACGACATATAATATGCATACCACGATGATGAAAGATAATCAAGTGAAAATACAAAAACATAAATAATTTCTCTAATAAACATGTGAGCCATTAGTCAATTTGACAAATCATTTAAATTTTTCACTAACATCCCTAAAAAAAAATATATTATTTAAATCTAATTTATTGATTTTCAAAATCATATTTAATGTATTTTAATTATTGTATTGTATTGTTTTATAATAAATGAATACAATGACAGATTCTATTTTTAAATTTATATATTGAAGGAGACTTTTTTGCTATTGGCTTCCATTCATGCAATAAAAATTTGAAGATTTTTTAAACCGAAAATATCAAAAAGTTTAATTTTCAAGTTGTGATAATGTAACTGAAGAAATAATCAACCGATTTTATAATAATAAGTAAAAGGAGACTTGAAAGTTTTGTCTAACTGATACAAATTGTTAAATTGCTGAGATTTCCGTGGTAAATATGTCCATCAACAGGGGCAAGCTTAAAATTTAATATATAATATCTGATTTATCTTTATTAAATTTTTCACTGTATAGATTAAGATAATGGTATTATCAGCTAAAATATGTGCTTTTGTTAGACTTATCATCATCTTAATTAAGGGGTTGTGGAATATTTGATTAACCAGTTTTACAATATATCAAAGTGGGAATGAAGATACTAACTTCCTATGCGATCATCATATATTCAACCAAAGAACTTTGAAAGAAATACTAAAAATTACACAGCATGGCTTTCTTTACAGATTTTATTCAAACTAAATTACGAAATTTAGCTCTATGGAGGGATGAGCCAGTAGTTTAATCATTTTGGTCTGCCAGATGGTGAGGAGCTGAAACACATTTGACAGACGAAAATGATTAAGAATGTCCAAACTACTTTATTTTAGTAAATAAAATTGAATAGCGATTAAATTATACCATCCTTTCCTTACCATTTTTACTGATCAAGTTATTTAATAATTTAAAACTTCCTTTCTCTGGAAACTTTATCAAACATTAAACTTCATTTTTAGCATCAGGCATTTTCTGTACAAGCCAAAAATTGCAAACAAACTCATTAGGCAAGCGCAACTGGTCTTTCAATCAAAAATACATGCCATCAATGCTTGTGCCCTGAAAATCAGAGGTTACACTGGCAAAAAATCCTCGAAAGATCTGATAGCCAAGCAAGGCACAAAAGGCCAAAACATCTGACAGACCAAAATGATCAGAAACGATCAAGATATAGGTTCATCATCACGAGGCAGCTTCAAAAGGACAAACTTCAAGAAGAAATCTCACAAGAAATGCTTAAACTAAACAAAAGCATTGATCAATTTTATAAATCTTTATACTTCATAACACTTGTTTTCAGTTGGTTTTAAAAATTAAAAATAAATCATTTCTTATATTGTTGTAAAAAAAGTTTTTTTGCATGTTTTTCCCACCATATAATTGGAAACAAATTTTACTACTCTGGCGATGGCAGAACAAGGCGTCTTCGAACTTCAGTATCCTGCCCAAAACTTCAGATCTACTACTTAATTTATTACATAAACATCATTAATTAGAAAATTAAGTAAACCAAAAACCTCCATTTCTTTGAACAGTAGTGAAATAACATCACAAAACACAGTTGGATACTTAGGAATAGCACGGGACACCAAGCTAAAATGGAACAAGTACATTCGAGCAAAGAGGATAGAACAATATACAATTAATTTTACTAGTTTTTTTGGAAGGAATTCCCATTAAAAAACCCTAATCTATAACCAGATATTAAAATCTGCCTGGATTTACAGTACACCGCTACAGGGGTGACTAATATTGCAAAGATCTAGATATTTTCGAATAAAGTACTTTGAAATATAATTGATGCTTTGTGGTATGATCACAATAGCGACCTACACGAAGACTTAAAAATCCCTGGTGCAGAAGCCAGTTGGCTCAACGGAAGATTACAAGTGTTAAGCCCTTGTGCAATGATACTGCTATTTAAAAATTACATATCATTATATACTTAGGTATACTACAAATAACAATGCAATAACAAGCGATTAATAAATAAAAGTAATAATGTAGCCAGTGTGAAGTTAGTATTTGATCTAACTTGTATGTAATCTACCAAGTTTTAGTATAAAAAATAAATAAAATATCAAAAGGCATTCTTTCTTTATTATATTGAACACAGAGAGCAACTTTTCTGTACAAACCACAAGCAAGCATACATTTCAGTAAAAAAAAGAACTTTTATTTTAGAATTTAATTCAAGATAAAAGCATCATTAGATCAAAAAAGCTATAGGTACATCCCATCGCCAACTTGACCTCAATAGTTCACATTGAAATTCTGTTTTCTTTTAATTAATTAGAAATTTAAAATAAGCTATTCTGGCTTGGGAAGAATCAGTTTTAAATTGTGATATTTCCTTTTATGGTCTCTATTGGGTGATGAACCTGATGATAATGATGGAAGTGAAGTTTGTGCTCCTCAGGCATTGCAGCCTTCTAGCTTATTGTACCTTCCTAGTCCTAGTGAGGGTTTTGTTTAAGTTTACTGTGCCTAGCACCACAAGAGTTTATCACATTTTTTTTTTTTTTTTAATCCATTCTGTGGTGGAGGATTCTATATTCATTTTTACTATCCCAAGTATAGGTTCAGGGTCTATATGTGGTCTTGCAGATCCTCCTCTGGCCAGTATGTCTGCTTTTTCTTTACCCAAAATTCCTTTGAGTTCTGGCACCCAAGATATCTTCAAGTTATTGTGTTTCCCCAGGTTTTGGATGCATTCTCTGACTAGTTACTCACAAATCGTGAGATGAGGTCTGGTGTGATGTGGGTTTCAGAAAAACATTTTCTTTATCGTGCCAACGTTTTGATCTTTATTGTGATCATCTTTAGGACCTGGGATTTACAAACATTGTTTAAATTTAACAAATACAGTAGGATGTGGAAAAAAGTGACTTTATACAATGCAAAAAATATTTTTTATATTCAATCAAAGTATTTCTACTCACTCAAAGTGTTTGTTTCTGCGTAATTGTGCCATTCTTGAGTGTCGTGTTGAGAGTGCCAGTGAGATATTGCTGTTTTATGTTTATATACATTGGATTTTGAAGGGATGGGGAAGGAAGTCGGTATCGAAAGACATTTTTGTACAAGGAGTCGGCTTCTTTGAGGTGAAAAGAGCTGACGAAGGGAAAAAACGTTGGTAATGGTTCGGCCAGATTATCCTTTCAGGATTATATAGATGGGGATAAATAGGAAAAGGAAAGCTAAATTGTTCAAAAATTAGACTATGTAAAAATGTTTGATGTGTGGAATATGATGAATGTTTTATAATATGTGTTTTATGTGATGTAATGATAAAGGTATGTTAACTATATTGAATACGATTAATGATATTGGCGTAGCTGCGACTGAGTTTACATGTGTCTGTTCTGTAATTGATGCTGTGTTCTGTTGATGTAAACTATTTCTAAAATGTTTCATATATGTTGAAGTCGAAATTGTGTTTGTGTTCAAAATGGTTGGTAGCAAGTGCTGTAGGATGCTTTTCACCTCAAAGAAGCCAACTCCTTATACAAAAATGTCTTTCTATACCGACTTCCTTCCCCACCCCTTCAAAATCCAATGTACATAAACATAAAACAGCAATATCTCACTGGCACTCTCAACACAACATATTCACTTTTTTCAACATCCTACATGTATTTGTTAAATTTAAACAATGTTTGTAAATCCCAGGCCCTGAAGATGATCTCAATAAAGATCGAAATGTTGGCATGATAAAGAAAATGTTTTTGTAAACATTCATCACAGTCAGGCCAATGACGAAAGACAAATCACCAAAGATGATGATCAGGGTGTGACGGGCCAAAACATTGAGGATAGTGCACCAGAATGGTCAGAAAGGATAAAACTACAATACTGAGACCGTGCTGGTCTGCCTATCCTCACTGTCTAATCCGTTTTCTACATTTATAAAACAATTACCAAAGATGAAAATGTGTCAGATGACTAAACCAATGAGGATGAGCAGACCAGAACGGTCAGAAAGGACAAATCTACAGTACTGAGATCATACTTGTCTTCCTATCCTTGTTGGTTTTGTCCAGTGTTTTATACATTTATAAACCAATCATTGAAGTTGGCCAAATGGAGAAATATCTGTGTTGTCTAAACCAGCGAGGTTAGGAAGACCAAAATGATCATAAAGAACCAAACATGAGAATCATGATGGCTATCATTTAAATTGTTTCACTGTCATGCTATCATAAAGACCATCACCTTAAAAAAAAATTTATTAACTGACAATAATTGTCTAAAAAGTGTATTTTGATTTTCAAGTTACAGTTGATTTCACAACAAAAGAATAAGGCAATTTTAGTCTATTTTGTAAAGATTTATATTGAAATGCTTGTTATGGATCGAAGCGCGTTCTCATCACAGTCCACGCTTGTAACAAGGATGAGTTTGTTTTTAATTATTATAACATACCAAAAAAAAAATCCTACAAACATATATTTGTGAAAGCTTCATGAAAAACTTGGTCATGCATCTAGAAAATAAAAGCCTTTATTAACAACAATAATTTGAACTCACTGTAGATAAATCTGTATTCTTAATATCCTTGTACGCCGATTCGTCTTCACCGCTATCATCACTACTTTTGAGCCTGTCGAGAAAGACAAAACATACAAGATTAGCAAGATATATCAGGTTGGCTCAATGTTAAAAATGTAAGTATGTCATGTAAAAAACAAAATAACTTTAAAAAAATAACTTTAGTGTAAGCTAAAAACTCAAAATAGTTCTCGTTTCATAAACAAAGGGTAAATTAATAAAAAGAATTTTTTTTTAAAAACAGATAGTTTAATACCCCTTGGCCATCTGGAGAGAGCATATTAGGGAAACAATGTTTGTAAACAACTGACTCACTTACGCTTCGAATTTGTTTGTCATATTATTAACAGAGTCAATATATTTACAAAATGAATATTAATTATATATTATTAATTAAAGACAGACTTGTACGAAAGTTAAAATAATATCGACCAGTTCTCTTTTGTGTTATTTACAGTTTTACAGCTGTTAATCTAAAAAAAACGTAATCCCGACTCGGAAGAGAACTTTTTACTGATTTGGTTCTGCAGGGTCGCTAAAGATGGGGCTTACGTCGTAGGTGCACGGATTTGACGAAATTGCCCTAAAATGACCCAAGAACTTTGTCACCCAGATTAGATTTTCAGTTTATTTCATATATTCAAAGCAAAATTAAATCTAACAGTAATGTTACATTTATTAAACGTTAGGTTTACATTTATTCATGTTTGGTCTGGAGGGGCATCCATTTTCATTAAGAGAATTCTAATTTATTGTTACAATTACAATATATGTTTATATTTTAAAAGAAATATTATTACGCATAAACATAAATATTGTATTATTTATACAGGGGGTCCCAGAGAAAGTGATAAAAAAATTTTAAGTGATAGTATATACTATATATGCTTATATGTCTTCATATATTCATAGCAAAATTAAATCTAACAGTAATATTACATTTATTAAACGTTAGGTTTATATTTATTCATGTTTAGGTTTGGTCTGGAGGGGCATCCATTTTCATTAAGAGAATTCCAATTTATTGTTACAATTACAATGTATGTTTATATTTTAAAAGAAAAATTATTTCACATAAACATTAGTATTATTTTATTTATACAGGGGGTCCCAGAGAAAGTCATAAAAAAAAATTTTAAGTGATAGTATATCCTATTTGCAACAACTTCCAACGTATAGTCCCTATAACTATCTTCAGTCCCTGGCTGATTGATGTAATTATTTTATTGATTTGATCTAGAATAGGGTCAAATTTCAACAGGAGAATTATTGATCTGGGAGAATCCATTTAGCAGTACATAATAATGTGTTTGATTTTTTAACAACATACAAAATAATTATAGTAATTTAAACTAATGGACATGAACAACAGTCTGTCTGCCAGGGAGAATCCAATTTCTTGTAAAAATGGATTTGCTCCCATTATATACTCAACCATGCGTATATTCAAACTTAATAAACAAATACTTTGATTTATTCATACACGTTATGTCTTATTTTATAATATCTTCTCTTTTTGTAAGTAAACACCTGTCCTGACCAAACTTAGACCACAAATTTGAAATGTAATGTTTAATAAATGTACGTTTTTGAAGTTGGCCAGTAAAAGTTTATTTTGAGCTCTTTTCAGAATAATAAGCAGTTTTGTCATGTTTAACACAAGTATAGACATGCATTTAAAAAGCAAAAGTTTGATTGGAAATCCCTACACAGCATGTGATAAAAGGTACCTTATTAATTTAGAAAAAATATTTTTTACACTTTGATTAATTAAACAATGAAAAGTGGATGGATTTACTCTGGTTACTCTCATAAAATATACATTATTATTGTCTTTCTTTTAGTGAAACCACTATTCAAATAGAGCACAGTTTTATACAGGTTTCTCACACTAAATATCATTATTTTTCATAGTTAAAAAGAAACACCTTAAAATAACTTGTGAACAGCATTCAATAAAAATTATATAAAAAAATGAAGAGTAATTTATTATTAACTGAGAAGAACTGTTTATTGTACAGAATGTGCACTGTTTTTTTAAGCATTTAAAAGTTTTATAATAACACTAGATGGTTGGTCATAATTTTCTTTGAAAATTTAATTGTTAATTTCATTGTGTTTGAACCATAGGTTACAAAATTTTGAACAAAAGTTTGTTTTAAATTATTAATTACAATTTCAGAGTTCTGATGTAATATATGTCTCCAAAGCTTGTCAAGAGAATTTTTTTTTAATTAGCCTTATTCCAGATTTTTTAATAAAAAATTAAAATAGTGAAGATTATGTAGAGATCGTGAGATGCAGTCTGGAGGTTGTAGGTTTAGAAAATGATTTTCCTTATCGTGTCAATGTTTCAATCATTATTGAGATCATCTTCACTGTACACTACCCAGAAAACACACACTGAGTGATTACAAATACTTTGATTAAACCTAAAAAAATTATATTGTGTACATGATTGCATAAAGTCATTTTCACATCTTACATGTATTTGTATAATTTAAACAATGTTTTAAATCCCAGGCTATGAAGATGATCTCAATAAAAATCGAAATGTTGGCATGATAAAGAAAATATTTTTCTAAACCTACGTCACACCAGACTGCATCTCACTATCTCTAAATAATCATTAACTAATGTTCACTAAACTCCACACATAATAATGAAGGTTCATAACTACTTATATCAGAGCTTAACTGTTAACAATTGGAATTAGCAGGTGTCATCTCAACCTTAGATAAATGTATAATTAATTAAAATAATTAATTCAGTCAATTATAACTACTAAATACATATTAGAATTAGACTAGCAAGCTGTAAGAATCAGCTTGGTGTTATTAACCAACTAGTGTCTTGTCTGCCCTGCCCACTGATGTTAAACTGTTGGGCCATCAACAGGTCGCCTAGGTCATTTCAGTTTCCAACAGATGCAGTTTTTAATCAAAACACTGCCTCAGATGTATTTTTACTCAATATTATATCATTTCCTATATGCATACATTTATTCGGTATGGCGTTAGAGTGCTAGGAAAGTTGCTTGTATTTTAACTTTTAAAATATTTAAAAGTGTTAAATTTAAAATACTTTAATCAACACGTTTAAGTTATATATCAAATGTCATTCTTGTTTGGTTTTTATGGGTTATAATTTGAATTGTAATTTTGAATAGTTACCAGTTTTATATTAAAATTTGTCTATTCACGTTTTTCACGTTTTGTTTTATGTGAAGAATAATTTAAAATGAATTTTATTAATTTATGAATTTTATTAATTATAATAAATTGTAATAATTTTTTTTTCTGGAGTTAACCGTTGCACATTGTTGACGTTGAGACACGGTCATGTCACCCACCACCGCATTCAGGAGGTAACTTCGCATTTGCCAGTTTCTTAACGTTCGTTTGTTTACACGACGCGAATTTGCGTATACGCTAGGGGAAAATGCTCCAGCTCAGAGAATACGGAAGTGATAGCAATAGCGATAAGGATGAAGAAGATGATGAAAAGGGCAAGGAGGAGAATGCCCTGCACCTGGTACCTCTGCCAAAAGCGAACATGTCCACCTTATCCAAGTCCATGGAAATCTGTGCGGCCCCTGCTACAATTCCACCGGTAATTTATCGTTCATTTAGTTTTAAAACAATTCAGCATTCAGGGCAAACAGTTACAAGATGATATCGCTCTCTTATAATTTTCCAGGTGGAATTTGATGCAAAACGTTTTGTTGATCCTGAGACGAAGGAGCTGACTGTTAACCTCAAGTACGACGAGCTTTTTGCACCTACACTAGGTCCTGAAAACCCATTTCTCTCAGACCAGGAAAAAGCACCGAGGAACCTTCTTTCCGGGTACATCGAACCCGCACATTTTAGTGAATTTCAATTTGAGAACCAACGCAAGACTTTTGAGAGTTTTGGTTATGCTGTTGACCCTTCGGTCGACGACTTGGGCAGGATGCCTGAAGAAGGGACGGCCATTGTCGGCACGTGCGACCCTGCACAGGACAACTTGAAAACCGTGTTTGAATCATCTTCAAAACGGCCGTTGGACAAGAGGAAAAGGCATAAAAATGACAATCCGGCAGATATCGAAGGGTTTCTCGGACCCTGGGGCGCTTACATCGATGAACAGAAAGTCGCCAAACCTACACCTGTTTGTATTTTTTACTATATAAAATTCCCTTTTTTAAGGACCCTACGCGCTCAGTTTATGACACTACTAGAATCCAGACTGAAAGAATGAACTTAGAGGCAAAGCGAGCAGCGCCGTTATGCCCTGACAAGTAAGAGGGTCGCGGCGATGTGCGCAGAAGGGTCGGGGCATGAGCCCGCCTGGAGCCGTCGCCGGGCAGATCTTAGTGGTAGTAGGGAATTTCTTTTCTCACAGTAGAGATAGTTTTTGACCAGATTGTCACAAGTGACAAAAAATGAATCCTGTAGAGTAACTCCCGGAGGTCGTATGTTTGGTTGCCACCAAATGGCCCAATCCCACTAAGACAAAAACCACATGTCCACCAACAAAACTGATTTATTTTTAAACCACTTATGGTTAAACACAATGCAAATTTTACTACACTGTCTGTAGAAAGTACAGAAAGTACATATTTGATTGCATTGGTGTATTGGTCATACAAGATTTTCAGATATTTTGGGAGGCTTATCTGACTTGATTGCAAAGTGACTTTGAGTTTAAGGTTTGTAATCTCAGACGTTTTCATTTTTTGTTTTTAGATTTGATTGTTGTGTTATGTACCTTAAATTGGTTTGTAGAAGATTTTTAATTTTTGGTTTTGCTTTTGTTTTGGCAGTCCAATAGTGGCTTCGCAGTTTGGGCTTTTTATTCTCATGATGATTTCCAGAAAAGAGATTACAAGTCAAACCCATTTACAGTTTGATTTGTGCGAGCAAAAGTAACTTTTTCAAATTGTTTAAAGTGTCTTTTTCACCACCCTCCACCCCTTAGATTTGATTAATTTTAATTTTTTGTTTTGCACTTCCAACTGGATTTCCAAGGGACTTTGAAGTTTGAGTATTTTAATCTTGGACGATTTCCATGAAAAAAATTATACTTTGATTTTTGCAAACAAAAGTTACTTTTTGATACTTTTTCACCACCCTCGAACCCTTAGATTTGATTGATTTTTAATTTTTGGTTGTACACTGTTCAACTGGATTTCTAAGGGACTTTGAAGTTTGAATATTTTAATCTTGGACGATTTTCATCAAAAAGATTACATTTTGATTTTTGCGAACTAAAATTGATTGTGACATTTTCCTCACCATCCGAACCTTAGATTTGATGGATGTGCTTTGTAGTTGTATTGGTGGCAGAATATTTTTAGTTTTTTTATTTGGTTTGGTTTCACAGTCCTAAACAATTTCCAAGAGACCTCATTTTTTTAAATCTCTCGGGGTCACTGGTAGGCAAAGTCTACCTTTTCCACTGTGACCTAAAAATATCAATAATTGTGAATTTTAAAGAACCAATATCTTAATTATTTTTATGCCTCAAAGAGTGCACGGCCTTTAAGGTATTTTAGGACTTTCCTCTTCACTTATTTCTTCACAGGGCCTACCCTGTAAGTTAAAGGTTCCGGGTTCAAATCCAGCTTTTAACCTCCTGACGATTTTCATAGCTTTGGGGTTCTTGTGTAGGCAGAGATGAAACTGATGTTTATAAATAATTGGTTTGGATTTCCAGTAAATTATTATTGAGCCCAGAGCTCAGGCTAAATACAAGACATTTCTACAGATAAGTTACCTTACTTAATTGTTCAGATATGATTTCAAGCATAAACCTGACAGATAAACTGAGTGTATATGAGACCTGTTATGTTTTTCACTTGTATGTATAAATCAAAATAAACAAAAAAATATTTCAGGAAATGAAGCAAGAGTTAGAAGAGTACCTTGCAAAACGGCAGAAACTTGGTAAAAAAGTTGAAGACAAACCCATCGAGGATAAAACAGTATTGCACAGTAAGTATTACATCATAAGATACAGAATACATTTGCTAATTGCCTTAATTTCAGTCAAAGACCCGATCGACTACCAAGGGAGGAGTTTTCTCCACCCGCCGCAAGATGTTGGCATCAACCTTCGTTCTTCCTCACCTCCAGACAAATGTTTCATACCCAAAACAGAGATTCATGTTTGGAGGGGACATACAAAAGGAATTTCCGCAATCAGGTGGTTCCCAAGATCAGCTCATTTATTACTGTCTTGCAGTATGGACTGTAGAATTAAGGTACATTACTGTTCTTATTTTTATTAAACTGTTTTAACTGATTGTCTCTTCGTATGAAGAACATGGTTTAGTTGAATATGACCTTTTAGTCTTACGCATTTTGTTTTTTCATAATAATCGGTAGAATTGGGGTTATAAGCAGGGTAAGACACAAATACACCACTGATAAATGGCCTTAAGCCAAAACGACAGAACAAAATGACTTTCCTTAAGTTTCATTGAATGATTTTTATTCCTCAGTCTTGTCATTCAATATTGGCAACATTTTACAAAGTATTAAAAATGAAAAAAAGTACAAAATCTTGATATTATTGTGACATTATTGAAGGAACAGTTGCTGATATTACACGTTTATTCTGTGAATTTGAAAAGGAAATCACACTCAATATTGAGGTGTTTAAAAAAATACTAAAATTTTCTATATAAAATTAGAATGAAAAGTGGAAATATACAAAACACTATTTTTGCCGATTGTATAAAAATCAACTGTCAAATAACTAAGTTTTTTGCTGTAAAATGTACATTGCCGTTTTAATAAATTAAAAAAAAAAAAAAAATGCTAGTGTTTCTGGGTTCAAATTCAAGCATTGCCTTTGGAATTTTACATAAAACTCTTTTTTTCCTTTTTTTTAAGTGTTATATTGCCACTGAACCCTTCTGTTTTTGTATATTTTTTCTTTTAGTTTTTCTTTTTCATTTATACAATTAGACGATTTAAAAACTGAAAGATTTTGAGCAGCCTCCTCCAAATTGTAATTTACCAACGATTGAAATATTTGGTTGTGAATATAAATTAAATCAATTTTAACTTTACAATTAATTAAGGTTTTTAGTTGAGATGAAAAAAAGCTAATGGCACGAGAGGGATTCGAACCCATGACCGAACGAGAATCCAAACCGATTACACGACATTTGAAAAATGGCAAAAGGAGGGAAAGCTCATAAGGTGGGGTTGAGATGGGGAGTTGATGTCCGAGTGGATCGAGGTCACGATAGCTCAGGTGGTAGAGCAGCGGCGTATCTAGCCGAAGGTCGTGGGTTCGAATCCCTCTCGTGCCATTAGCTTTTTTTCATCTCAACTAAAAACCTTAATTAATTGTAAAGTATTAATTGGTCAAGCGGACCACGAAAATAGTGAATTTAATTTTAACTGTTGAAATAGATATCACGAATTTATTATAATTAATAAGTAAAGAATAAATATATAACTAGTGTAGAAGAATTTTTTGCAATATTTATTTTAAATTGTTAGATTATTATTTTATTTTTATTTCAGATTTGGGAAGTTTACAAGGAAAGAAGGTGTGTAAGATCTTATTACGGACATAGACAAGCTGTTAGGGATATTTGTTTTAATAACCGTGGAACTAAATTTATTTCTGCAGGTATGAAGTGAATTTTTTTTTCAAATTTTATTTTGTCTGCAATCTGCATTTAGTATTTTATGTAATATTTTGTTTATATTTCAGCTTACGATAGATTTATCAAATTATGGGATACAGAAACTGGCCATTGCCTGTCAAGGTTCACCAGCCGCAAAATCCCTTATTGTGTCAAATTTCATCCGGATGATGACAAACAGAATCTGTTTGTTGCTGGTACTTCCGATAAAAAAATTATTTGTGTGAGTTGAAAATTAATTAAACTTTTTTTCTGGAAAAGGACAAAAACTAAATGAGAATTATTTTTCAGTGGGATCTCAGATCGGGTGATATAGTTCAAGAATATGACAGACATTTAGGTGCTGTAAATTCGATTACCTTTGTCGATGAAAATAGAAGATTTGTCACTACGTCTGATGACAAAAGTTTAAGAGTGTGGGAATGGTAAATACAATAAAGAATAAAATGAATATGAACTTTTAATATTGAGTTATTTTTGCATTTCAGGGATATACCTGTAGATATGAAATACATAGCGGATCCTACTATGCATTCCATGCCTAGCGTTACACCAGCACCAAATGGAAAATGGTTGGCATGTCAAAGCATGGATAATAAAATTGTAATTTTCTCAGCTCTCAACAGGTTTAAACTGAATAGAAAGAAAACCTTCACAGGGCATATGGTCGCTGGTTATGCCTGTTCACTTGATTTCTCACCGGACATGAGGTTTATATTATTTTATTTTATAATAATTATAACAACAATAAAATGTATTTATTTCCCTGAGTATTAAAATGTGTGGACGAGATCTCATGGGGGCTTATATTCTCCTTAGGACTTTTGATGATTATGCTTGCAATTTAAGAGCTCTGGCTAGACATTAACAGTATTTATTGTGCTACAGATTGTATCCAATGTGTAGTGGACAACTCTGTAATAAACATAACCCTTCCTTTCCTATTTTCATCATCAACAAACCAATCTTTTCTCCCCCTTTCTTCACAATCTGCCCTCTCTCATACTTTTGAGAAATTGTGATACAATATTTTTGTGGAAAACAATTTGACCACAATACGTAGGTACCAAAAAGGTTAGCTAGGATAGTGAATGCGTGATTTTTTACTCTGTATGGATGTATTTATTTGTGTAAATGAGGGACTGACAGGGTGAAAAATGCTTTTCGGGCCTATCGAGTGTATTGTACAGTGTATTGTACAAAAGTATATTTTCAATTATATATATTTTTAGCATAGATGTATGGGTGGTTAGGGATTGTTAGGGGTCTCAGAAATATACCGAGAACTCTCAAATCCTGCCAAATTTAGGTTAGGTTGTCATATTAATAGTATGAATGTTTATTTTTATTGATTGAGAACAGTTTAATCAAGTGTGGAAGGGTTAAATATAAAGGTAATACAAAAATTTAAAAAAAATTGAGATAGTAGCAGATATAGTCGTCCAAAAACAAAAAATAATAATAAATTTCAATTAATTAAGGTTTTTAGTTGAGATAAAAAAGTCAGTGTCACGAGCGGGATTCAAACCCACGACCTTCGGCTTGATATGCCGCTACTCTACCACTTGAGCTATCGTGACTTCGATCCACTCGGACACCAACTTCCCATTTCAACCCACCTTTTGAATTTCTCTCCTTTTTAATTGGTCAAGCGGACCACGAAAATTAGTGAATTTTATGTTAAAATGAAGTATATCTTCATTAAATAGATTACACGACATTTGAAAAATGGCAAAAAGGAGGGAAAATTCAAAAGGTGGGTTGAGATGGGAAGTTGGTGTCCGAGTGGATCGAAGTCACGATAGCTCAAGTGGTAGAGTAGCGGCGTATCAAGCCAAAGGTCGTGGGTTCGAATCCCGCTCGTGTCACTGACTTTTTTATCTCAATTAAAAACCTTAATTAATTGAAAAATATTAATTGGTCAAGCGGACCACGAAAATTAGGGAATAATAATAAAATGTTTTTTTTAAGCTATATCGTGTCTGGTGATGCTGATGGGAAAGCCTATGTTTGGGATTGGAAAACGACAAAGTTATTCAAGAAGTGGAAGGCTCACGACAGCGTCTGTATTGCGGCTTTGTGGCACCCACATGAGTCGAGTAAAGTTGCAACCGCAGGCTGGGACGGTTTAATAAAGTACTGGGATTAAAAATTTCATAAACCATTTTAATTGATTAACATCATAAAATTAACAAACAAAAATTAAAACTCTTATGTAATTATTAATGTAAATAAATTATATTTGAATATAGTAATGCGGCATGATGTTTCATCTTTCCTACAGCCCTTGTAGTTTAAACAAATAATATTTATAGTTAACATTGATAAGTTTAGAATCTTTTGAGTCATTTATGCCATACTGGGTTTAATACCCTGTACTTTAAACTTTTATTTTATTTTAACTTATATTTAGTATTCTATTAAGTGGGTTCCCCAAGGTTGTTGAATTTATGATAAACAGATTTCTCTCAAATATCAGGATAAATGTTTTTTAAATCCTCTTTTTTCACTATTTATATTTATAAAGAAAAAATATACCTTAGACCATGATACATAGGCTTCCTTTGATATGTAAGCGTCATTTCTAGTAAAATGTCTTTAAAACTGTTGAATAATATATTTAAAAATGTATGAAATTTCCACAAATGTATATTATTATGTTTATTAAAACTCTACTGACAAATTTAATTCTAAAAATGATTATTAAAAAAATTTTAAAAAACATAATCTATTGAAATAAAACACACCGTATGATGTTTTGGGAGGGTTGTAAGGGGGGTGAGTGGCTCTGTTCTCGTGAGGGAGTTTGGATCAATAAAAGCAGCTGGCTACTCTCAACCTACTACTCTTAACATTTAAAACACTTTTGTACTATTAAGCTCAACAATTTTCACAACACAGCTTACTGTCTGAGAAGACAAGCCTACCAGGGTTCTGAATTTAGTAAAGGCAAATGCTACAAGTCTTCATCAGAATTGAACTTTTCCACGATAAATCTACATATTGTGATTGGTCGTAGCAAGTGCTTGAAATGGACAGTACAAATCTGGGTTACTCGTACCATCTACCTAATGGGGGGCTGATGCTGAAAGTGAGAAACGCTCTTTCACAGTTCAGTGATTTATTTAGTGAATTCAATAAATACATAGCTCCAGCTTATCATCACGATAGATGTGAAAGGTATGAAAAGACATTGACTTGGCACCATATGTTTTCTATTGAAAAGCTTTTATTTTACTTTTTTTTTTTTTTTTTTTTAAAGGAAAAAGAAAGATAAAGAAATGCCCTTTTTCTTTGTTAACATTGGCTCATGTTGGAAAAAAATACCGTAATATGGTGATATTTATGTTAAATTTGAAATGGATGTTCAAATTTATGATTTCAGATCTGTCCAAATGCGTCTCTACTCCATGCACAAAAGAGAATTTGTTATGGTCTTCCTTTGTTTTTACATTTGTTTTGGCTTAGGTGTATTTATCGGCCTAGCAGGTAAACTATATATTCTGTAGTCTATTTAAATTACACTTAGAAAAAAAAATATATTTGACATGTAGGCCCACCTATAACGGTGACATCGAGTTTTAAAGGAACTAGCATTTTAAAAGAACAGAACACAAGTATTGGAGATATTTGGCATGGTCCTTTTAAGATAAAAAGTCCAACAATGTCAACGTACCACCAACAATTATGGGTCCTCGCTCAAATCCGAACTGATAACAAAGACGGTGATTATTAAATATTCAAACTACATCATTAAAGTATTTATTTCTAAACAATTTGATCTTACAGATGATATACTTGACCGCGCCTTTCATGTAAGTGTTGCCATAAGTGCATTAACTTCAGATCACAAAGAAGTCAGAATATTAAGAGCAGACCAAGCTCACAACAGGTGAGTTTCATACTTTACAGTTGGTAGAAGTAGGCAATAAGACTTTTAATAAAAATAAATTATATTTTAGGACTCACCATCTGCGATGTGATAGCCAGATTTGTAATCCAGTGACAATTCTACATCTTGGTTTTCTTGATTATACCCATTACATTCTAGATGTAAACTTCAACGGGTTGGAAAACTTCCACAAGCACTACACAGTAAAACAAGTTACATTTTTTGTCAGTAAATTTTCTCTGATGATATAAGTTAAAAGTTTAAATTTCCTAATAATATTTTCATGCAATTTCAGTTTAAAAGTTATAATCCAGGCTTTACACAGATAGAAATTTGGTTCCGATTTATATTTCTATTGTCTACATTTATTATAACTGTCAGTATTTATTTTATTTATAGTCTGTAGTATATATTTTTTCTTATGTTTTGTTTTGATTTTAGTGTTGGTTCGCGCACACTTTAAGGAAATTCCCTATCTTTGATTGGTCCATAGAACAAAAGTGGATGTCGTGCATGCTGCCACTTCTTTTATTATACAATAGTTAGATTTTATTTTAGTTATTAAATATTGAAAATAATAAGATTTGTCTTTAAATAAATTTTTATATTTCAGATCCAATATTCCCTTTGACATTTTTGGTCAATTCGTGGATACCAAGCATGCTAGATGCTGTATTCCAAGCTACTTTCCTTTGTGGTCTCCTTTTATTTTGGATATGCATTTATCACGGATTGAGACAGGTAATCGAAGTTTTGTTATGACTTAACATTTCAAAGAAATATTAAGGCATGGAATTAATTTTAGACTGAAAGAAGAATATTGACTTTTTACATACCCAAGCTGTTAATTGTCGGCCCTTTATGGTTGACAGCAGTGATTATGGCGACATGGCAAAAAGCTAATGAACTTCAAGACCCAACTTATAGTTATAAAATAGACACATCAAATTTTTACGTAATAGAAAAATATATGATTATAAATATTGTAATTGTCAATGTTTACTAATGTTTTTGTCTGTTTTATCTTTCAGAATTTTAAAATAATATTTTTTGTTTTTATAAGTATGTATATAATTTATCTTCTGTGCCTGATTCTTCGGGCATACAGTGAATTGAGGTCTATGCCATTTTTTGGTAAGATAATTTGGAAAAAAAAGCAGACAGTTGATAACAATTTTTTTTTTCTTTTCAGATATGAGATTAAAATTTCTGACTTTGTTGATGTTAATTGTAATAACAATAAGCATAACAATAACAGTGATGAGATTCGGTATCGGGGTATTAGAAGATAATTTTGTATCGGAGTTGTCCACAACTTACAACAGTTCAGCCCAATTTATGAGCTTTTATGGCCTATTGAATTTTTACATGTATACAATGGCTTATGTGTACTCTCCTAGCAAGAAAACAGTTTTTGGTAATTTTTTCTACTGATTTACGTATGTGGTCAAAAGTAAAAATGTTTAAAACATTTCTACTTTACTAGATACATCAATAACAAAGGACAATCCTGCTTTCTCTATGATAAATGATTCAGACGAAGATGTAATATATGGGTCTGACGAGGAAAGCAGACAGCCGTTGAATCGCAGCCACAATGAAGATGACAGCGATTAAATTTATTTTATATACTGAGGCGAACTATATTATCTAAGGGCCATATCAAGGGCACAAATGACAAGTGTCTAGTCGATTTTTATTAATATTTTTTTAAAAGAAAACAGGTTGTAAACTTAACAGTCCATTTCTTTTAAATTATGTACATAATTTTTATACATATTTGTAAATGTATTAATTTTTACACATGTATTCCTACAATATTTCATTTAAAAATGTTTAATAAAAAAGTGTCACTAATTGTCTTGGTGTGTATAAATAATAAAATAATAAAATTACAAATTCTATTCTTCTTTTTTTATTACTGTTAAATAAATTGTCAAATCAAGCTTACCATTTTAATTAAAATAATAAAACTAAATGGAATTCTTAACGTTATGAAAAACCTAAGCAATACCAAGAAAAAGAAAAGTAGCAAAAGAAGACATCATTAATCAACTATTTAATCGATGTATGTTGGATGTGTAAAGACTGAAGCTTAGACGTGCATGTTTTATGCAAATAGAACGATCATACATTTTGTTTTATTATATTACACCAAAACAAAATCTATCAAAACTCTCTTTTTTAACTATTCTACTATCCATACAACAATGCCATCATGTTGTGAATACTATTGCATCCTTCGCAAGAAGGAGTTCTACTCGGGGTCTGTCTTGTTGTTTTTCGATCAAGTCTGGCATCAAGGTTCCTCAGTAATTTAATCCTCAAGAGAGTGAGTTGTTTACAAATGGCACATTAAATGAAACACAAATCAAAAAGCATAAACTTTACCCTCTGGTCTATTTTTCTTTCAGACTATTGTAATTTTAATCCTCTTTCAATGAATTATCACTTACCTTGAGCTTTATCTGGACAAGCAGCTCAACTGAAACTGTCATACATGGCTTAAAAGAACAAATATGAATCAACCCTACTGACTAATTAATGTCTATTTGACAACATATCCAAATTATCCTTGGCAATAAAAGATTCATCTATACCACCATATTTGTTGGTTTTAAATAAATAATATTTACTATCAGGGGGTCGCAGGGCCATCTCTACTTTAGATGTCTGATGGGATAATAGGAATAGATTATGTTGGCCATGGATTGGGGCGAGTGGAGAGTGTTTTGTGGAACCCGAAGAATTTGGTGGGGATTAATTTATTTACAAACGTATTTCGGTGAGGAGGGTGGTATGTAGACATATGGAGCTTTGACTATGATTCTAGGACTTTGGATTGCAATGGCCGAATTCTTTGGATATTAGTAGGTTTAGCAGTGCCCCATAGCTCCATTCCGTATGCATAAATATTCAGTAGTGTTTTGTAGAGTGTCAGTTTGTTTTTTGTCGGCATGCTGTCCAATAATAGCACCCATTTTATCTTCTGTTTTATTTAAAGTGAATGTATCGACCAATTTTTTACTCATGAATAATCTGGATCTAAGTATGGTCAATTGGATGAAAATAAGTGTTCAAAAATTAAAAAAAAACTGAGAGCAGGTTCTCCTGGTCCTTTTGAAACATGTAGGAGTATCGTCAGGAAGTAATTGGAAGAAAAGGTGCAGGATGGGTATTAAATGTGATTGGGTGAAATTTTTTACAACTAGATCTTGTAGCATCTTCAATAAAAGGGATGTTTAAGTCATTGTGTAATAGTGCTTTTACCAGAGGGTCAAGTTTATCAAAGTAGTAAAGCTTTTATATTTTAGACTTCTTTAGTTCAACCCCATTTGTTAATCACTGCTCTAAGGAGCACAGATGATGGTGAGCACAGGTTTTGTCGAGATATGATATATGGTGTCATCAGCAAATGTGGCAATCGTAGTGTCAGAATGAGAAGGGATATCAGCAGTTGTATACTGTTTACCACAACAGTCCCAGAACACTATTCTTTAGAACTCCTGTATTAACCCTATACCAAGGAGAGGAGGAGGATCCAACCAAACTCTAAAATATCTATAAGCCAGAAAGGATTTGACGAATAAGAAGTGTATAAGTGTAGGAGTTTCATCAAAGGGAACCCTTTTTTTAACAGACTAACTTACTATCTTCTCATTTTCACCAAAAATAAAAACACCCCATTTTTATGTTTTTTTTTAAACTCATTAGCAGCAATAAATTGAGTCCTATCAAAAACAAAAGCTGAGCTTTTCACAAAAGGAAAGACCTCCAAAACTACAAGCTTAGTTCTTTATCCAAGTTAGCACCTACATACATACGATAAAGGTAGGATAAAAAACATGCCTATCCCTATACCTTATCCTTCTTGTGCATACATTAATAATTTAATAGAACTCGTAATTGATCAATTATCATAAAAATAGAAAATCTAGGTACACACAGTATCTGTACCCCTAAAAATGATTATATAGTATAGGGTGCAGACCTAGGCCTTTCCAAGCTGATGGACCTAATTTGCTGGTTACCATTTATTTTGGTCTGCCTATTCTTGCTGGGATGGTCTGTTCGACAGGCTTTGTCATTTCACCTTCTTCAGTCTATGTGATTTCTCTGAAGCCAAGTCCCTGTTATAAGGTTATACAATGGATAACAGACCAACCCAAAATGATGGTCATTTGGTCTTTATGTTCTATCATAAAATTTCCACCCTTGAAAATTGGACCACCAAATGTGTGGTTTAAGTAGCTGTACACTTCTCTTTGTAAAAATAGGGCAATATTGTGAAAATTTCGTACTCGACAAAAACTATGAATAATCAATTATCAAACACAAACTGATAATAATTCTGGGATGCAATGTTTAATCAATTACAATTATTTAAGGTTTTTAGTTGAGACAAAAAAGTCAATGGCACGAACGGGATTCGAACCCACGATCTTCGTCTAGATACGCCGCTGCTCTACCACTAGAGCTATCGTGACCTCGATCCACTGTCGGCGTATCTAGCCGAAGGCCGTGGGTTCGAATCCCGCTCGTGCCACTGACTTTTTTATCTCAACTAAAAACCTTAATTAATTGTAATATATTAATTGGTCAAGCGGACCACGAAATTAGTGAGTTTAATAAATGTTTGATGATAATCAAAACATTAAATAAATAACAATAACAATAAATTTGGAAGGAATGCGTGATTTTAAAAATAAATAGGAAATTTAAAAAAAGTTGTTGAGATTGTTACGACCAAGACATACAGCAGACAGCAACAATTATCAATATTATTATTACTATCGATAATATTTAACAATAAATTTTGAGTACAGCAGGGACCTAATCTAAATTTAAAGTTTTCTGGTTTACTTGGATATTCAAAGTAGAAAATGCGGTAAACATTGAACTGTGCTTACTTGTTGATACACACGCAAGCGCGAGCAAAGATTCTTGCCAGAAATTGTTCAATATTTACAAATAACACGATATTCGATATTCTGTTCGCATAGAAATTAACGCAGAAAAAATAATTTAAAGAACGAGGCCTTGTGTTAAATTTATACAGCATTCAGGATTCATATTCTGAGTACGACGGACACGTGCGTACATGCCTTTTGTATTCTATGTACGGTCTGTTTGTTGTGTTTTTTCCGTGTAAAAAGATTAATTTACTTTAAATAAGAGAATGTTGTAACGTAATTGGAGGATTATGAAGAGTTATCATTATGTTTTTTATTAAGCTATGTTATTTTCATCCTACCTTGAAACATTGGTGGCAAAACGACAAAATATTCCACAAATAAAAGTGTAAATTGTTTAGGTTTTACCATTCAGATTCTAGTTCTTTCTATGACAATAAAGTATTTAAAGTAAAAATTAATAAAATCTATAAAATATCACGGCTTCCTTTTAACCCTTGGATTTCATTAAACGCTTTTAACACCTTGTCCAATTTGTTGAAGTCATGAAGAGCGGTCAAGAATGAGGAAGTTTGAAAAACATCTTTTTCATATTTGCCGACGTTTTGACCTTTATTCGGGTCATTTTCAGGGCCTGGGTAAATTACAAAACATATGTTGATTGGAAAAATACAATTTAAGATGTAAATGTAAATTTTGAACCATATTTACTTTCATATATCATATATACTTCTAGACTTCAACAAATTATGAAACAAGTCACTAAGAAACACACACTTTGACCAATGTTTTATCCATGTTAAAAATTGTCTGTGATTTGGGCGTCACCTTTGGAGACTCCCTTTGTTTTTTTCCTGGTCATATTATCGTGATATCCAGGGCTTACTAATGACTTTACAAATGTGCAGGATGTAAAGTCTATTTATTTCACTCTAGTTCAAAGTATTTTTGATTATTATTGTCTTGTATGGTTTCCGTATCATTCTTGTTATTTTGTGGAGTTTAATCGTATCGTAATTTTCTTTATTAAACACCTCTTATGTATTGGTTTTAGAGGTGATTATTATTCCAAGCCCCTTAACTAGCATCCATTCTCTGTCTGTTTAAGATACCAGTTTCATTTTAAAACTTTTGAATGGAACAATTGACTGTTAGTCATTGATAAGTAAAGTTGACTTTAGAATCCTCACAAGAAATATTTTAACTATTGCCGTTATGTGCTTTTTAGTTATGTGCATTTTTTTCTCTTTTGTTTATCTAATACTTTTTCATTTCTTATTTTTTCATATTCTCTACCTTAACAACTAATTATGGTAGAACTATGTCTATGCAGGTTATTACAAATTAAAAATTCATTAAAGATTGATCTTTTTTCGACCAGTCGTTCTTCTCTCAGAACAAAAATGATTCGCAACGCCTTGACATCTGGTGAATAGTTTTATAAATTTTTATTTTTCCCTCGCGAGCCCCTTGTTTAATTTATTATTTGATCATTATTATTATGTGATCAATTTCTAGGGCTATTTCGGTTTTAATTACCCAAATATGCATTATTCAATAAATAACTGAATGTTAGATAGTATCGACCACTTTTTTACTTACCGGATGAAGAAAGAACAAATTCAATTGTTAATGCCAAGCTTTCTAGCTATTATGTGCTTTTTAGTTATGTGCAATTTTTTCTCTTTTGTTTATCTAATAAAGTACTTTTTTCATTCATTCATTCTATATTTTTTCACATCCCCTAACTAGTTGTGGTAGACATTTATGTCTTATTATTACAAACTGCTGATTCATTAAAGATTGACCTTTTTTTCCTATCAAAATGTTACTATAAGTATACTATTAAGTTACAAAAGTGTTCCTGTTGTTTGTAATCAATGAGACAGGACTGAATTTTCATATTGAGTCGTGTCTGCTCTATTAATAAAGGATCATCGTGGAATTTAAATAGTAAAGTGTGGATTTGATTCATACACGCACTTGTCACTTTAATGGGAGGCTCCATATTTTTTTATAAAGAATTTTTTTTACGTTGGCCTCCAGTGGAGTAGTAGAAAACGAGGTGTAGGGTGGAAAGGGGCGGCGTTGCCGGTTGGTGCTTCACCAACGCAGTCCCCCCTTCTCTCATCCGTTTTACTCGCCCAATGGCGGTGCCCCCCCTTTAGGGGCCCCCCTTTCTCCTTTCCCCCTCCCTTTCACGAGGGCCTCTGGTAAACAGACCATTCTCTCCCTATGACTCCAGTGGAAGTGTGTATCGAAACGACATGCGTCCGTTTTGTGCATCAGTGTCCAGTTCAGTGCAGTGTCACCCTTTAGAAAATTAGGCGAAAGGAAGGAAAAAGTCATTTGTATTTTTATTTCGGCCGTGAGACAAGGAGCGAATTTTCATTTTTGTCCAGCTCCTATTTTTGGCTTTATTTGTTTTCCGAAGAAACGAGAGGAGAATATATATAAAGGAGGAATATTAACGTGAATGCACTATGTGTTCAGTGAGTGTTTGATTTTTTGTTTTGTGAAATGAAACGTGAGATCGTAGGTCCCAAATGAAGAGTTTAGAACACGATGGTTAGGGAGACTCGTCACCTGTGGGTCGGAAACCTCCCGGAGAACATCCGAGAAGATCGCATCAGAGATCATTTCAAAAGGTATAAACGCATTTCATCCTAATCTTGTTCTTTTTTCAGGGCGAAACGTCTCCGAGGAGGGGACGAGGTCCAGTCATTTAGAGACCGACATTGCCAGTCTCTGTTGTAAAATTTGTGCAGTGAAAGTCCGCCGGTGGTCGGCCGCAAGGCCCTGGTGCACACTCTTCAGACCCGATGGACGTCCTGGCGATCCTTCGACTCTCGAATAGTGTACGGATTGCGTAACGACCCCGAACCCCGCATTATATAACTAGAGTTTGAAAAAAAAAAACCATGTGACTGACGGCTACCATCCCAGTCGCCTCGGGACCGTTACCCCGGCTATAATTAAAACGTGACCTTCATTCGGGTAAACGGAGTAAACAAGGAGCCGAACTCTGCGGCCACCGCCTTCCCCGGTTTGCCGATGAGAATGCGCGTAAACTTGAATGAAAACAGGAAGTAAATAACCACCCATCCACCCCCCGACCACCTACCAACCCTCCAATTTCCATAGAAACATGTTAACGCGACAAACTTAAAGTTTAACGACATCTTCATCGGATCAGCTCCGTCTGATGGCATTTAACACATGTCCACAGATTCAGCCAATCGTCTTGACCTACAATGGTTCAACCCGAAATCGACAATAATGCCAATAAAAAGTGTTGAAACTTCGGCTGATGCAAGTGCAGAAACCTTGTACCTGCAAAGATCTCTGTTTTGTTGCGCGGTTCTCTGACATCCGCGGTTTCATGTCAGAAACCTATTCGGTTTTATCCAGTTACGTGAATAAGAAATAGTTCAAACAAAAAAGGGCACTGTACACCTAGGATGTGATTCGTGTTTGGTGGATTCATGTGGTTCCTTCACTACATTCACATTTTCAAACCAGGAAATATTTAGTTTTAACCGTCCGGTTACCACGATTTCAACAAAAACGTTCATAAACGGTTTATCAAAACACACACACACACACACACACACACACACACACACATGTTGTGGTTTATTAAGTATACGACCAGAACACAGCATTCATTGTCAAGTAAGGACCTTCAAGTTTTATCGATTCTGTACTTCCCTGCCTTATTTATGTTTTATAATCGGCACATTTTTTAGTTTCAATAGGCTATTGAATAATCAATTCTTAAAATCTCATTAGAAACAGTAAGCGTACACACGTGCCTATATATTCTACAGACTGCATCTAACAAATAATTCTTAAAAATGATGCATATAACACTCAAAACAGTACATACATACGAAAAGGACTGTGAACCTAGGTGGGACTTTCGAGTTTGAGTCGATTCCTGGTTCCTCGGCTACATTCACATTTTCAAATGAGGAAATGTTCAGTTTTAACCGGCAGTTATCGATTTCAACCAAGACATTCATAACGGTTAATCAAAACTCACAACGTGTTTATTAAGTATACGCATACACAACGAACATAGGCATTCACTGTGAAGCAAGGACATTAAATTTTGATCGATTCTGTAATTCCCTGCCTTATTCAATAATAATTGCTGCATTTTTCAGTTTATACAGGTTAATCAATAATAAATTGTTAAAATCTCTATTTGAATAATGGTAAACATATACGCATACTCAACTAAGAAATAGTTCTTCCAAAAATGATGCATATACACGTACAGAACAGTTAAAACGGTTCATACCTACAAAAGAGCATTGTGCAGCAGGAAGGGCATTCTAGTTTGGATCGATTCGTGATTCCCTCACATTTTATATTAGGGGAAACTATTCTGTTTTATCCGATTATTTGAATAAGAAATTTTTCACAACTCGATTACAAAAATGAAACATACACATAAAGCACAAAAAGAGCATTGCGCAGCAAGGAGCTCATACAAGTTTGGTATATTTGTGGTTCCTGCCTTATTTACATTTCGGAACGTTTTCAGTTTCAACGGGTTATTTAATAATAAATTGGGAAAAATTCTATTATAATAACAGAGTATACATAAACAAAGGGACATAAAAAAAGGTATTGTGCAGATAGTAAAGGTATTCAAATCGATTCTAGAAGCCCACTTATTTTAAAATCAGGAAACTATTCAATTTTTTTGCGTTTATTTTGATAAGAACTTGATTACAAGAATAATGTCTATATACATACATGTGTACCTACCAGTTAAAACAGTTTTTACATACACAAATAATTTAGATAAATTTAATAGTAGTACTTATAATAGTATTACTATTATTAATAAATTGTTAAAAACCATTACAATAAAAGCATATAAACACAGACGTGCATGTCATAAGTTTGTGCAGCTAGGAAGTTTGGTCGTTTGGAATTTTGTCTTATTTTATAATCAGGAAATTATTCAGTTCCGACTATTATAATAAGAAATAAAGTTACAAAAATGGTAAATATACATGTACGTAACAGTGAAAGTAGTATAGACACATGTAAGTTCATAAGAGTATTGTTCAGGAAAAGGACACTCAAGTTTAGTCGATTCGTGTTTCTCAGCCTTATTTACATTTTATGATTAGGACATTTTTAGGTTTCAACGGGTTATTTAAGAATAAGTTGGTAAAAACTCTATTACAGTGACAGTAAATATATACACAGGCATTAAGGATTTGATTGATTCGTGGTTCCCTTGGTTATATTCGTTTTAAAATCGGGAAATATACAATTTCTACGTGGTATCTCTTAAATAATTGTTTAACTTGATTTCAATAAATCCGAACAAAACTGTTAATCATAAAACACATACCACACATAAGTACGCACTAAAAGAGCGAGCATCGTTCAGGAAAAGGAAGGGCAGTCAAGTTTCGGTCGATTCGTGATTCCTTCCCTCTAAACTATTGTTTTATACGGTTATTTATAAGAATATTCTTATATATTCTTGAAAATGCATTTTGGGAGTTCGACGATTCCAGAGACCCTGGTTTCTACTCTTCTGGGATTAACGAATTGGTTGCGCATTGGCAAAAATGTTTAGATAGTAATGGAAATTATATCGATTAATTTTTTTTTTCAAAGTTAAATTGTAGCTTGTTTTCTACTGAACATAAAACCCAGCATTTTTCCATAAACCCAATATAAATTGAAAACTCAAAGGGCTTAGGTTAAAAGCCCTTTCTATAGCTTACCAACCGGCGCCTCATGGCTCTCGTGCTGAACAGGAAACCGCTAAAGCTTAATAAAATCAAAAAACGCTGAAAAACTCAATAAATAATTAACATAAAGTCTTATGTTTATATTAAAATAGAAAGGATTATTGCTAGGCACGTTTAGGTCCCGAAGAAATCCTCTATTATATGAGGACCTGGCTTAGTTTAATATACATCAATTTTCATATTTATCAATAAATATGGTCATATTCTTATTGGGTATAGAAAAAATTGGGGGAAATATCTCTAATATATAAGAATATATCAGAACTTGTTTAATAAGAACCTACCTCGATTACAAAATGATGCATAACCCTTGACATGGTGTGTATATACAGAAATAAACACTGAAGGGCACAAAGTTTTGTCAATTCGTTATTCCTTGGCTTTTCAAATCAGGAAATATTCATTTTTAACTCGATTTCAAAAAATCTGGACATTAAAGTTAATCAACACACACAGATACACACGTTTTATGTTTATTATGTATAATCAAACACAAAGTAGCATTGGGATGCATTGTGCAGGAAGGGCATTCAAGATTGATCGATTCTCTGGTCCCCTGCCTTATTCACATTTTTTAATCAGTGTTAAGGAGGTTATTCAGTTTCAACCAGTTATTTAATAAATAGTTAAAAAGTCTATTATAGTAACTATATATACACACAGACTAAATTATACCAAAAGGTCATTATATAGCAATGAAAGGCTTTGAATTTTTTCTCGATTCGGATTTCCCTCGCGATAATTATTCATTATTTAACTCGATATTAATAAATTACAGATATAACGGTTGGACCAGCAAACTTGGACACATATTTTTATAAAATATGCATTGTGACATGGACATTCAAATTTTGTTAATCCTTGGTTCTCCGGTTCAGTACCGTATACTCGGAAGAAATGTGCAGTAATTATAAAATAATTTTGATATTAGTTTGATGACCGATGAAAATAATTGGTTCTAGGTTTTGTAGTCATTAAGACTCGTAGTGTTGAAAAGTTCAATGAAGTTCGGTTAGATAAATAATTTATAATAATTTTTTTCTTCTATTTTTTGACTTTCCAAGAGGATTTTTCTTCATTTAGCACTCCACGAACCCACCTTGATACCGATTTCTTTTGGTGTAACGCATGCCATTGATAAAGCTTTGAAACGAGAACGATCGATGGAATTTTAATTGGCGTTTCTTTGTCTGGATATCGTAAAGTAAGGATTTATTTACAAAATGAGCCGTTCATTCATGCCGCCTTTTGCTATAAAAGGAAGGAGTTTGATTAAAGTTGTAACTACACCGAGGAACGTTTTGAATGTCGCAATTTCATTGTATTAAGCTTAAGGTTTTCTCAAATTTCCCTGTGCTAAAAGGGTATGAAATACTTACGTGAACCTATTTACACTATTGGTTTTACAGTTTGAAATTCGATATTCTCTTGTGATCTAGGGAGAAACACACTTAAAATCTCGAAACTTGTCATTTGGAAAATTATCAACCCCTTCTGTCTTTTATAAATTTCAGTTCATTAGGACTTATCCACAAAGGGATTGGTTGACATAAATTAAATCGAATATCGTATGTCTGTCTCAATAATCCCAAATGTCGTTTCTTGTCGGGCCAAGTCGAAATATTTTATTGTATGTGTACATTTCCTTTCGGGATTGTTAGGCCGGAAGGGACAAATAAGGTAGTTAGGCGGTAAACAAAGTTACAAATCCTTTTTCCAATTGATCCGTAAGGATTAGGTCTGTTTGGTTCGGATTCGTCCCGTCTGCATCTTTTCTTGTAAGTGACAGCTAAAATTTTATTCCGGCTGATTTAATTGGCATTTACAAAGGATTTTTGTACGGCAATTTCAATCGAGTACCA